ACTAACAAATGTTCTAGCCAGCAGTTCTGAAGAAATATTCAAAATATGTGAATTTCTATTTTTCTGGGAAACAGGTGTAAGGAGGAAGTGTGATTGTGTTGAAGACACAGATATGTAGGCAGACGACTATTTACGAGGTGCGATGTTTCTCACGTCAAATACAAAGCAACTTTATGATATAGATGTAATAATCTAGTATTGTTAAAATCTAATCTTCATACTTACATTTTGATTTTGATGAAAAACGTCTTGCTGGATGATAATGTTACACCTTCCTCTCTGTCAGCTCTGTCGGATAGACTGTCTGATGGACTCGTGTGTATAGTGTAAATGTTGTGAATGGACTAGGACTAATAATACATCCACTGGTACAGCGAACTACTGTCTGTTATTAACGTATCATTGATTACATTTAGCTTTATAATAATTGAACATAATGATAACAGTGTGTCGAAAAGATTAACCATGGATGAATAACATAATTAGATTGAAAATAAGACAACATCATAGAATACACAGAGAAGTTAAATAAGTAACTACTACCTACTATAGGGAAACATTTCGAAACTATCGACCTCATTCGTGATGCAAAGGCAAATTATGTGAAAAAAAGCCTTGAAAATTCACTAAATGATAATGCAGTTGCTCTAGATAAACGGTGGAAGAAATTGTTTATTTCCAAAAAATGTGTTTTTGTATTACAAAAAATATTAATTGGTAACGAAATAAATGCTTTTCTATCAATTCAATAAAAATAAAGAAAAAAGAGCAATAAACAATCGACATATTTGATAAGCTCTACCGGTTCATCTAACTCAGGCTTTTACGTCCACCGTACATACCCAAAAAGGATTGGAGTTCAGGGACACGGCTTCCTACGATCTTTTTCTACAACATATTCATTAGGGACAGCCTTCCACCAAGCTCAATGATAAGCATGATGATTTCAGTTACCCTAATCTTTGTTCTCAATATCATGTTTTTTTGTGCCACTGTTAGACAATCTGACAACACAAGGTTCTTAGAGATGCATGTTGATGAAAATGATTGAGAAGTTTTACGGTTGTTATAATGATATGATTGATAGTATACGTGTCGGTTCTTTATTGATTGCCGTTTTTGGGAATTTGGGAATTTAACATTAGTTACTTGGATTGACCAAGATTTTCAAGAATAATATGGCTTTGTCTTATAAGATCTTTTGTGATCTACAATGGGCAGAGAAAACTTTCATGTTATATAAAAGAAGTTGTGGCATTTCCCTCCAATGCATAAAAGACACGTCAGACAATGAATTCAATTGCATGATACGTTTTGTTCATCGTTTGTCGAAAATCCTGCCAACATGCATATGGGCACCAAAGTGTAAATGATGACTTGGAGAATTGTGTGGGGGACCATCTTTCATAGTAAACTGATTGGAAACGCTGAAGATATTGGAGACTGGTCAATGAAGGTACCATGGGAACGAGGACTTCTCATCACAGTCTCTGTTTATTCTGGTGAAGGTGTTTGAGGAGTGCAAAAAACCCTCTGTTGATAAACACTTCGTATTATTGGGACGGTAAAATAAACTGAAGACATTCAAAACAAAAACTTAAAATAATTTCGATATTGTTGTTTAAGTGTTTAAATGTTGTCATTGGCAGAAATGTTATGTTGTACCTTATTTTAAACAAAAACTGTGAACCGCGCTGTGTATAATATACATGTTGGATATCAGGAATTAAGTAAGGTGATAAAGTTTAGTGTTTTAAAGAAAAATATCAAAATGCACACAAACAAATGTTCTAGCTAGCTGCAAAATAATATTATTATTTAAATGGAAACAAAGGGGGTCATCGTTGTGTAGATATGAAGACGACTATTCATACCAGTGAAGCAATTTTTTGGTCATATTTATGCGAGGTGATATGTAAGTTTGTAACTATATGTTTCTTACGTCAAATGCAAAGCAACCTTATCATATGAACGTATTGCAGTTATTATAAATCTTTAATACCAATACTTACAGTTTTATTGTGATCGACAACGTCTTGTTATATGAAAATAGTATTGCCTTTTTTTCTATCAGTTCTATTGGACAAAGTTTAACTAACTTACTTTCTAAAGTATCATGGAATCACATCAGTAATAGCAAAAGCACTACACAAATACCAACAAAATAATGAACATGTATCTATTAAATATCCTTATATTCCATTAAGTTTAGAAAATATCCTTAAAAGTAAGAAGGGAGCCAGAGACATGTATGATGTTTTGAGTAAAAATAATGTCACACCCACAGGTGAATTAAAATGGATTAACTACGATATTAATGATGACACATGGAAACAAATCTACATACTTCCTTTTAAAGTCACTAAAAATACCAAATTTCAATGGTTTCAATATAAAATTAATCACACATTTTGACTACCAACTCTTTGTTGTTTAAAATGGGTTTATCTGATACCTCATTATGTTCATTATGTAAATAGAGAAACAATTGAACACATTTTGTGGGATTGTCAAGAGGTGAGACGACTGTTACTTAGCTTTGAGAGACTGTCTCAGATTTTTCGTATTAACTTTATATTAAATAAGAAATCTTTCCTTTTTGGTTTCTTAAGCAATGATAAAACAAAGGATGCAGTTGACAATCTGATAAGTTTAATCATTAAATATTATATATATAAAACAAAATGTCTTAAAAATAGCTTATCTATACTTGCACTTTTAAATGAGATTAAGGAAACTTATAAAGTGCAAACGTATATATCGAAAAATCAAAATGAATCCGAGAAATTTAAAACCTTTTGGAGAAAATGGTCAACTCTATTAGAATATAATCCTCACACATAATTCTCTCAAAAGCTGCTTACTTAGTAATGATAGTCATCACTCCTGTTCCTTTCCTAAAAAAATAAAAATAGATAAGTATCACATTTCTTTTAGCACTGTACTATGTTACACTGTTGTGTGTTCTTTTTGGTTTTTTTTGTTTGTTTTATGTCTATTGTCTAGTCTATCTGTTTGAGATCTCTTGTCTAGAATGTCACTTGTACAACCTATTTGTATGTCTGTCCTGTTTGTTTACCATGATTTTGTTGTTTATGTAAATATTTCTACTTGTTTGTCTGTCTATTTATATTAGGTTTACCAAAATATTTATTGTTTCTAATGGCTACATGTAAGTGTCTACATGGAAGTGTGTTTGTATGATGAATGAGAGGCATCCTGCGTGATCGCACTTATCTGTACGGAGGCTGATCCCAGGGCTCCTCAACCCTGGCAGCCTCCTCCAAATTAATTGCTGAGGGAATAAATATTTTTCTAAACTTAAAAACAAAACAAACAAAAAACAAAAACAAAAAACAAAAAAAAAAGTTTAACTAAGGGGTTAGTGCGTACAGGGTAAACGTTGTCATTGTAGTGTTACTACTTCGTGTAACAAAGCAATGAGTTTTTGCTAAATAATGCACCATTGTTTCCTGTTATGCATTATTGATTCAATGTTTGATAACTGTCGTTCAACAATCGCAACATATACGGTGTACGCACTTGACTCAGAAAGACCTTGACTGATAAACTAACAGCGACGAAACTTTTTTCGTCTTCAAGAACAAATAAGACGTGTTTGGTTAAAATCAAACTGTAAGTATTTGAATAACATTTAAATGAGCCTTACTATATTACATCTGATTGTTGAGGTTGTTCTGTATTTTACTTAACAAACAAAAACGTGCAAATATATAACATCAATATGGCGGAAGGCATTTATCAATATTTCTGTCTACTTATCTTTCACATTCAGACACCTCTCCCTTCCGATTGTTTACATTTAAAAAGTAATTTCCTTCGAAGCTAAAAAGAATTGCAAGTATTTAAATAATACTGCTAAATCATTTGCCATTTTCTTTAAAAATCTTATATAATAAGCTTACATAATTCCTAATATCAAGATGGCGTCATATATATACAAACGCTATGTACATTATACATAGAGCTGTGAACAGTTTACTTAACTTCATATATGAAAAATGGATTTTTGAGTATAATTTGTTTAATTTCCAATGGAAATATTTAAAACTTTAAAGGATGACGACTAGATGGTATGAATCGAATAGTCCTGACTGACACCCGGGTGCTGTTAGGCAGGTCTAAAAGAGGTCAAATTGACTCAGATTTCAAAAATCTTCTTCTCAACACCCAGGTATGGTTGAAGCGCCTTAAGTTGCTTAAATTACCGAAATGATCATCACATTTCTTTTTAGAGCGGAGGTTAACTTTACTACAATTTTATAGGGTGGAAAATGCATTTTTGAGCATAATTTTTTTTTTCCACTTGAAATAACTTTGTAAGAACAATAAGTATAGGATGATATTGTTGATGGTATGTACGTATTGAGACTGACTTACTATCATTAATGTCACAATGATTTTTTTATGGCACTTGAGAGCTACTTTTCCATTAACCTTTATGTTCAATATTGCTCATCTCGGGTAATTATCAGGTTTCTTGTTTATGAGAAAATCTCGTCTAAGCAAATGCATCTTATCCATATAGCAAACTATTCACCGAAACAAACCTGTTAGGCCATCACACCATATACAACATGTTCGTTCATGCATTAAACAACCACAGTTTATATGAAGCAATGTTTACAAACGTAGTAACACGATTCATATTCAGGCCAAGTCCTATTCAATGCAGAGTTACGTTTGTGTAATGTATGGCAAAAATCTGTCTAATTGATTTTTTTTTAATTCCTCGTATTGCATGAATACGCACTTTGATGTTGTTAGTTTAACATACCGTGCACGCCGTAAATACAGGCATGTCTAGTCTCTTCAGTGATTTCTATAGAGCTGACGCATGAACACACAGGAAGTACTTGAAACGTGAAGACAAATCGAACTACGTTTTCATTTATAAGACAACCGCACCTCAACTAGACTGCAGTTAATCATCAAGCAATTATCAATATGAAATGTTCATTTACCGTATTTCTTAACAGATGGCGGCGACCAATCAAAAATGGTTTCCACCAACTGGAGACTCTTCAAACCAAGGTGAAGTATGATGATTATAACCATTCTTATATTACTTTTTGGTATATCAGTACGAAAGAACTGAACTTTGAATAAAAATATCAAGCTCTCCATTACCGTCAAACGAAAAGAAACGAAAAAAGTTATATATTAATACGGGAATAACCTTATCTTGAAATAGCAATAGATTACTTCTTGTTGGTAAACTAGTTCTGCGTGGGAAAAGTTACCAATATTCTGGATACAAACAAAATGTCCTGTGATATTCTTTATGAAAACATATTTATAAACTGGATCAAAATAGTTTTCTCTTTTTAATACGTATGAATTGTTTTATATTTATTTACATTACAGATTTGCATATTGTTTTGATCGGGAAAACCGGGGCAGGCAAAAGTGCAACAGGAAACACGTTGATTGGTGAGAACATTCTAGAATCAAGAGGTGGCTACGAGGGTGTAACTAGGAATTGTTTGGTTAAGGAGTTTAAAAGATTTGGTACAAAACTTGTACTAGTCGACACTCCAGGATTTTGCGACATAAAATCTCCAAAAGAATGGCTAGCGGAGCAGTTAGTATCATGTACCTGTCTGGCTTACCCTGGAGTTCATATTTTCCTTCTTGTGCTGAAGGTTGGAGAAAGATACAGTCCGGAAGACCAGAATGCGCTTGAATCGATCAAAGAAATGTTTGGTGAAAATTTTGTAAAGCACACGATTGTTGTCTTTACATGCAAAGATACCCTCGAAGCAGATGGACTTGATTTCCAATCAGAGAAGTTGAAGCTTCCAAACGGCATGCAAGAAATTATTAAGTCGTGTAAGGGGGGCAATATTGTTATTTCAAACAGGGCAACAGCTGATGTTAGGGAACAGGAAGCCGAACGGATTATTTTCCAGATGAAAAAAGTTGTTCAACAAAACGGGGGAGGGAGCAAATACTACAGAACTGCATTGTTCGATAAAATCGCAGAAGAAATCGAAAAAAGGATCAACCAAATTATGAAGGGGAATGCTAAAATCGAAAAGAAAATCAAACTTCTCCAAAACGAAATGGACCTCTTAACGAGAGAAGATCAACATGAGCAACGTCGAAAACTTGAGAAAGATATCGAAGCTCTGAAGAAGGATATTGTTGGCAAGGGTCCTGCTCAAGCAGAGGCCGTTCAGGAGACGAGAACACAAATGCTTAAACGCGTAGCAGGTTATGCTGCACCCGTGTGTATCGCTGGGATTATTACTATTTGCAGATTATTGAAGTAGTGTTGAAGAATGAAATAAGATTAACGCATGTCAATGAAGACAGCATAATTATTTCATATTTAAAAAAAAAAAAAAAAAAGAACAGCGCTGTTCCGGACGTATACCCTAGTACATATTCCTCTATTTTTTCTAGTGATAAATGGCGGTCACTGGAACAGAAATATGTAATTCACCTACTACGTTAAACATAGATATTTATCTTTATTCATTAGACTTTTCTTCAAGACGTGTGTTTTAAAAAAAGTTATAACACTTTGCCATTCTCATATTTAACACTATTAGCAAACAAAGTTTTAGAATTAGCATTTCGTTTTAAAAAGAAAAAATAACATAACTTTCAAGTAAACAAAATAGAATCACATTAGTTAAGATTTGATGTCATTTTGAATACTAGCTCTTTTTTCGGTTAACAAATTTTGCTTTGCTGATATCTACCAAGACTTCCTATTAATTGACCATGTCATGTACTGTATCGTGTTGGCGATTTTTAAATGAATAAAATTGTTATATTTTATTACTTGAATCTGTGCTCTACCTTATGTATGATATGTGGAAGATATTGTCTCTTCAAATGTTATAGCTAAATTTAAACACGTTTTATAATGTCTTCCCTTAACGTTGAACTTACACATACGTCGAATACTATAGACAATTATACAATGAATATAAAGCACATTCCTTCTGCAAAGTCGATATGCTTATCAAAGGGTTGGTGAACATCCAATAATTGGATGTGTTAATCATTTCCACGACAACATCATAAATAAACTTGCATCATAATCATTTATGAAGCCAAGATATACAATTTTGTATAATTTTCATGTCGTATTGACGATATTCCTAACTTTACAAAATTTACTTGAGGTTAATGATAAAACATTGAAAAGGAAGAAAAGATTTCATTTCAAAAGCAATCAAATGAAAGTGCAAGATTCTGAGCCGAAGCAAACAGTGACTGTTCTAAAGTTGATAATTCATCTAAGCCTGTATGTAAAACGTTTCTAAACCTATAAAATCATGTATTATCAATGTTGATTAAAGCTACTACATAAATCACATTGAAAATATATGAATTCATGGACGTATGGTTTCCTTTGGAAATTTCAGATCCATTAAAAATAACTACCTCAGCATCTAGATTCTGACATTTCTTGAGATCAACTTTGGCTTTCTTCTATTGCCTTCGAAGTTTCAATCTTTAGGTCATTAACATCGCTGACGAGTCTTAAAATGATGAAACAGGTGTACAATGTAGCATCACTGACGAGGCCTAGACGGACGACACAGATGCATGATGTAGAATCAGTAACGAGTCACAGAAGGACGAAACAGCTGTACGATGAATCATCACTGAATATTCCTAGATGGACGAAACAGCTGTATGATGTAATATCACTGACGAGTCCTTGAAGGACGAAACAACTGCATGACGTAGCAACACTGACGAAGCCTAGAAGGACGAAACAGCTGTATAATGAATCGTCACTGACGATGCCTAGAAGTTTGAAACAGCTGTATAATGTAGCTTCACTGACGAGTACTAGAAGGACCCGAAACAGCTGTATGATGTAGAATCAGTAACGAGTACTTGAAGGACGAAATAGCTGTATGATTCTTTTAACTCTAATGCATCTATTTCTTACTTTGTTATTTGCATTGAAGGGTTTTATCAATTTATGTCCTTTGTACAACTTTAAAGTGTCTGGCTGTAATGAGTCAAACAATACAATAACATAGACACCTATTACATCACTATTCAGTTAACATATAAAAAAGTATACACATTTGTAACAATAATAGGGTAATTGATTGTGTTTTTGTAACTACATAATCATAACACTATTAGGCTTACTTCAAAAGGAGAACGACGACGCCACGCTGATATATATTATTGATGTACATTTCATAACAATGATCTAACAGAGACCATTATCGATTGAGGGATTGTTTCCGAGAAACACAATTTCATGTATGACTTTAGTAAGGGATCATTGGTAAAGTGCATACCAAATAAGACATAGAATTGGAGCAAGGAGATGTTGTGTCACTCACCGAGAAATCGGCAGAAATGCTACGGACTGAAATTACGTTCGGAAATTAAAAATTGGCAGTTACGACTATAGAAATATGAATAGAAGTTGCGTTTATTATGGTTGATAATTAGAAAAAATGTACAAATTTCTCTTTTTACACCTGATTCGTCATGTAAATATCTACAAATTGTTGACGACTTACATAGGTCAATGACATAACATGAAATGATTATACATTGTACAGGTGCAAAGAGGAGTTTGTCTATACAACTGATTAATCTTATAGATCGTCATTATATGTAATTTACACCATCAGTTCCAGGCGATTTAGGACATGTTATCCGAACGACTACTTTTTTCTGGAATCCCCAATATCATCGCTCCTCAAAACTAACTTTGATGCCGTCTTTCGGTTGAAGAATAAACAATGGTATTGGCGTAACGTCATGACTTTCATCCAGTACAACCTTAAACCTGAATGAAAACATATAATTGTAAATAGTTATATTGTAACGAAGATCTATTTGATATATCTTAATGGTGTATGCTATTGATGTTGATTAAACATCATTAAAGGAGTGATATGGTTTTATATGTGATATTACTGCCATGTTAATTTCACAAATGTCGTGAAAGTCATGCAGATGACCGGCATGTATTGAAAACCTGTTCATTATCCAGCTTGTACACAATGTACATGTGATACATGTTTACCATCTCTTCAAATGACATTAGTTTGCAAAACTACACGCCAAGGGAAGCTCAAGACGAGAAGGTCCAAACGTATTTGGATCTTCTACCTCAATATCTCTATTGATTCGTGCAAAATATGCAATTCACACCAGTAGAAATCAATTAACACTCGAAAGTTATCGGAATATCAATTTGGAATTATTACTTTATTTCTTTATCATTGATATCAGTGCCTAATAATTTTGTCTACAATAATTGAATGTAACACTTGGTACCATTTGTCCTAATAATATTAGTGTTGTTCGCCATCTGGTTTGTGGCTTTTCGTAAAACATTTCATCTTTAAAAGCATTGCATCCTCTGACGTCCAAACATTCGGAAAGAAATTGGTCAACTTACCGTTTGAGCAACTTTGCCAATACCACTTTTTGTTCGTTCATTGTGAAACTTTTTCCTAAACAGTTCCTGAATAATAAATGTTATCAAAATGTAGCATAACTCTATCTTAATTACAGGAAATCTTCTGATTCAGAGTAAGACTAATTATCTATACTGAATGTTGTATATTTTTAATATTACAGACTTAAAATACACGAATGTAACAAGTTCTTTTTTTAATTTAGATTTAAACTTAAGATGCAACGGGCCTAAATTGTTGGAACTTAAGAAGAGATTGAGAAAAAGCCACTGAAATAAATGTAAGAACGACCCAGCATTTCAATATTGAAAGCAGAAAAAAATTGGTCAATGTATGGTAACCTTTTTCGTGTTGTATATAGTCTTTGTGAATATGATAAAACAGAAACCAATGCTAAGATTCCTTATTAAGGTAATGTACCGATAAACAACTATAGATATTTTTATGAGTCTTGTGTTTCCATATCTTAAAGGGGTATTTTTTTCTCTTTTGTTTGTTTATTTATATAAACCAAATGAAAGGTATCAATATCACAAAATCGTATGCCAAATCATTTTGTTAGAATCTACAATCGATGGTCGGATGGCGCAGTGGTAACGCACTCGCCTTTCACCTAGCCGACGGGGTTCGATTCCCGGAACGGTAAGGGGTAACCTGCCCGACCCCGTGGGTTTTCCCCGGGTACTCCGGTTTCCTCTCACAATAAGACCCCTCGCGCGCTTACATCCGGGCCAACCAGAGTGATTAGTATAAGTTGACATAACTTGTTTCGCAATTGTTGTAAAAATAAATAAAGTTTATATTCACAATGAAGCTCACCTTGCTCCAGCCGAGAATGCTAGAAAAGCAAAAGGATGCCTGTTTTCAGAATTTTCTGGAAGAAAACGTTCCGGACGAAATTCCTGCAAAAAGAAAAAGAAACTCTCATTTAACTTGAACTGTGCTTTAAAGTATCGTTTTACATCGACATCTGAAAGTTGAATTGAAAGCCAACGCTTTAAACTCTCGAAATCATCTCGAATTCCTTTCGCTTCGGTGAACTGAAACTTCAAACTAGCGTTCTGTTGGAAGACGTTGTTTAGACTTACTTACTTAAGAGTTTAATGCGATCTGATTAAAAAGATGGGCAAGTCATAGATAATAATACTGAATGATGTTTAGGTATTCCCTGTAGACAAATTTAACAATAGGCGAACGTTTCCCCAATTATATCACGAAGTTATAGAAAGGATAATGATCGCATCATAAATATATTGGCAGAACTTTAATATTTCAAATGTCCATAGTCAAAATGTGTCGAACGAGTGATTGACCTAGGCACTAGATTATACTGCACATATTAATGTTTTCACTTTACTTTAGATCCATAATGCAATGCGTGTACATTTATCATAGGTTTTAGCATAGTCCATGTCAATAGTGTTCAAGTTTCAGACAAAACAATGACGTGGTCAGGGTTTTTTCAGTTGCATACCGACCTCGCTATACTGCTATCTAACACAAGTGTAACAAGAGTACCGCAAAGCGGAACAAAATACACCCGTGAATATCCAAAACAGCAAAGGGGCATATTTATTCAAATCGTCTAATCAAAACCCCGTTCGCAAAAGCACAATTTCACATCATGGTGATTAAGCCTACTAAGTTTCATAAAGATCGGCTGGAAAATGTTGGAGGAGATCTCCGGACAAGATTTCTATAGTGAAACAAATAAAGGGCCATAACTCTTATTAAAATCGTCTAATCAAAACCCCGTTCAGGAAAACACAACTTCATATCATGATGATTATGTCTACCAAGTTTCATAAAGATCGGCTGAAAAATGTAGGAGATCTCCGGACAAGATTTCTATAGTGAAATAAACAAAGGTATAACTCTTATTAAAATCGTCAAATCAAAACCCCGTTCAGGAAAACACAATTTCATACCATAGTGATTAAGCCTACCAAGTTTCATAAAGATCGGCTGAAAAATGTAGGAGGAGATCTCCGGACAAATAAAAGTTTACAACGGACGCCGGACGAACGGACGGACAGCGCCATACCATAATACGTCCGTCTTTCGACGGGCGTATAAAAAATGAAATTATCGAGAGAGAAAAAAGGCTTTAACTTCAGGAGAAACGTGGTAATAACAAGAGGCATAAGGGCCTCCTCAGTCACATAAGAACTCAAAGCTCCATAAGTTACATCAAATTGGGTCCATTGTTGACCTCTTCTGAGATCTTATTAATGTTAGGCTGAATACCAAGTTTCATTAAGATCTGCTCATATTCAGTCAAATTCTCATGTTCACAAGTTCCAATAGTAAAGGACCATAACTCTAAAATTACGATAGGAACAGTCCTATTCAATTCATCTGAGGTATATGACTGCAAACCATGTTTCCTCAAAATCTGTTCATATTTACATATTTATTGTATTTACAAGGTCCTTGTTACAGCATTGGCCATGACTCTGTACAGTACAATATGTATTATCAAACTGATCTGAGATCTCATTGATATATGACTGTTCGTAATTTTCATCAAAATCTATTCATATTAACTCAATTAATTGACTCTACAAGATTCCTGGTACTAAAATTGCAAAGGGTCGCAATTCTGTAGATTTCAATTGAATTGGTCCCACGATGTTAGGCTATGTACCAAGTTTCATCAAACCTGTTAAATTTACTCAAATTATCGTTTTTACCGAGTCCAATAGTAATTGCATTTTAGGAGGCCATAACTCTGTAAGTTATGATCCAATCAGCCACATTGTCTATTTCATTCGATATATCAGATACATGAGGCTGAATACCAAGTTTCATATAAAAAGTTGTTTGTAATTAAGCTATCATGTTCATAATAAAAAGTTAACGCACAACGGCGGAGGAACAATGATAGCTGTACATGTAGTTCACCATAAATTGGTGACCTAGAATGGTTTAATGACATTCAACTTTTAAAATGGTTTTTAAAAACCAACATAAGAAAGGTACGAACAGACAAATAAGATAACTTATATAAGGGATTAATTTTGCAAAAAGGAAGACTAAACCACCTAATTGAAACTTTCATTGAAAACATGTGACAAAAGATACGAAAGAATGAAGTTTACGGATGACATGAGCTGATAATGGGCTGTCGAAGTGTTGTTGTCTGTTATACTAACCGTCGGATTAGGAAAAACATCAGGTCGATAGTGGATGCCTAAAATGTTAACGGCAACCACATTTCCAGCAGGTAAAGTTACTCCCTCTATTTCTAGAGGTTGTGTAAGTGATCGGGAAGTTGATCCTGCCGGTGGATACATCCTTAATGTCTCCTTCAAAAACATCGACATCTTCTGTAGTTTACCAAGATCTTCCCTACATTGAGATCAATAATGTCCACGTGACTTTGTGTAGTTTTCCCGCATTACAATGTGAATAATAATGATGAGGTATGTATCACAGTAAAAAATAAAATTAAAACAAAAAAAATATACACACACAAAAACTGGGTCTCAAAATCTAGTAGTATTACGCAAATCTAAACCTCATTGAAGATAAAACAGCATGGATAATCAACTGTATTTTTCACATTTCATTTCATTATCCCCTACCATTTCTATTCCTGATATTTTGACACTGGTCTTACTGGATTTACATTAAATGTTTTTAAACTTAGGTAAACATTCTTGCCAGTCTATGTTCCTCCGATCCCCTGTAACTTCACACACTTCTTGAAATAGTTTTTCCTGTTCTTCTGGGTATTTGCCAAGATTGTATATAGCCCATCCTAATGAAGCCTTTGTTGTGTCGTGTCCTGAAATTCCCAAAGAACTAAGATTAATAAAATATTTTTATTTTGTTTAATACAATATAGAAGAAACTACCAGTAAATGCAACAATAAAACAAATTTGCTTTTGTTCGATTTTGCAATAATCTAATATAAACTTCAAGGCTTCACATCAAAAAGGTTGGCTCACCTGCAAACATAAATGTACTGACTTCATCAAGGATCTCCTCATCTGAAAGTCCGGTTCCCGATTCGTCTTGAGCTGTTAATAAGATATCTAAGAAGTCCAACTTCCGTTTTTTCTTGATTAATGATGGATCCTCTGCCTGTTTGTGCATATTTGAAACAAGATCAAAAGATGTTGCAATTCGAATTTTAAAAAAATAAAACGGAAATTGATCAGATAAACAACCTAAGACTAGATCAAGAATTAGAACCAGAAGTAACTATCTAATGAATAAACAGGAAGTATAGAATAATGTAGCAAATGCATATATTATTATATACATTTTTGCTTTTGTTGCTGGCTACTTTATTTTTCACTTATTTTCTAGTATTCAAGACTTCACCCTCTTAACATCACGAACAAGTCGTAGTAGGAAGATTAAACAGCAGCATGATCCAGTTTTATTCATTATTTCGTATATCCTTTAATGTAAATTTGTTTTAGCAATGCTATTTACTTGTACATTTATCTGTATTTTTCATAAACTACCATTGTATTGCCTTTAACTGCTTTAGTTTATTCACGGAAAACATTTCGATTGGTCAGTGCTAAGTATATAAATTTAATGCTGGAAATTTTATCTTGTTTTTGTGGTAAAAAATTCCGACTTAAAGGGGAAAGAAAAATTATCATATCTACATTTTGCATTATCAAAAGTAGGTTAATTACATACAGAGCATCTATTGAAACAAATACTGGAGACCCAGGTTTAATATAAATACAGAGCAAAATAACGTTTGATATAAACATACTATTTCCTTTCTTCTTTTCACGATTATTTCTTCAGCAAATTTATGGATGAAATTCACATTTTTCTTGTACTCCTTGCCGTTTGCAGACATCATGTAGAGAGACCAAAATATGAAATACCATGGTTTGCTGTAAACAAAGAGAGTGATAAGAAATTGGAAAAACTTTTCGATTTCAGCAATCAATCAAAGTACTTCAATCTTTTTTAAATACTGAAATTTGTTATTCTATAAAGAACAACAACACGGATGTCACTTTGGGTTTGATATTTTTTTCTGTACATTATAAAGTGTCATCTCCATCAAAAGGTAATTGTTTTTAAAATTTGTTACACATAAGGCTTTCTGATCGTATGACATCTTGATGCTATTGACCTGTTGTTAGTGATGCGTGGGAACTTTTAACGGCTGTTTTCATCAGATGTTGACGTTACCTAGTAAACATTAGTATTGTTGACATAAACAATATTGATATGTTGACGTTGTAATACTTCCGTGTGCAGGATATCCCTAGAAGACTTTTCAAGCTCCCCAAATTCAAACATTTTATCCCAAGGTTACAGGTTGGCTTTCCTGTAGCGACTCAAATCGCTGGGGAGTGTGTTTAAATTTTGTATAAATGTTATCCTACCTGAGACGCTCCATAGAGAGTCTTGTGATTTCGTGTACAGCCTTCACATAAGGATGGTTTTCGCTGGAAGGAATTTTTAAAGAAATTATTAAGCGAAAACAACTATTGATATTAATATGTATCTTAATTTGAAGTAAGATTAAATTTCAATGCTTATCTAAAGAGTTATTATTTTCATTATATCTTTTTTGTTATCCTATGTAAATATTCTTTCTGGAAATAGACATGTTCCTTGAATAACACTACATTTATAAATTCTACAAAAATAGAATGACAACAGGGTTGAGAGAGTGGTAATGTATTCGCCGACATTCAACTGACGGAAAAAATTTTATTCCTCGATCGTACATGGAAAATTATTCATATTCATACAAACATGTTACTAGCAGAAGGATTTGACTCTGATGTTTAGTTTTCGGTTAGTAACAATTTCTTCATTTGCCAATAATTTGCCGAGCTTTTCGAGCTGATATTTTTGAGGATGAAGTTTGGCCTCGATAAAACGTCTTCTCTTCGGAACCACTCGGTTCTATTCCTCTTGTATTTTCTGTTTTTAATTCGCGGGTTCTTTTGTTGTTTTTTGTCAATGATAAATACTTACTATTTCTGAATATCTCCATCATAAGACAGTGAGCATCGCAATATCACATCCAATGTTAGCAAGTTTAAAGAATCCATTATTTCAACACTTTCACGACGCTGTATCATCTGTTCAGCAAACTTGTCCTAGAGAGAAAAATAGATACAATACGTGTATATCTAAATAAAATAATAATGTGTAATAAGATATTTATACGAAACAGGTGAATGTAAAGCAGACATAAGTTGAAAAGCAGGATATCGCACACTGTTCAATGTCTATACAAATTCAGAAGGACTTCCCTAAAATATTCTAACACATTGGAATTCATTAAAAGTTGATAAAACTATAGCTATCAATAATAAACTTAACAATATTGGTAATGTTAATGAAAACGTTTTCCGATGTTGTTACAATTCCTAAAGTACAGATTTCATTTTAATTCAAGAAAGTAAAAGGACGACTGCAATGCCATGGAGACTGACACACTTTGCAATTGGACATTGCTGCCAAAATTTCAGATTACTGTCATATGATCCATGTAGTAATAACAACAGTATGGATTATATAATTGAACAACCTGTTGAGATCTGGACGATACACATTTTTTTCTAGAGGTTGTTGTAAACATCACTGAAAGCTTGGCGAAGAAATTTTGGAGTTGACTGACCATTATACCACCAAGTTGTAGTAAATAGAGAACGAAAAATCCTCGGCGTGATCATGGAGACGAATTGGCTATTACGCGATATAAATACCGGGATCAAGATATGGATTGTGCTCCTTCGTCAGTTGTGTTGCAATGTCAAGATATCGATAAATTAACACAATAATGTAAATTGATCCGAATGCTTCAGATTGCCAGTCGTTATTGTACCTGAGTATGGTAAATACATTGTATTTATCATAGTAGGATGTACTAATGCAGAGCAAATTTACTGAAAGTAAGATTATGCGATTTGGCAGTGAGGTATAAAACAAAATTCATATAAATTGCACAAAACAGAAATCCAAGCTTTCTGGCATACGTTTTCTGATAATATTGTAACAAAATGCACGTACATACCAATAAAGTGTCTGCAGCCTTGTTGTAAATGCTGACATAGGGTTTTAAAACATCGAAATGGAAAGCATGTGTTAGTAACTTCCGGTTTCGTTCCCATTTTGGGCCACTACTGACTACCAGGCCATCACCTAGTCAAAAGGCGTTTCATAGTATGAAAATGATTCCTATTAATTATCATGTAAGCGGACAAAAATAAGAACGAAAATATGAATATAACGCTACGTATGCGAATTGTTCATACTGAGACAACAAAGATGAATAATTAACATCTAATTATAGATTTAAAAAGTAAATTGAATAATTACCAATGAGATTTGAGAGCGACTACCATAGACTCACATAGTATAGATATTTCTGAAGTACTTATCACCCAAGAAGTCTTGATGACAAACAAAGCTCAGCTTGAGGTCAAACAATCTCAAAAGATCCTTAAATAGGGCAGACTTGCAACCACAAGTTCGATTCTGAATTTTAATTACTATGTCTAGCCCTCACGATGTTTTCTTACATATCTGCTTTGCGACATGAGTGATGATTGCTTCTAAACTTTATTTTTTCTATCTCGATTTTTTAAACTTCTTGAAAGCAATGTTCTCGAAACATCATCACAAAGACATATTAAGAACAGAAAGACAACCTGGTCATAGTGTACATTCTTCAAAGATTACAGACAACAGACACAGAAACAGTAACTCTACATACAATTAACGGAAAATACACGAAAAGCATTTCGATACTGACATAACTTATCTTCGGTGTCAACTATACCACATTTTAAATTTCAGTTACCCTGTGTCACAATAAACTTAAAGTGGTGTCATTCTGGAAAATCGAATATATGGGAAAAAAGAGGTCCAATGGGACTGCAGCGCTCACCTGGTGTGTATATATATGTATACCAGCCATATAGCATGCCTCTAGGCACATTAGTTTATGAGTAGAAGTTGTTCAAAGGTTTTAACAAATTTAGTCCCTGTGACATGTAAGTCAGGTCATTTTTATCGCAAATTTTGTCAGGCTTCATCTTAGAATTAACCAGTAAAATATCAAAACATTTTGTCCATTGGTTTTGAGAAAAAGTTATTAAAAGGAAAACAGTTGACGCCGGACGACGGACGCTGTGCAACGGCATACGCCCTTTGGGCCAGGTGAGCTAAAAACGTTCCTGGACGATGAGAATCCATTAAACCGTAAGGATGTAAATAATATTCAGTATCGGATTTAGTACAGTATCACACCAAGAAATGGGGTAAAGATGCTGTATGGTTCTCCTCTGCCCTTTGGTTTTGGTTCCGATAGATTCAGGATAGTTGCTGCTGTTTCTGGATGAATCGCATTCAAGTTGGGTATAAAGGAAAGCCAAATGACAGACATCTTGTTTGTGGCTCCTTCCATAGAGGTCGCAGTTGACGCCGTGACTGATTTTGATAGGTTAATCTAAAATATGAAAAGAATGCCAGTTAAACAATCACAGTTTTGTGTTTTTGTGGTACATCGACGTATATACTATTATTCATTCTATCTATAGAAATTCTGTAAAAAGTTTTTGTTTTTTACTTCGGGATAACGTGCAATCTGAATTGTAATGTACTTTAACTACTTAATTATAGTGATGTTATATTGCTTTATTCGGATCCTCAGATGGACATGTGATTAAGTGTAGAAATTGAACTTTTTGTTGATCTGTCATGGTACCTCTGTTCCTAGGAATACCATGCTGCTGCGATTATGTTACGCGTTATTGTCTGTGTCTCGTCAAATGTTATCTAAACAGTCACTGCATTCTGTGTTAGTATGCAGGTTTATGACAGTGTCTCGTCCAGTGTAAATTAACCAGCCACTGTTTTGACCGTTACAATACACGTTAATGACAGTGTCGCGTCCTATGTAAATTAACCAGCCACTGTTTTGACCGTTACAACCTGTGTAAACTAACCAGCCACTGTTTTGACTGTTACAATACACATTAATGACAGTGTTTCGTCCTGTGTAAACTAACCAGCGACTGTTTTGACTGTTACAATACACATTAATGACAATGTCTTGTCCTGTGTAAACTAACCAGCCACTGTTTTGACTGTTACAATACACATTAATGACAATGTTTTGTCCTGTGTAAATTAACCAGCCACTATTTTGACCGTTACAATACACATTAATGACAGTTTCTCGTCCTGTGTAAACTAACCAGCGACTGTTTTGACTGTTACAATACACATTAATGACAGTGTCTCGTCCTGTGTAACCTAATCAGCCACTGTTTTGCCTGTTACGATACATGCTGATGTCTGTTTCGGCATTTGTAAACCTTCAAGATTCTTTTGTCGCTTTAATAGGTATATTGTATTGATAAAAATCTAATATATAAAGTGTAGATATTATTTGGTAGCTACCATTATGTATTAATTTCTATAAATCACAATGATTTAGCTATGGAGCGGAATCATTTAATCATGAGAAAAGGTTACAACAAACACTCTAACACCACCACGTCTTTGGGATTGTTGTCTAAAATCTTATATGTAGTTGAGGCGAGATATAATGATTATACTCAGGCTATATTTACTTTTAATTGCCTGCTATGAAATACATATACTTACTAGTTTAAGGTGTCCCCAAAACCAATGTGGCTTTTGTGTCTGCGACGCAAATGGTTTGATTAGTCGACAGAAGGTGTAATACCGCCAGAAGGCTGGAACTATGTACCAAAGTCCATACCCGACAATGAGGGCGATGACGATCTCCATCAAACCTGCCATGTCTGTAAAAACAGTTGTGACATTAACAATCAATATGAATATTAAGGTATGCTCTTGTTTATAACTTTATATGCAATTGACATATACTGTAAGGATAAAGAAACGCAACTTTCACTGTAAAGTATTTTGCAATGAATATACATAGCTGTATAAAAAGTCAGAGGGGTATTAGGCCACCTTACCCTATCCCCAAATCAATATACACATCCGGCGCGCCTAAACGCATGCGTTCATTTCTATTCAAACTAGTGTCGATTTCTAACTAACACAAAGACACGTGATCACCCTTAGATTAGCATTGGCAATCAAATTTTTTTTAATTTTTAAATATATCGGTTAATTTCACCTCTCAAAGCCACGGGCAAAGTTGATAACAGACCGAGATCCGGACGTCCACGTGTAACGTCGCGACATCAAGATCAGTTCATTAGGCTTGCCCACTTGCATTACAGGAGATTAACGGCAGCCGGAACGGCACGATATACCATTGGTAATGGAAACCGTCGAATCCACTCAAAAACTGTGAGAAATAGACTGCAAGAGACAAATTTATGCCCACGTCACCATTGCGTTTGTATCCCACTGACACCTGAACGTCGAACGTCGTATGCGACTTGACGGCATATATGCCCGGAAATTTCTCTAGGAGACGTTTGAGAGTCATGTTCTTCATGGATGAATCTCGATTCACGTTACTTCGACCACATGGCCGTCATCGTTTGGCTGGTGTCGAGAAGAGTGTTTTCCAGTTACTTGTATTTTGAGCCACGGCAGATTTGGAGGTAGATCGGTTATAGTTTGGGGAAGTAATCATTAACGGTAATTTTATGGCTGTATGCTATCAAGATGAGATCAGGCATCATATTGTGCCTTTCATTGTAAGGCTCTATTTGACCTTTCAGCATGATAACGCTAGGCCACACGTTGTAAGAGCTTGTAGAACATCCTTCCTATTCATTGGCGCCAAGCAAGCACCGATTTGGCACCAGTCAATCACATGTGAGAGGATTTAGACAGAAGAGTCAGAAAACGACCAAACATCCCAAATAACTTTCGCCTATTGGCCAACTCACGGAATTGCATTCCTCTACTGACTGTCACTATCCTTACGATTTCCATACCACGCAGAAATAGAGACGTTATAGCTGTACAGGGAGGTCACTCACGATATCATGGATCGGTCTGACAACTGCTATAATCCATGGTAACATAATAAAATCTTGATTAGTTAAAAAGTCTCACGGAAATTTAAAAATGGATGTTCAAATATTCAAAGTTAACTATTGCATTTTACATTTAAGCATATTGCTCATAAATACTATTCTATTAAACTGTAGTAAAGTTGAAGTTGCGTTCCTCCTTCCTCTTAATATATTTATTCAATAGTAGTTATTTTCCAGTAATATGAAATAATTTTAAAAATTCCTTTTAGATAGATACTAAAATCTCTCATATTAGATGTTTTTTTGAGAAATTATCCCAGAACGTTAACCAGACGAGACTTTATAAGCCTCACAATAACTTGTATTCTGATTTCTTCACTATCTGAGTCACTGGATCGTATCAGGGACGTAGATCGTATAGATTTCAAAAGAGATGGTACCTAATAAACAATCATCATTTAACATGTGCAAGGTCGAGATCATAAATACATAACCTTGTTGAATGTGCCAGTCCCAACTTCATCTATAAAGATACCCCATTATAATCAAATGTCATAAGATACATGAATGTTAAATACAACAGAACGGGATAGTAGATGTTATATAAACAAAATATTGACAAGCAATGCACTTGTAGCTGCACTGCGCGGTGTGATGCCGTACATGGCGGTATGATAATTGTTTATATACTTACCACCACCTTGAAGATAGAACTTCCAAACGACTCTTCTGTGTGAGCTTCATTCACATTGTGATGATTCATGCTGTCCTAGTTTCTAGGTTCCTGCTAAATTGGGGATTCAATTGGGGTATTTCCAGATCGATGTTTACAGAGACTTGCTCAAGTCACGTAGGTACAGGTCAATCGGGAACCCTCGGCACTTTCCTCTATTTTTAATGATCCCTCTGGCGCCCCTCGGATGCAGAGTGTTGTGTGATAGATCGATACCGTCGCTGTTGTCGTTGCTTGCCCTGCTCAGTATCTCATGATTCTTTAGTCTCCTATTATTTGTTTTAACAGTTTCGAGGGAAGTTTGATATATAGATAAATCATATGCGTTCTTCGATACAATATTGAAAGAGTAATTAAAAGTTTTTTTCAGCATCCAGCAACCTGATACTTCTGAGTAAGGTACTGTTATCATAACAAAAATAAATACATTATGCTTTTTTTTATCGTATGGAAAGTAAAATGAAAATTCAACATTGGTTTGCTCAACGCTAAAAAGACTTCAGCTTCAATATAATGAATGCACAACGTTCAGATATACCTATCATATGAATTGGTTAAAGTCACGCACTGATTCAACAAAACAGGTAAATTAATAAGAATAAAAAATACGGCTTAAAATAGTAAACAACATCGAATTATGTCCCTTTGCTCTTGCAGTAGGGAAGATTTGGTAAGCTTTTGATAGTCGATTACTTACTACAATCAATTAGACGTATCAATGAAACCGTCGGGGTCATTTCCTTTAAAACATTCAAGATAAAAACCCAAGGCTATAATGGAAGGGTAAGTAATGTCTGCTTCACGACCATCGACAACATTCGCCGTACGATTCTTTTGTCACGAGGAATACGTTACTAGTATTTGACCTTCCCTTCACTAATGAAAAAAAAAATAACACATTATGTTGAGTATAAACTGGAGCGATTTTTTTTCTGCAAAGTCGATTCTTTTGAAAAAGGGATTTTTTTCGTGTTAATGTAAACGAATAAGTTTATGCTTTAATGAAATACAAGAAAGTACGCTTCAGTTAAGTTCATTTCATACTTGTATTGGAATTTTGTTTGCTTGTTTTTTTATTATTTGTTTGTTTTGTTTTTCGTTTTTTCTTCTTGTGGTTTTGGTTTTGTTTCTGTTTTGTTTTTGTTTTCCTTTTTTGTAAATTCGTGGTAAAACGTGTAAATATGGCATTCTTAGTAAAAACGTGTAAATGTGGCATTCTTGGTAAAAACGTGTAAATATGGCATTCTTAGTAAAAGCGAGTAAATGTGGCATTCTTAGTAAAAGCGTGTAAATATGGCATTCTTAGTAAAAACGTGTAAATGTGGCATTCTTGATAAAAACGTGGCAGTCTTAGTAAAAGCGTGTAAATATAGCATTCTTGGTAAAATGTTGAAATGTGACATTCTTGGTAAAAACGTGTAGATATGGCATTCTTGGTACAATAGGTGTAAATATGGCATTCTTGGTAAAAACGTGTAAATGTGGCATTCTTGGTAAAAACGTGTAAATGTGGCATTCTTGGTAAAAACGTGGCATTCTTAGTAAAAGCGTGTAAATGTGGCATTCTTAGTAAAAGCGTGTAAATATAGCATTCTTGGTAAAAAAATGTGACATTCTTGTAAAAATGTGTAAATATGGCATTGGTAAAATAGGTGTGAAATGTGACATTCTTGGTAAAAATGTGTAGATATGGCATTCTTGGTACAATAGGTGTAAATATGGCATTCTTGGTAAAAACGTGTAAATGTGGCATTCTTGGTAAAAACGTGTAAATGTGGCATTCTTGGTAAAAACGTGGCATTCTTAGTAAAAGCGTGTAAATGTGGCATTCTTAGTAAAAGCGTGTAAATATAGCATTCTTGGTAAAATGTTGAAATGTGACATTCTTGGTAAAAATGTGTAGATATGGCATTCTTGGTACAATAGGTGTAAATATGGCATTCTTGGTAAAAACGTGTAAATGTTGCATTCTTGGTAAAACGTGTAAATATGGTATTCTTAGTAAAAACGTGTAAATGTGGCATTCTTGTTAAAAACGTGTAAATGTGGCATTCTTAGTAAAAGCGTGTAAATGTGGCATTCTTAGTAAAAGCGTGCAACTATGGCATTCTTGGTAAAGCTTGTAAATGGGGCATTCTTGGTAAAGCTTGTAATTGGGGCATTCTTGGTGTCGTGTCCACTACTGCTCTTTTTTAAATTGGGGAGGCAGAGTTTTGTAAATCTGTGTCTGTGCAATACTGTACGGGTGTTTATGCTTATGTTAACACGACGAAAAGATATTCCATCAGTATGTCCATGTTATGCTACAGCAAAAACCCTAACATACACATTTTAAAAATAAAATTCACCGATCGACGATTAGTAAAATCGGGAGAAAAACTCCAGAACCTCAAAGATGATGACTGTGAAGTAGAAAACAAAAATGTCCCCTGATCCATATTATGAGTTTTACATTTCCTTGCTAGATTTGGCTCGCAGAGTATTTCAACTTATTGGAAATTTCCTGGTGAACCATGAAGACTTTTCCTAGTTGCAGCATTTTGTGGTCGTGTCTATGGTTATTTTCAATGAGGAATACCTACTTGCCCTTTTATTATTTTTTTATCTTTCGGTCTATGCTCACATTTTCTTTTTTAAAAAAGTGACAGAACCTTTCCACTTGACTGAACAAAGAGGAGTTCCGTGATTGTGAATGATTTTAGAATCAAACAAACATTCATTTCTCCCAGCACATATTTAGTGATATATTGCGGTTAAATGACCGAGATTTCGACCTGTGTCATGTTCTGGTCTCGAATAAGTTCGAGAAATCGAGAGGAAAAAAACATCAATGGCATATCTTAACCAATGACATATAAGTGTGTAGTCTGTGATATATGTCTGACAATGCTTGAAGTTTGATCATATGTATCAAACGATATATATGAGTGATTCTACTGGTGCAAAATGATAATTGAATTAAAAAAATGACACGTCCACATAGTCTTGTTTGTAATATCAGTACATGCTTTCTTGAAACAAATACGAGAGAGGTTTTCAAAAGCATTTTTTTTCTTTTTAATCCCTGCTACTGCACCTTATAATACAAAAAACCTACGCGCTCTTTATCTACATTAATTTCCTTTAAAGTTTCCTTTACTTTTCAAATGAACACACAAAAATGCATAAATCAACTGCGCCTCCCTGCCATAATACATGAAAAATGCGTTAAACTCTTTGTACAGGGCTAGTACAAGTGAAATTAAATTAAGAAAACATGTAGCAGTTTTGAGTTTGCATTTGCTTATCTATCGTCAAACATCCTTCGAGATTTTAGCATAATTTCTATTTCTTTTGAATAATTCATGCTTTCACAGGAATTCTTCATAATGAGTACATTGTATATAAAACTGTATCCTACCATTCTTCAGAAGCTGTCTTTTGTGGTATCTAAAATGTTAGAAGAAAATTTATTTTTTGTCCATTCAATTGCAGAAATCCTCCTTTCAATATATTTTCTTTCTTTACATTTGAAACTTCTCCTAAATGGGCATTTAAAGATCTGTGTAATAAAACGTTTAATTTGAGTCCAAGTAAACAAACTTATTTTCAATAAATGATTTCCATGGAAACCTATATACAAAGTTAGTTATGTTCTCTCCTGAAAACGGACTTTGATACCGTCTCTGGCTTGAATTATAAGCAGTGGTACAGGAACGACTTCGTGATTTTCCTCTATTACGATCCTGAACCTGAAAACAACCATAAACTGATACTATCATACAGGCTCAATCAACATTTGCATGACTGCTTCACGAGTGTTTCAAGCAGAAGAACGATAGTAGAATTATGAAAAATACAGTTGCTTTGGATGAGAGGATCAAATATATCAGCTAATGTTACACTTGGCCTTTAACCTCAATTAAATTTTGGCTTGAATATAAACGTATTTTACAATGACTGTTTGACTACAAATTGCTAATATCAACATATCTCATAAATTCGTGACCTCGCAAAATTGTGGAGGGATGCAACCTTACACACATACAAACACATATTTACGAACCTCTTAAGTATCCTTGCAAGTAGCACTTTCTGTTCGTTTGTCGAAAAGTTTTTTCCGATGCAATTCCTGAAATGAATTACAAAAAAATATCGTAGATATATATTATTCCTTTATTGAAAACTACTGATATTCATGAAATAAATATTGGTGATATTATACATATTCAAGAGCTCTCTCCCATCCCCCACTACAACCCCCACCCCCACTCCCCCATCCCCCCACCCCTACCCCCACACCCTGCTGCTTCTTTTTATAAACGGATCTAATAGCATCATCTGTAGCCACAGATAATTATTAAAAATCATTTCAAACTGTGGACAGACAAAACCCAAACTAACAAACCTTAGTCCAGCTGAAAATGGTAGGTAGGCATAAGGATGTCTTTTTTCTGTATTTTCTGTAAGAAACCTTTCTGGGCGAAATTCCTGCAAAGTAAAGATAAATCTATAAAAATGTGAAAATATTATACAATCTGATAACAATAAGCAGGATGAGCAAAGTATGTATGTTCACATATTCACGGAGCTAGGAATCTGTGTATACTTACAAAAACCCTTGGCAATATTAAATACATGTAAAAACTTCACGTTTTGTTTTCATTACGATACAATATTCCGCGTGTTTTATTAGTAAACTCAACGTATGAGCGAAAATAAACGTTTGCGTGCTATTGGTGTCCTAGAGACTCTACTGCCTTAGAATAACGTGCCAGGGCAGTTAGGGGTCCCCTTAATACGATACATGATTCGAGTGGGCGCTTTCAGAAGATGAACACAATATGAGATCGCTCAGGAACAGAACTTCTGCGTGTGACGTCACTTGACCGCTCGCAGTATTTCATAAGTAAGGTCGATTGTTTTATTAACTGTGTCATTATTCAGGTAATGCATTGTTCAGAAAGATGTGGTACATAATGTTACTTATTGTTTTTACGTCAGAATTTATAATTTAAAAGTCGAAATACCGAATTTTCCATCATTACATAATGCACGTGTTTCAACACCAGAGGTAACAGATGGAAAGTTATACATATTGCGTTAACACTAGGAAACATACTGTCATAATGTTGCTATCAACACAATATAGGCTTCTTCGTCATAACATATTTATCCGCCAAAAGGTGTTTGAAAACAGACAGTAATAACAGGTTATATTACAATATATAGTAATAACAGGTTATACTACGTACATAGTAGTAACAGGTTAAACTACAATTCATAGTAATAACAGGTTATACTACAATAAATAGTAATAACAGGTTATACTACGTACATAGTAATAACAGGTTATACTACAATACATAGTAATAACAGGTTATACTACAATACATAGTAATAACAGGTTATAATACTGTACATAGTAATAACAGGTTATACTACAATACATAGTAATAACAGGTTATACTATTGTACATAGTAATAACAGGTTATACTACAATTCATAGTAATAACAGGTTATACTACAGTACATAGTAATAACAGGTTATACTACAATACATAGTAATAACAGGTTATACTACAATACAAAGTAATAACAGGTTATACAATGCAAAGTAGTAACAGGTTATACTACAATGCAAAGTAATAACAGGTTATACTATTGTACATAGTAATAACAGGTTATACTACAATACATAGTAATAACAGGTTATACTACAGTACATAGTAATAACAAGTTATACTACTGTACATAGTAATAACAGGTTATACTACAATACATAGTAATAACAGGTTATAATACTGTACATAGTAATAACAGGTTATACTACTGTACTTGGTAATAACAGGTTATACTAAAATACATAGTAATAACAGGTTATAATACTGTACATAGTAATAACAGGTTATACTACAGTACATAGTAATAATAGGTTATACTACAATACAAAGTAATAACAGGTTATACTACAATACATAGTAATAACAGGTTAAACTATTGTAGGTTATACTAACATAGTAATAATAGGTTATACTACAATACAAAGTAATAACAGGTTACAATACATAGTAATAACAGGTTAAACTATTGTACATAGTTATAACAGGTTATACTATTGTACATAGTAATAACAGGTTATAATACTGTACATAGTAATAACAGGTTATACTACAATACATAGTAATAACAGGTTATACTATTAACAGGTACATAGTAAAGGTTATAAGTAATAACAGGTTATACTACAATACATAGTAATAACAGGTTATACTACAATACATAGTAATAACAGGTTATACTATACAAAGTAATAACAGGTTATACATAGTAATAACAGGTTATACTACAATGCAAAGTTAATAACAGGTTATACTACAATACATAGTAATAACAGGTTATACTATTGTACATAGTAATAACAGGTTATACTACAACATAGTAATAAAAGGTTATACTGTACATAGTAATAACAGGTTATACTACAATACATAGTAATAACAGGTTATTATACAAAGTAATAACAGGTTATACAATGCAAAGTAATAGTAATAACAGGTTATACATAGTAATAACAATACAATACATAGTAATAACAGGTTATACTACTGTACATAGTAATAACAGGTTATACATAGTAATAACATATTGTACATAGTAATAACAGGTTATACTACTAAAATACATAGTAATAACAGGTTATAATACTGTACATAGTAATAACAGGTTATACTACAGTACATAGTAATAATAGGTTATACTACAATACAAAGTAATAACAGGTTATACTACAATACATAGTAACAGGTTATACTATTGTACATAGTAATAACAGGTTATACTACAATACATAGTAATAACAGGTTATAATACTGTACATAGTAATAACAGGTTATACTACAATACATAGTAATAACAGGTTATACTATTGTACATAGTAATAACAGGTTATACTACTGTACATAGTAATAACAGGTTATACTACAATACATAGTAATAACAGGTTATACTACAATACATAGTAATAACAGGTTATAATACAGTACATAGTAATAGCATTTTCACCTTTCAAGGTAGTTATCATTGAAGTCATCATACATGATATCTCTGTGTAATTGATTGTTGTTTTCCATTACACTTACTTTGGGGTTAGGGAAAACATCAGGCCGAAGATGAATAGCAAGAAAGTTGACAACAATCATACTTCCAGCAGGAAGAGTAACGCCTTCTATTTCCAAGTCCTCTGTAAGTAATCGAGTAGTTGAACCAGCTGGTGGGTACAGCCTTAATGTTTCCTTTAAAAACATTGACATCTTTGGTAATTTTCCGAGGTCGTCCCTTAAATGATGATGAAGACATGCTCATGTGTCACCTTATCATTTAACATATGTTTGACGTATATTTCAACCATGGATGGTGCAAATTGATTTGAAAAGTTACTATGCATTTCATATCTTTCACTTAAAATAACATTTATAAATTGTATGACGTCATGAATACCTGTATCAAATATATCTTTTACAGCGCAGCTTCAATGAGCAGGGTTGATAAACGATCATAAGGATTTTCGTAAATATATCCTTTGAATAATTACAAAAGCTGAAAGTTGATGTCGCGCCACTCTTGGCTTGTTTCTTTGATTTGAGCTTAACATAAAATTATCATGTTGGTCAGTACTTTGCTCAAAAAAGTTATACTGACAAAAAAAATAAAATATTAAATGCATTTATTTCGAAAGTATCAAAATTCCCTATGATCAGAACATGAAGCAAGTTTTTTTAAGTATAATTCATTTTGGTGTGGTGATCTAGAGCATATTTCACACCTTAACAGCCTGTGGCGTCGGTAGAGTAGATATGGTTACAGATGCTAATAAACAATTATCAAAAATTATTTATCTCTAAAGTGGAAATTTTTTAGACTAAATACTCGAAGACAAATTTGTGTTACAATTTTCACTATACGGGACGATTTGATGAATTTCGATTAATTGACAAGAAAGGAGAAAATTTCAGATTAAAGGAATGCAAGTTTCGGCACATTTTCCTGTATAATAAATGTATGTAAAAAAACTCAGTATGAGCATATTACTTTTCCGCTTCTTTGATAGATTAAAGGAACTGAAGTTTTTATTGATTTTACTATTTTTCCAAATATATTATATTTACCATTCTATATTTGTTCGGTCTCCTGTGACGTCACAAACTTCCTGATAAAGTTTTTCTTGTTCCTCTGGATATTTTCCCATGTTGTATATGGCCCATCCCAGAACCGCTTTAGTAGTGTCATGCCCTGGGTGGAAACATAGAAACTTGAGAATCTGAAAGTTTTCATTCTGTTTCATCATTGCTTCGATATTTTGTCTTTGGTGTTTCGTTTTTCCGGACTTAAAATTATTGCAGTTACTACAAGGATGAACTCATTTGGTTGTTAAGTTCGTTACGTGTTAAAAAGACGATAATTACCTGCAAACATAAAAGTGTTTACTTCGTCACGGATTTCTTGGTCCGTTAGTCCGGATCCGGATTCATCTTTCGCCGACAATATAATATCAAGAAAATCCAACTTCTTTTTCTTTTGAAGTAACGACGGGTCATCTACCTGATAATGTAACCAGATGCCATTTTCAGCGCATATATTTGTAAATATAAAGTACTATATGGAATTAACTCTTTATTCTGTTCTATTATATATTATATTTCAGGTTCACGAAGGATACAGGTTGACAAAGTCTTATTTTAAAAAAAGTTTCGTGAATGCCTATGTGATAGTATTTGAAAATGGTCTATCGCATTGTGTCAAATGAACTTCGATTTCGAAGCTATTCAGCATGCCTGTTGTAAGTAATCCGGTTCTCATTTTTTTTTAGAATTAGACATTACTGCGATTGGCCTCAATTTATATAGCAGAAGTTGCTGATAACGCAGAAGCTAATTTGCCTTTTACACCCTTAGTCAAATCGAAAATATTTACTTAAATTCATGTTATGCTGTTGTTTTAAAGATTATTTGCGTTTGACTAACATGCCAATATTTTAATTTTCATCTTGTGACAAATCCAAATTGTCTATTCCTAACTATGGCGATTGTTTTAAGCATCATGTGGATGATCGATATTCTGTTTTATGCATTTAATTTTTTCATATTTTATATTTATATTTCAAACATAACTTCACGGTCATAGAAAATCTCCTCAGATTACGTCGATGGTCTCATCTTAATTATCAAATCTAATCATAAAGGTATTGATTGATCGATCGATCGAACGATTGATTAATTGATTGGTTGATTAATTAATTGATTGATTGATTGGTTGGCAAATAGTATTGACCTAATATTGATATTTTCAAAGCGATCATAAGAATAACAATCTCCTATGAAGGTTAAACAGATATACTTAAAAACGTACTATTTCCTTTTTCCTTTTCGCGATTATTTCGTCGGCAAATCTATGCATATAATTGACGTGTTTCATGTACTCCTTGCCGTTGTTTGACATCATGTACACATTCCACCATAGAAAGTGCCACGGCTTCCTGTAATTAAGGACAGTGATTTAAAATGACTAGACGTAGAATGATGCACTGCTTCCCAACACGAATATTAATATGAAATATCGGAGAGATTTAATTAAGAATCGTTATCATTACCAGATCACTTTGATATGACATATTTTATAGTTGTTATTGGGGTGAACCCTATGTCGCTGTATATATCTTACTTGATTCTTTCCATGGTAAGTCTCGACATCTCATGAACGGCTTCAATGTAAGGATGCTTTTCCCTTCATAAACACGTTAAAATGTATCAATCATAGAATTAAAACGAACATCTAATCTCCAGAAATTTGTATTAATACTTTCCTATAACAAATTTGAGTTCAAAATTCAGGATAAACAAACAACACGAACTGGGAATCCTTCTTGGGAAAATCATAAATCATACAAGCCATGAGAATTCTTATAGATTCACATCACAAATTTTCAGAGATACTCCTAGTAAATTAATTAATAGAGGAAATGGGAACACGTTTCTAATTCAATTTCAATTGATGATTTTTCGTAATTTATCAAAAATATATTTACCGTTTCTGAATTTTTCCATCATACGAAAGCGAGCACCGCAATATAACATCTAGCGTTACCTGGTTTAATGTATCCATGATGTCCATGCTGTGTGGACTTTCTGCCATTTTTTCTGCCAGTTTGTCCTATTGAAAAAAAAAATGTACATGTTTTGATAGATAGAGTATATTGAATTATGTCTATAACAAAATACATCTCACAAGTAGGGCTAATCGTTGGGTATATTTCAAGAACGCACATCACGTGTGAAGCTACCAAAACATCAGTCACAATATTGAAACTTTGAAACAGTGTGTAATATTTAAGTTTTTCTTAGTGTGTGAACTAATAAAAACATCTTCTTCTGAACACATTCGTTGTTAACATCGACATTTTCAGTGGGACGTTTAGTAACCTAAATTGTACTCCATTGATTGCACCGAGTCTTGCTTTGTCCAAATCGAAAATAGCAACAAACCAGAAGTTGCTAGAAAGAAAACTACTGTAAATATTACCCAACATACCAATAAAATGTCGGCAGCTTCATTATATACGTTCACATAGGGCCGCAAAACATCGAAATGAAAAGCAGGTGTGAGCAATTTCCGGTTCCGTTCCCATTTCTCGCCATTGCTGACAACTAAACCGTCACCTTCGAAAGAAAGTTTTCGATTTAAGTGTTGTTTTGGATAGTCATTGATTGATCATAACATAATTTTACAATTTTATTCTTTTTGATAAGATAAGTACATGGCTTATTTGTCCTTAAAAAAACAAATCGACCGTGGACTGAAATTCGAGGTTGATATCCATCGACATCAAAATGTTATAAGTTTTACGTTAAATATCATACAAGTAAAGTGTCATTTAAATTAATGAACTCATATAGAAAAAATCTGTTTTTCTTTAAATCACTTTGAAATATTTCGGTCAGTAATTGAGTGTGAAATGCGAGGTGTTGTAAAATCTAAGTTGAATTTGTAATTGAGTTGGAAGTTTATTTCGCTGGTTTCTCACTGGTCAAGGAGTACGTGAGGTGTCCGATTCCTTGACCTAATCTCTCTCTCTCTCTCTCTCTGTTTCTCTTTTGCTAACCTGTCTGTAAGTATAACAAACTTGTCAGATGCCTTGGCCTGACCACTCTTTACCCAATGTGCCAGGAAGCCATGGATATTTGCTTAAGATTTTGACCGGTAAATTATCAGATACCTTGTGAAATGTTTCTTGTGCTCATATGGTTATTAACTTATTACTTTTAGCTGGACAACATTGGTCAGATCTTAAAGAAGCTCCGTTACATTCTTGTCATATCTAATGACCACTATGTTACATTCTTGTCATATCTAATGGCTACTATGTTACATTCTTGTCATATCTAATGGCCACTATGTTACATTCTTGTCATATCTAATGGCCACTACGTTACATTCTTGTCGTATCTAATGGCCACTACGTTACATTCTTGTCGTATTTAATGGCCACTACGCTACATTCTTGTCGTATCTAATGGCTACTATGTTACATTCTTGTCGTATCTACTGGCTACTATGTTACATTCTTGTCGTATCTAATGGCCACTATGTTACATTCTTGTCGTATCTAATGGCCACTATGTTACATTCTTGTCGTATCTAATGGCCACTATGTTACATTCTTGTCGTATCTAATGGCCACTACGTTACATTCTTGTCGTATCTAATGGCCACTACGTTACATTCTTGTCATATCTAATGGCTACTGTGTTACATTCTTGTCATATCTAATGGCCACTACGCTACATTCTTGTCATATCTAATGGCTACTATGTTACATTCTTGTCATATCTAATGGCCACTACGTTACATTCTTGTCATATCTAATGGCTACTATGTTACATTCTTGTCATATCTAATGGCTACTATGTTACATTCTTGTCATATCTAATGGCTACTATGTTACATTCTTGTCATATCTAATGGCTACTATGTTACATTCTTGTCATATCTAATGGCCACTACGTTACATTCTTGTCATATCTAATGGCCACTATGTTACATTCTTGTCGTATCTAATGGCTACTATGTTACATTCTTGTCGTATCTAATGGCCACTATGTTACATTCTTGTCATATCTAATGGCTACTATGTTACATTCTTGTCATATCTAATGGCCACTACGCTACATTCTTCTCATATCTAATGGCCACTATGTTACATTCTTGTCATATCTAATGGCTACTATGTTACATTCTTGTCATATCTAATGGCCACTACGTTACATTCTTGTCATATCTAATGGCCACTATGTTACATTCTTGTCATATCTAATGGCTACTATGTTACATTCTTGTCGTATCTAATGGCCACTATGTTACATTCTTGTCACATCTAATGGCCACTGTGTTACATTCTTGTCGTATCTAATGGCCACTATGTTACATTCTTGTCGTATCTAATGGCCACTATGTTACATTCTTGTCGTATCTAATGGCCACTATGTTACATTCTTGTCGTATCTAATGGCCACTATGTTACATTCTTGTCATATCTAATGGCCACTATGTTACATTCTTGTCGTATCTAATGGCCACTATGTTACATTCTTGTCGTATCTAATGGCCACTATGTTACATTCTTGTCGTATCTAATGGCCACTATGTTACATTCTTGTCGTATCTAATGGCCACTATGTTACATTCTTGTCGTATCTAATGGCCACTACGTTACATTCTTGTCGTATCTAATGGCCACTACGTTACATTCTTGTCATATCTAATGGCTACTATGTTACATTCTTGTCATATCTAATGGCCACTACGCTACATTCTTGTCATATCTAATGGCTACTATGTTACATTCTTGTCATATCTAATGGCCACTACGTTACATTTTTGTCATATCTAATGGCTACTATGTTACATTCTTGTCATATCTAATGGCCACTACGCTACATTCTTGTCATATCTAATGGCTACTATGTTACATTCTTGTCATATCTAATGGCTACTATGTTACATTCTTGTCATATCTAATGGCCACTACGTTACATTCTTGTCATATCTAATGGCTACTATGTTACATTCTTGTCGTATCTAATGGCTACTATGTTACATTCTTGTCGTATCTAATGGCCACTACGCTACATTCTTGTCATATCTAATGGCTACTATGTTACATTCTTGTCATATCTAATGGCCACTATGTTATATTATCTGAGAAAAACAAAATATGTATGTAGTAGTGAGATAGATTAGAGTCAAAGCAATTGTATGATTTCAAGTCAACTATCTTAAGACGTCACGATAACATTGTCAAACATGGAATGTTTAAACGTGGAAATGTTAGTACGGTTTGTCGTGAAGAAGGACGCAAAGAAGAGAAATTATAATATGATTTTTTTAAAAATATATATTACGGATGCTAGAATCTAGATAAAGTGGAAGAGCGTGGAGGAATAGGATGCGTTTTGAAATCAGCTCACCTAGAAATGGCGTGAAGAGGCTATATGGCTCGCCTCTGTCCTTTGGTTTTGGTTCTGATGACCGGAGTATTATAGCGGCAGTGTCTGGATGTATGGCTTGTACATTCGGTATAACGGATATCCATTCAATGGTCATTTTTCCTGTGGCGTTTTCCATTAGTGAAGCCATCCGGTCAATGATTGATTCCGACAAACTGAACTGAAACAAAGATGATAAGACCCTAAACGTGAAACGTATTTATTTACCTCAGATTTGTGTGATATTTGAGATATTTATACTTTGTGGGAATTTTTACTGGTGAAATTGGACTTAAAAGACACCTCTTCACTGCACTAAAGATTTTGATATTTTCTTCTTCTATTACAATATTGGGACCCTTTCTAAGTTATTAACATTAAAGATTGTTAACCAACAACAAAATTATTTAACTCCCACATTAGTAACCCAATGCCGTTCCTCATCTAGGGTCAATGGTTATCAAGTGTTGACATCAGGTGTGTATGTTAGTACCCAAAGTTCTGAAAGTTCAAACCTTTGGTCAATACACTTAGCCCCAAGGTAGCTAAGTACAAGTAACCTAGGTCCGTAAGTTGAATATTTTGGGCCTTATTTTTAGGGATCCATACAGTCATCATAGATTCATTCTGAGCTCTTAGCAATAAGTAAGACCATGCTTATATAACTTGTGTCCCTAAAAATAACTGGAATAAAAATAACCGATTTACTACATTATGGTACAAGGGAACGGGGAACCTCTTACGGCCTTTATCAACAATCGTTGATAGGCTTCTGTCAATACGCACAATTTAACTTACAAATTTAAGATGTCCCCAAAACCAATGATATTTCCTCAATGGTTTGAATGGCTTGATCAGTTTGCAGAACTTATAATATCTCCAAAGGACTGGGACGATCGTCCAGAGGCCATAGCCGACCACAAGGGAGAAGATAACCTCCATCAAGCCTGCCATGGTCCTGAAGTATATAAAAAAACACAAGTAGATAGTTCTTTCCAGTACAAATCTAAAACTAGATACAACAAAGACATGTTAGCTGTATACAATGGATGTGGTCGATAAATTTCTTGTTTTAAAATACTACACGTCATCAAAATATTTGAATGTGTGTGAAAGACTTTGCAAGTCTTGATGGCCTGTTTTAATCATCTCTTCAACACATTTAGCCTTGTATATAAACAAAAACAAGTCAAGCAACAGAGGGGCACATTTAAACAAATATCTTATTACGTGGGGCGTTCTTGAATCGGAATTGAAATGTGACAAGGTTGAATAAGAAGAAATAGATTTCATGGAAAAAGATCAACCTTTTTCTCTGTTAACTTGCATGGACATGGGAAAAGAAAAAAATGGAGGCTGGATGATTGATGCGACGATAGCGACGAAGTTGTTGTGTTAGATCAGGTGAACATCGTAATGCATGTCAATATTACACCGCTATTGATGTTATACTATTGTACGTTATCAAAAAATACACAAACAATGAAATAACCTTTTTGTTGAACTAATACAAATTGTGGCTTATTGTGCATATACCTTGGCTGAACTGATATAAATGTTGATATTGTGGCTTATTATATATAAACCTTGTGATATGTATTCGGTGTTTGTTATTTGTTGATAATGAATTCAAACATCTTCTGTATACTCAAAATCTCACGATATGTATCAGTCGTAATTTGCAAGGTAAGTCATATGACTATCTTCATCAAATTTTCTATGTTTATATCGATATCAAATTTATCAATCACATAAGAACCTATTTGGAATTCTGAAAACGGATATCTGTTTTCTTTGTTTGACGGTCATATCAGATAGTCTCTGTTGAGTATCAAACGATTCACTATAGCTAATATTTGACAGTCTAGTTATCGTTAACAGTGAACAGGAAGTGTATACAGACGCCTGGGTCAAGGTAGTCTTCTTATGCAGCATGGCATTTATGTAAACATAGCCGATGTGTGAAATTAGTTTATGTGTAAAAGCATAAACGATTCTGCTGTAAGCAAAACGTAATGGTCTTTTGTACAGTGTTGTGATATTGGTACTTACCCTGTCTGTGCTCTTTAAGACGAATTCAGACGGAACGTGTAGTCTGTAGAAAAACTCTCGGTGATAATTGATGTGCCCTATATTTAGCTGCGATGAATTGAGGCCGCCAATGGGGATTAAAGCGAAACAAATTGAGTGAATACTAAAATTTCTATTCTTTCCTGTATGTTCGGAACCTAATAACAATTACTTTGAAACAAGTTTAAAAGGACACGTAGCTGTATTAGACAGTAGCAGAATACGCTGTTTTTATAATAACGTCTGAAGTTTGTAATTGGCTCTTCAGAAATATAAGCTAAAAATATCAACTCTCCATGTCAATTTAGCGCTTTCATAAACAACAAAAATGAGTAAAGGAAAAAATATAGAGATTAAATGCATTGCATTTCATTATGAAACGTTCTGAATAAAAATCACAATATCAATAAAGTAATGAAGAATAAAAATCGCGAGTTTGAGAATATTAACCAATAAGAATTTGAATGTAAAATAACAATATCAAATAAATAAATCAATAAATGATTAATTTTATACCCTTGATCACAAAATGTTAATTGATCTTGGAAATATATTAAATTAGGACTAAGTACGAAGAAATATTTACACATAAGCCCATGAAAAAGAAAAGGAAAAATATTTTAAGAATGACCATGTGTTCCGGAAGGGTTATCATTCTCTGTTTTATTGATCGGCACCCGCTGTTAGTGCATCAGACTTCAAGAAAAGAAAATATTCCTCCATTGAAACTATAGTTATGGGAAGGTTTCGATTGACTTCTGGTTAAAAATAGTATTGACGTTAAGAACATACATTGTCTAAATGCCTGCTTAATATAATATGTGTTTTAGACGTTATTACATCGTAACCGGATAGTGATGCAAGAAAAATAATTTTATTCATTGAACACACGAAAACAACATAATTTTTCAATAATTTTGTAAACAAGATACAGAATCTCATAAGTTGAACAGTCAGTAAAATTAATCATCCGGTCCTGTTTTTAATCACCATTTCTAACATCGGCGATTTACAACAACATGTTGGTATCATTACTGATATATCTCTACAACTTATTAGTATTCTTAGAAAATTGATAGGAAAGGCCTTCAACAAATGGAATACAAATGAACAAAACAGCAATTGAATGTATGAAAACGAACGTAACACGAGTGTATGAAGCTTGAGGAATAAGAAATAATATGTCATTAGACCCACTAGCCCTGACTCGCTCTGTATAGAAAAACTGATTGAAATACTGTCAAACAGAAGACGTAAACATAAAGTAATTCAGTTACGCAAAATCTTTAAGAGATTAACACCTATCGACCTAACAAATATACTTCCTGATCGAACCATTAAAATGCATGACCATGCCAGTCACAAAATATCGTTTATCTACTACCTAGACGAACAATTTGTTCGTTCCTTTCACCACAAACTTGTATTGTTTGCCTATTGTCACGAAAAGAAATTCTCCGATTTCATTCTCAAAACTACACTGAAATTAAATGTTCCTTCGTATTACAATTTTGATAAATGAAAAGGACATATCTATTACGTTGGACTACGTTCAAATTTGTAGCGCTCTTCGAGACCAGTTTTACATGTATAACACAATGCATTACCTACAGTGTCCTTCGCCATCAATATATCACACTTCAAATAGATATGGATACTTTCTTTGTGACGATACAAATCGTACAGAAGCAGAAAATAACGCGTTCATGCAGATTTTTTTGTAAACTATATACCCTAAATTATTGTAATTAAATTGTGCTAGATAACATGTATTGTCGTTCATTATTAACATAGGGCTGGTTGATTTTTGAGGTACATGTTGGCAATTTCAATTCCGAAATATTTTGAGTGATCATGAAGAAGGATTAACGTAGTACATGGAGAAAAAGGGGGAAAAAAATAAAAATCCAGTGTGGTCTGTGCCACTTCGTCACAGTCACCACAATTTTACAATATAGTGCATGTCGGATTATATTGATCTTTGATAATTACAGGGTCCTGTTCTGTCTCATGATGGTCTATGTAAAACTTTGAATTTCCATTAGCTGTACAAACGTACATGTTTTATTACAAATAAATATATATTTATATATACAAACAAAATCCTTATGATTTATTGAATTAGTTGTATGTATAAATGACTAATCAAAAAAATATATTGGGTTAACCAAATATGTTCAATTAATTATCACACATATATCTTTACCACGGTCCAATTCACTCGAATAGTGGCACGGTTCAGAAAACACACATGTACTCGACGCTTCTCTAAAATTATCTGATGTATGAAAATTGCGAAATTTATAGAATTATGGGGCTGCTTCACCTCCTTGTCTTGATTTTTTGCTTTTCTTTTGATCACTTTGGACTTTGCTTAGTCAGCTCCAAGGCTTCAAAAATTTATCATCTCTGACGAGTTCTAGAAGGACAAAATAGCTGCATGGTGCAGTTTAATTCAGTGTTTGGCTCTACTAGATCTCACACTAAATTATGAAAAAGTCTGATCACGTGTATGTCTTTTGTATATCTTTGTGGCCTATAACTGAAAATAGTTTAAAATTATTAATAAATGTTCAGTTATTATTTCATCCTGTTTGTTTTTTTTCTAGTTTTTAATTATTCGATATCATAAACATCTTGTCTGCTTTCGCGTATCGTTGGCTATTACTTTATGCATTTATTGGTATAAAATACTTATATTGGATTTGCGTTTTAGTTGTATGTTAATTCTAATTTTCCTTTAGTGAATTTTTCATTTATGGATAGCAACATGACTTGCATTGCCAACATATGGTGTTCCTATGTCGATTCGATATTCAAGCGATTGATCCTAATATCACGATTTTTGTTCAAGATGTCTGAAACTGACAAACTCAAAATACATGGTTTGTAGAAATACAAGTTAATGAAGCTAAACGGAAAATTTTACGATCGTCATGATGGTATCATAGAGAAATATTCTATTTTTTCTGTGACATGAAACTAGGCGTATTTGATTCTCGTTATTTTACCTGTTGTTTCCATTGTTGTATACCGTATTCTCATTTAAAACGAGACATTATTCGATTTAACAAGATTTACATGAAAATTAATAAATAAATTGTAAATTATTACATTGACAATAGACAGGGCACGCTAGCTTACGCAATTCATGAAGGGAATACAGCACTAAGAACTTGATGTCACATGAACTTGGAGTCAAGACATCGTCAGGATTTGATATTTCCAAGTATTTGTCTTTTCCCCCTTTAAACATCATTTGCATCCTTTTGTCAGGATGTATCCAGCTTAGGCAAAATCACGATTTACTTTTCTTCTGGATTGGCATTTATTGGCATTTCAGTTATGTCTTAAATATTCAAAATTGTTTATCTGTCTATTTCATACATTATTGTAAGCTGATAATACAAAGCAAAAAGTAACCTAAATGTCTTTGCTAGATAAAGTAACAGCTGGTAAGTAGCCCAAGGCAGAGAATAGATGTCAAAAAGTAGAGCTCTTTGTCAAAATACAATTATCGTCTCTCCTCAAAACGGACTTTGATTCCGTCTCTGGACTGGACTATGAACAATGGTATAGGGACGACCTCGTGATCATCATCCAACACTATTTTAAACCTGAAAAAAAGCATCAGATTATCATACACATATTTAATTTCTCTTTGAATGAATAGCGGTTCTGTAGATAAAAGTATTTTTTTTCAGAATCAAAGTAGGTGGGTGGAATTTTGTAATATAGAATGGAAACGGAATTGAATGTAGTTGGACAGAAGTGAAATTACGTTATATTAAAAATTTGTGGACATATTTACCTTTTTAGAATTCTACCCAGTATTACTTTCTGTTCGTTTGTCGAGAAGTTTTTTCCGATGCAATTCCTGCAAAAACCAATAAGTCATGAATAAATATATTACGTAACTTTCCTGCACAGACAACGTTTATTTATAAGTATATAAGTGTAGAAGTCAACAAAGCGAAAACAAAGTATTCTTCTCACGAATGTAAACAAACCTTGGTCCGGCTGAGAAAGGAATGTAAGCATAAGGGTGTCTGTTTTCTGTATTTTCTGGTAAAAATCGTTCTGGGCGAAATTCCTGAAAAAAAAGAAACTTCTCTTCAAGAATATTTGTACAGTTATAAACAGTTATGAACGTAATTTTTGCTACAAGTAAAAAAACAGATTTATTAAAGAAAGCGAGAGAATTTTCAACTAATTCAATTGAACAAATTCAAATAATCAACTACTTCGAACATTAAATGTAATTTAATTGTTCGTTAATCTCTACAAAAAAGCCAAAAGGCTTTTGATTCTTTGGAATCTGAAACATTGATAAAGAATTGTGTCAATATGCTGGAATCTTTATTTCGAACGGGTCAAAAAGGGGTTAAATTGTCTCGAACAGTGTTACCTCTATAATGTTAAAATTAAACTCATATTATATATAGAATAATCACACTTACTCTTGGGTTAGGGAAAACATCAGGCCGATAGTGAATAGCATAAATGTTGACAAAAATTAAACTTCCGATTGGAAGCGTCACTCCCTCAATTTCCAGTGGCTCTGTCAGAGAACGATTAGTTGAAGCTGCCGGTGGATACATCCTCAAAGTCTCCTTCAAAAACATCGACATCTTTGGTAATTTACCGAGATCTTCCCTACAACAAAATTCAAGACTGTTGTATTTAAATATCTTATATAGAAAGATCTGTTCAATACATCAGCTTGTAGGTAATAAACCAAAACTATGAAAAAGTTTGAAGATAAAAAAATCAAGACACTTTTTCTAGCAAATATCCATTAAAGACTGTACGTTAAAGCAAGGAGAATGTATAAGTTGCATGATTTTGTTCAGATCCGAGTCATCATTATTTTTTAGATATTTCAATTTTTGCAATCAGTTAAAAACTGTTCCTAGTAATCCTAATAACATTTGTTGATAGCAAATTTACTTTCAGTAAGATTTCTTTTTCGTGAAGAAAATACCGAAAGTCAAATTATATCTCACTCGCAAAATGCCAAGACACATTACACGTACACCAAAGTTTAAATCTTGGCAGCTTTTATTAAAAATATATTTGGGAACCTAAAAACAGAATTAGGAATTTTGGTATATTGATGACTACATATATATACATATACAGGAATAAAAAATGCAAAAAAAACACACTCACTCTTTCTCTCTCAATTTATCTAATAACGAAATCGCACAGCAGTATCACAGAAGCGTTATTGATGATTCTACAGAGACAGATCATTGATTAAAACGAGTAAGGGGCTAAAATGTAATGTTTTACCCTTCTATATTTGTCCGGTCTCCTGTGACGTCACAAACTTCCTGATAAAGCTTTTCTTGTTCCTCTGGATATTTTCCCATGTTGTATATGGCCCATCCCAGAACTGCTTTAGTAGTGTCATGCCCTGGGTGAAGAAACGATGAAGAAAAAATGAAAACTTATCACTTGTAATATTGTAATACAGATATTTCGATAAATAGTTTTTTTTATCAAAAATAAAAATGACATAATTTCGTGTGGACGTAAAATCATTTTAATTACGAAAAAAATTATAAGTTGATTGCGAACCTGCAAACATAAAAGTGTTGACCTCGTCTCGGATTTCTTCGTCCGTTAGTCCTGATCCGGATTCATCTCTAGCTGTTATTATGATATCAAGAAAATCCAACTTTCGTTTTTTCTGGAGTACCGACGGGTCATCTGCCTGTTAATAAAAACACTAATTGAAATGTTTATTTGCATGTGTTCTTCATATCTATTCATGCGATTCCAATTGGTTTTTTTTTTTAAAGATAAATTCACTTTTTCAATTATCAACGCTATAGTTCTACCAAATGACTTACTGAATTGTGTATCACTAATTATGCTAACGGGTTTCATTAGGATTTGAGTCACATATTGGTAACATTCTTGTTTCAAATTTACAAATAAACAACCTATGTGAATGTTTTCATTCCCGATATCTAATTTTGTCCGATAGAAAAATAAGGCGTTAAAATAAACTTCGATATTCTAAATAAGACAGATAAAAGATATGATCATAATTCAATTGTAAATCTATTTTGTATTAACAACCATTTTAGATTTAAAGAGAAATGAGCAATTGCATTGGCAATATATTGAATAAAATAGTATTTTAGAGATATCATTACTTTAACGATAACTTGTAATGGTAAAATAAACATATGTACAGTAGATTACATAATGAAACATAACATTTGCTATAATCTTACTATTTCTTTTCTCCTTTTCGCGATTATTTCGTCGGCAAAGCTATGCATGTACTTGACATGCTTCATATACTCTTTGCCGTCGTTTGACATCATGTACAGCTTCCACCATAGAAAGTACCACGGCTTCCTGTCATTAAGAATAAGAATGAGATAAAGAAAATATGTAAATATTGAATATATGATATTTTGCAGTCATTATGTATATATATACATATAAATGTTATTTATTATTTACTCATGCTCCGTTGAATATGTTCAAGCAAAATGCCTGATTGTTGTAAGAGAGTGATATGCATGTTCATAATTTGAATCATAATTTAAAATATATAGTGGAATGAGAAACACGCAAACCTGATTCGCTCCATGGTAAGTCTAGATATCTCATGTACAGCTTCAATGTAGGAATGTTTTTCTCTGAACAAAAGCAATTAATTTTAAACTTGATTTAAATTCAAAATTTCAAAATCATGACAAAATATAATGTATACGTGCAGAAATATGGTTCTCACAGAACAACAATAAATGATTTGAGAAATTTTTTTTATCGGAAACAGGAATTTTCGCTAAAGGAAAATGAAATTATAACATTCTATGACACTCGAATTTCTCTAATGCTTTGAAAAATTAGTGAAAAACTTTTGATTTTTTATGTCTGTCTAAAGATTTCTTTATTGTTTCAGAAGCATACTCACTCTTTCTGAATATCACCATCATAGGACAGCGAGCACCGAAGTATAATATCTAGAGTTACTAGGTTTAATGAATCCATGATGTCTATGCTGTTCGGACTCTCAGACATATGTTTTGCATATTTGTCCTTAAGGGAAAGGAAGAAAAAAAGTTGTTAACATATCTAATCTTGTTTTTATTGAATCCCAAATTTAAGCATTTTTCATCACCGACGAATCCTATAAAGACGAAACATTGCTGTTTAATTTATTATTTGATTCTTATCTAAATTTGTAACAAAATATGCTATTCATTCGTGTATCTTAAGCACAATCTTAGGATATAATTTATTTTGTGTTGCATTTTCTCTTGGTCAGCATATAGACGAATATTGTACAGGAAAAACAAACATTTAACAAATTAAAAATCAACATACCAATAAAATATCTGCAGCTTCATTGTATATATTCACATAGGGGCGCAATACATCGAAATGAAACGCAGGTGTGAGCAACCTCCGGTTTCGTTCCCATTTTGAACCACTGCTAACAATTAAGCCATCACCTTTAACGAGAGAAGTTTGTGTTTGTAACAATATTGTGTCGCTGGTTGTACAACCTTTGAAAGAAATACATCCAAAGTATAATACGGATATGTTTTGAAAATGCTCTACTACGACCAGCTATAAAAGAATCAAAACAATGATTTTTTTTAAAAGTTATATGGTACAATGCAAAGGCAGATAAATCAGAAAGTCAAATAGAATCAATTGAATTTAGTCATATGTATCTAGTGATATGTAAAAAGAAAAGCAGACAATCCCAAATGTATGTATAAATTCTAACATGATCTCTTAATCGAGCTTTTCACCGCGCAAATGAATATGAAATAAACCATCGACATCTTTATTCCAGAAACCACTCATGTAATATATTACATTTAGAGAAGTGATGTCATCAAATCTCAAAAACAACTAAGCCAACCAAGCAAATGTTTTCGTAACTTCATCCTCTCCTTCCAAAAAGACGGGGTATTTTATCTCATTTCATAATTTTTTAGAGTCGTAAACTTATTACAAACATAGAAACATATTCAAATTAAAAAGTGCAGGAATGATGAATTATACACGTATTACCCAGTAACCTTACCTAGAAATGGTGTAAAGAGACTGTATGGCTCGCCTTCGCCCTTTGGTTTTGGTTCCGATAACTTAAGGACGATAGCGGCAGTATCCGGATGTATAGCCTGCACTTGCGGTATAAGCGAGAGCCATTCCACTGTCATTTTGCCTTTGGCTGTCTCCATCATTGAAGCAAAAATTTCTATAAGGGATTTCGTAAAGTCCATCTGAAACAACAAGCAGTGCTTAACGACGAAACAATTATCGACCGCTGATTTGTACGTTAGAGTAATCAAGATTTTTGTGTGAAGATATGATATCAAGTTTCGAAAATAAATTCAATTTCTTAATCTCACACTATGTGTATAAAAATTTCTTTTATCAATCTTAGTGAAAATGTGATAAATGACTTCCCTCATCATCATGTGAATTTCATTCATTTTTTTCTAAATACATGAGCATTTAATGCTAATTGTTAAGGAAACTTATATTATCATTGATATGTACAATTCCATGTCGGTTTTTACATTTTGAACTGGCTAGACACAACTTCTAACACTGACACTGAGGCTTTTCTGAATGGTATAACATCATCTACATCTACTATAATCCTGTCATTAGTATATATTTGGCTGAAAACAACCATTTATTAAACTTATCTCATATACAGTTGTTAAATATAAATGTTTCTATGTCAATGTGAACAAGTTATACTTACAGTTTTAAGGTGTCCCCAAAACCAGTGAGTTTCTCTCAAAATCCCAAATGGTTTTATCAGTTGACAGTATTTGTAATACCGCCATACAGCTGGGACAATAATCCAAATTCCATAACCGACCACTAAGGCAACAACAATCTCAATCAAACCTGCCATTGTTCTGAAAATAGGTATTAATTAATTTCTACTATATCATTGGAGAGTAAAAAAATCAATAAAGACAAAATCCTTCTGTAATATTTCCAGTTTGCCCGGTATTATCGCCACTATGCAAGCTGATAAAATGACAGAAAAGAAGTGTCATGTAAGTGAATAAATGACACCCAGCATTTTACTATGATATCTCCTTAATTATGTGGCTAGTGCATCTCCCTATTTAGATTTTGACCTTTCTTTTATTTACTTTACACTTTCCATAGTCACCTCCTAGGCTTCAAAATGTATGCCCTTCACTTGTGTGTCTTTTATATAATCTCCCACTGAGATCACTATGACGACTTTTGTGATATTGATAACAAATCCTTGAATATCGATTAAGCTTCGACATATATATACCACAGGTTGCTAGTTTTGGAATGTTGCTCCTCAGAAATGGAAAATTAACAATAGGGAAATTAAAATTATCACTCTTATCATTCAGTTTGATGGATAGCTCTCCAAGCTGGTTTCATTGTTTAAAAGATTGATGTAGAAGAGTCTATCATGTCGTTGATTTCCAATTCAGCTGGGTATATTTGATGGACAGAGTAAATGCTTGTTGTTCTGCTATTTTAAGAAAAGATATAGTTAATATATCTGAAAGTGGAATTGAGAGTCAATGTCAATTTTCTCATGATTTATTGTTATCTGTATTGCTTAATGCATAAACATTTTAATTGTTGTTTCCACTTACACCAATCATACCATTTGCTTTCACCTGCATTATGTCATAGTTGATTTTAGAGTGTTGTAATATACAGACACACTTTCCCTACAAATAAATTACGAATAAACCCGACGTACTCCTTTAAAATTGTGTTTGCTTACTACCAAGAAATCAATGTACTTCCTAATGTTCACGTATGTGACAAGGTTAAACTAACCCTACCAACACGATGAACACGTTTGTATACAATTCACCCTATTCAATTGAATTAGAGCGAAAACATTTCTTGAATGAAAATAAGATTATTTCTGGTTTCTGGTGTGGATAGAAGGATAGCAAGTTAAGTGAGAGTCGAGTGAATAAGTCAAGCCTGAATCTTTCTTTACTGTATGAAAACGATGTGTTCGTAACAACACATGACACCTTGAATGATTCGATCAGCTGTGTAACACACCACAGGACAACTCTCCTTCATACATTAATATTTGCATTATAGTATTCTAAACATATTGTGTTTTTTCATATTCTTATTATTCTTAATGAAACTTATTATGTAAACTGCCAATATTGTCAAATTCATTTCCACGTTGTTTTTGTTTTTTTGTTGTTGTTTTTTTCACAATCGATATTTCTAGCAACTGCAGATTTATCGCTTTACGGGGTTTGGAGAACGGATATTTACCAATGAGAACATTCAGCATTACACCTCTGGCCTCGTCTGTCAATACAGTAATATGCTAATGTATTAGCATAACATAAACTAGGCCAGAACTTGATATATCACCCTACTGAATATAAGCTGTATATGCTTCAGACTTTTTATGCTACTTTCGTTTTGGCATATTTTATTTGTTTCATACATTAAATTATTCATGTTTTAAATTTCATTCCTTACCGTAATGAGTATCTCAAACGGCTTAGTAATGTCACTGATATGAAACATAGAATGGAAGGTCAATAAAAAAGGCCACTGAAAACATTGACAACTGTGTTATGTGTGGTACATGTAAACAAAGACTACACATATCTACACATATCTGTTATTTACATTTAAAACCGTTTATAAAGTGTTATGTGATATTGTTTAAACTGCTGATCATGCTATTTAATACTCACCTGTCTTGTCTGTTGGATATAACATCCAAGTGTTTATCCGTAGAATGATACTGGGTACGGTAGTATTCGTCCTATTTTTATATTTGATAAGCTGGGGTCCCAAAAGGGGTTTCCAATAGCATTTCTTTAACTTGTGTATTTAGTGTTTGCCATGGCATGTTATATCATGCAGTTTTGCTGATTTTGTCATTATCATTAATGATTGAAATTGTTATTTTTTCTTGTAACATTTCTTATCCTATAAATGTATATAAGAAGTATGAAAATCTATCTTGTGATTCAAGTTTGATATAATCTACATCATGAGCTGTCTGATTTAACTTCTCTGTTGTTACATCAATTTTTTCAGGATGTAAATGATATTTAATGAACGGCGGCGATTTAAAATATTACGCTTTACCAATATAATGCATAATGTTTAAAACGTAAATGAATCAATATAAATTCCGTTATTAATATCCGGTAATTCTGATGACATACTGCAGCTTGTTTTGTTGTATAATGTTATAATATGTATGAATATATATGAACATATGCATGTTTTGCATATTGGTATATATTTCTATATTATTTGAGGTTATATAAAACAGCAGTAATGATGTTTTAAGAATATCAATAGACGCTGTATTGTAAAAATAAAGTTGGCAAATGCAAGAATACATTAGTTACTCTGAGTGTTATATGAATAGAAAAATTCATGGTTATGCAAATCACATCTTTACTTGTTTAGCTATATTTTGAATAGGTTACAGTATTAAGCATCCTTGTAAGCGTTTGTTTCAAATTTCATGTAGTATAGAATGTATAAATTACTATATTACAACATTTAATAAATGTCTTCCGGCTCAACATAGTCGAGATATAAAATCTGCTGTGTTGTGGGCTTTAAGGAATTAAAAAAACGAGTAATATTCTATTGGGTGATTGTGGCGTAATGGTGCCGTATCTGCCGCTTTTTTAAGAACTTAAGAAATGATTCTCCACTCTCAATGACTTTTCAGATCAAATTTGGTTTGAATACTTTCAAGCATTAAGAAAGAGTAGCATTATATGGTCTAACTTCCCCATTTCGAGCCCCACCGCCCACTGGTCCCTACGGGTCAAATAAACTTTCTAAATCTAAGAAAGGATAACCTACCCGCAATAATGTTTCAGATCCCTCTTGGTTGAAAGCAACCCAGGCATTAAGAAGGAGTACCATTTTGTAGCAAAATATTGCATAATTTCCCCTTTGGTTCCCCATCCCCAGTCCCTAGGGGTCGAATTAAATTTCTGAATTCAAGAAATTTTTGCATATCCTAACTGGTGATTCAGGTCAAAGCTTGTTGAAATCCACCCAGGTAGAAAGGAGAGGTAGGGTTTTAAAGCTAATTGCAGAGCCTCTCTCTTTGGGGCTTCGTCCCTCGACTGATTCGGTCGAATCAAAATTCTGAATTTAACAAATGATAACCCTTACTCAATGTGCATCAGACCACATTTGGTTGAAATCCATGTAGGTACGAATGAAAAGGGTTTTAATAAAAAGTTTACGCACGCACGGCAGACGATGCACGATGGATATATGCCATTTCGACCCTTCTGATCAGATGACTTGAAAACAGATGTTTCAGCTGGAAAATACGGCAATTAGGATGATTGAAATGCAGTATTTCTAGAAGTGGGATTGTCTCACTTTTTGTCCTTGGTCAAAATAAATCAAGCAAAGTCTTTTTTATAAATGAAAGTCAAAAACATCCATTTCAGAAAGTGGTGGATAAGACCTGGCCTGTATTACTGGCATATCCATGAACACTCAGTATTTCTGACAAGAAATGTGTTACAAGGTAAACATTATTGAAATTTTGTGGGCAGCTCGTCCTTGAATCTTTTTTATTGTTTAACATTTTGTTTATTGAGTTTGACCAACCCTACCATCGATATGTTATATTCGAGATATGTTCAGGTATTTATTCGAGTTGATGTATTCTCCTGCGTCTCGGTAAAAATTTCTATAGTTAGAAAAGAAACAGGACATCATGGGCTTGCTATGCACGTTAGTCATGAATGTTTTAAAGGTAAAAGTACTGTCATTTGTACATTTGGAACAACAAATACCAATCGTCGTGGAAATTTACAATTTACTTATGAAGACAAATCTAAAATTTATTCAATATAGACGAATAAAACAGAACCTTACGAAAATATTACTTCAAACAAGATATCGAGGTTTTTTCCTCAAAATACATTTGAATCAAAACTATATATCTAACATTACCTGATTCTACACAATGACAAGTTCACAATCGTTATCATACATGTAAGTCACATCATACATACAACACATCGCCAGCCGATCCTGCCGTTATACCCGTGTGAGTCGTTCAAAAGGATTATTTGTGAAAACTTTTATTAAGTTCTTCGTGAACGATGTTAAAAGTTCCGTCACTGTTTGCTAAGTATATATGTATCACGCATATAAGGAGCCTTTTATTTATAAAGAAATATAGAAATATTTGGCTCTCATCTCTCTTCAAAACGGACTTTGATGCCGTTCTGGGGTTGGATAAAAAGGAATGGGACAGGAATGACCTCGTGACCTTCATCCAATACAATCTTGAACCTGAATAATAAAAAACGAAGCATATAAGATAAAACGTAATTTTTCATTTTTTTAAGAATTAGAATGTCTTTCTTAAGCACATTAAGAAACATTTACAGTCACCTAAAGACAAAACATAACATGCGAATTTAGGCAGAAGTTTTTTTTGATGACTAGCCTTTAGATGTATCAATGTCAGTAACAGAAAGCATAAACGAAAAACATTGCAGCCGAAGTTCCAGATTTTAAGTGTCAATTTTTCATTATCAGTTAGCCTTATGTATGTAACCTTTCAAAGAATTTGAAATTGCCACTGTCTTTGGATGACGTCGCTTGTCAAATATACAATCGAACTGCATGGTGATGATAAGCAAACCGTCAGATTTATCACCATGCCTATTTTCACTTATCAGATAAGATATTTTTTTAGTTCAGGACAGAAAAAAAACAAAGATACAAATATATCCTCTCATATTTCAAAATCAGGAAACAGAATTGTTAAAAAAACGTAAAAATGACATTTTAATAGAATAATCGTTATAATACTTCAAAACATAAATTGTTTCGCTATTTGTGAAATCGGCAAAAACATTTCTCTCGTAATGTGGCAACATGGTCATCACTATTAACAAAGTACTTATCGTCGACGCAGCAGTTGAAATGACAACAGGAAAAAACTTCGTTTTAGTATTACCCGTATTTTATAATTACTGTCCATAAGCCTCCCAAAGAAATTACTTATTTAAACGCAGATCAAAGTGGCCAGCAATGCTGTTAAACCGAAGTTCACGACCTTGACCTTTGTTGTTTCACCCAAAGGTCGTCAATGACGCCTAAGTCATTGACCTCTAAACAACCTTGTCTGTTGACGAGGTGATAAACCCAACAGGTGGACGAGCATAAATAGCAACTGAAGCAGCAATAATGACCAGCAATGAATTAAGAAATGTGGCATTAGTTGTATGTATGAGAAAACACAAGGGTATAAGTTGTTTCGTCATACACGTACCGTTTAAGTATCCTAGCCAACAATACTTTCTGTTCGTTCATTGCGAAGTTTTGACCAATGCAATTTCTGAAAGAAACAAAATAGTATCAAAAAAACAGTGTCGCTATATCCACTAGATAAGCTAGTATATAATGTTGGGTTTCTCCAATGTAGTACCCGTGCTACAGAAGCATACAATAATGTTTAATAATTCTAAAAATCGATAGTTTGCAAAATTTCTTCAGCAAAAACAGTCTTAACGAAATTATTCTATATATGGGTTTGAATGGGTGACTATTCAGTAAGCAAATCAAATCAAGAACTAATACAATCATAAATACACAGAAATGGAAAGAATATTCCACTCCACAAAATCAATTGCAAGTATTTTAACTTCTTATAGATTAACAAACCTTGGTCCAGCTGAGAATGGAAGAAAGGCGTAAGGATGTCTTTTTTCTGTATTTTCTGGAAGAAACCTTTCTGGACGAAATTCCTGTAATATCACAATAAGAAACTTATTTCAAAGTTATTTTGTAACGTGAATAAGAATAATCATTATCCAAAACAGGAACGTGCAGATGGAATCGGTTCTACTAAATGAAATCACGGTATTTTCAGATAAGAGACGATGACTACTTAATGAAATATAAAATATAAGTATATATTATCAACATTGAAAGCAAATCACTTACTGTAGGATTTGGGAAGATATCAGGACGAAGGTGAATACACATAAAGTTGACCATAATCGAAGTTCCAACAGGCAATGTCACTCCCTCTATTTCGAGCGGTTTCGTTAAGCATCGGGAAGTTGACGGTCCCGGTGGATATAATCTTAAAGTCTCCTTCAAAACCATCGACATCTTCTGTAGCTTACCAAGATCTTCCCTGTAAGATCGAGATATATTGTATGCTGTGGATAAGTATTTGTTTCCGTGAGCAAAATGTATAAAACGTCTAAATGTAATGCATCTAATACCATCTGCAGCAATTATGTCATATCTTTCTTACCATTCAATATACTTTCGGTCTCCTGTGACGTCACACAGTTCTTGGTAAAGTTTTTCTTGCTCCTCCGGGTACTTCCCTAAGTTGTAAATGGCCCATCCCAAAGTCGTCTTGGTTGTGTCGTGTCCTATGGAAGGATACATGATCATATGGGAAATAAGAATGTCAAGAAAATACCACATTACATAATCATAATCCAATCTCAAATTCCAAAAATACTTTGGCAAAATATGAAAAATAAGAAAGATTTACACGGCGACTCTTGAAAAAGTATAAGAAGAATAAGGACATTTGTTCCGAAGGAGGTAACGTCTCTGACAAAGTATTTTCCATTTCCGAAAACATCAAGGTGTATTCTCCTATTCATTTTCGTCTTCACACAATGTTAAGATAGATTAGATATATTGTTTAACTTTAGGTTGAGTATTTAGTTTCAGAACTGTTTTATAAACAGGAAACATTTTTGGATTTATGTTATCATTTGTTCTAATATCCCATGTATATGTCAAACGAACTTTAACGATCAAAATAATTTTCCTGTATCAAACAGCTTCACCCTTGTACAAGAGACGGTATTTTGTGTAAGAGTGAATGCTACAGAAATATCGCTAATTTCATTTCGGTACGTTTTTAAAATTAATATCAATGTAACATATAGTGATACATAAAATATTATTTTCTATGTAACGAAGATTTATTTTGGTATGTTCACTTGCCCTCACAGACCCAATATCGAAAACGATGGTATTTTTGAAGAACATATTTTTTAGATGATCGATTAGATAAACTTACCTCCAAACATGAAAGTATTGACCTCGTCACGAATTTCCTCGTCCGTAAGTCCGGATCCGGATTCATCTTTAGCTGTTAATAAGATATCCAGGAAGTCCAACTTCCGTTTTTTCTGAAGTAACGATGGATCGTCTGCCTGATTGTGTGGAATAATCAAAATGATATGTACAGCATATCTGTCATTAACCTTACAGCAGTCATTCATGTCTCTGTATTCATCTCAATATATTAGTCAATATATGTCTAGGAGATGCATGTGCATGTCTTTCCAGTGAGCGTCGTTTTCATTTTTTCAAAGATCAAGTTTTGACAATACTTTCACGTTATTGTGTCAGTTATATTTTTCAATGTCGGTTTTAACATAATATACAAATTCGGAAAATTATACATCTTTATTGATAGCTATATAAATATTGTCATTTAGAGCGAGGCAAGTTCCAGCTAAGAACCATATCGAATTTCACTTGTGAGAATCGCTCAACTTCTATACAACGTCGACAACAAGCTCCTTTTAGATAAGGTTTTTTTTTTAAAAGTCATTAAAAGAGATGGAAAATGGCAGCACAAGTAATTAAAGTTCAATGTGCTTTTTTAGTCACCAAAAATATCTTTTAGAAAAGTCTACGAATCCAAAGATAAATCTGTTGCTAAAATTGTAATATCTCAGAACGTCTTATTGTCAACATTGGTGAAGTAAAGATTAAGTATCAATAATACCCGGTATGTAACTATGCAATTAATACAATATGGCTGTTCCTGTTGACATTGCGATAGGTGCTCAATGTAGCAGAAACTCAAGTGTCTTTTTCAGCTTTGGGTTGAGATTATCATATTCTTATACGGGGGATAAGTTCTACGAAAGTAAATTATCCGGGTTTTCAATCAAATTTATTTATCAGTAACCCCCAACCCCCTCCCCCTTGCTTGGAAAGAAATGCATCATAAAACGAGATTCTGATTGACGTAATGTGTGACAAGGTTAACAAGTAGGAGCACTGCAACGTGGAAGAGCAAGATTGTTATCCTAATTCAATGCCAGTGACTGATTTAGCTGATCTTTTAGTTTTCTTTCGATTACGTTGGATTTTACTCAGTCATCTCCTAGGTTTTTAAAATCTAAGCCCTTAAAATTACTGACGAGTCACAGAAAGACGAAACAGCTGTATGATGCAGGCCAAATCAATGTTTAACTCTATTGTATCTAACTCTAAATTTGTATTTAACATCATTGACGAGTCCCAGAAAGACGAAACAACTGTATATTTCAGGCCAAATCAATGTTTAACTCTATTGTATCTAACTCTAAATTTGTATTTAACATCATTGACGAGTCCCAGAAAGACGAAACAGCTGTAGGTTGCAGGCCAGAAAGACGAAACAACTGTATATTTCAGGCCAAATCAATGTTTAACTCTATTGTATCTAACTTTATATTTGTATTTAAAGGTGATATTAACTGGTGGCTTTTGTTATTGATAGATAAAATCAGTGCATGTTAGTAATATCTCAGGTCTTAAGTTACCATGTTATAAAACGTTTGTTCTTACTATTTCCTTTTTTCTTTTCGCAATTATTTCTTCTGCAAATCTATAGGTGTAATTGACGTGTTTCATGAACTCTTTTCCATTAGCAGACATCATGTAGAGACTCCAAAATAGGAAATGCCACGGTACACTGTAAATAAGCATAAATTGAGTTTTGAGTGCGAACTTTTAGTTTTTAGCGTCTTTTTCTAAAACAAAGAAAACACTTCTATAAATACATTTCATTGAAACGTCACTGAAATTTTTATACTAAGTATTGTTCAGAGCAGAAATTCTTAGTTTTACTCATAAGATTGTCAGTGTTTTATTTAGTTAATCAACTTATGCTGAATACTTATTTTAGCATAAGAAGTAATGTTCAAGGAGGAGATATCCTGTGAGAAGTGAGAAATGGTTTTAATGTAATACATTTATAGTGAAAAAATATAATGATAATTCAAACAAAAGTCTTAAACTACATTTAATGCACTCATGTTTAGCGTAACTTTCTCAGTGCAAAGAGCGCTAAAATAATATTACCACAAAAGTTTACACACAGTATACAGTATATAGAAGAAACAACTCCATCTTGTTTAAATAAATCATCTATTTTCAGTTGCACACCGATATTGAAAATGTATTCTTTCCTTAAAAATTCACCATACATACACATTAGAGAAGCTGAATATATGGTGGCGATGACGATAGTGATATAGTATAGCATCATAATGCCTCCTTTATATCACAAGAAGCTTCACCCTCACCTTATTCGCTCCATAGTAAGTCTGGAAATCTGGTGTACTGCCACGACGTAAGGATGCTTCTCCCTGCAAAGAAGCAATCGAAATGATGAATCTAGTAGGATCTTGCTGAGAAAATAACTACTCCTTAAAATTTTCTTTTACACTACCCTTCCTCATTTCATTATCCCCTTACACCTCACTGCTTAATCGTCACCACAACAAAATTGCATCCAAGCCTCGAATAAGACATTAGCAAGAGACTCCTCAAACGACATTATATATGTTTTTAAATTCGTGGATTTGCTCATCCACGAAAACAACGAAAATTGGACCCACACGAAAGAAAATGAATCCACAGTACATGTCTTGTAACCTATTATCACAATTCACCTTTGAAATAATATTTTAAGTTTTATAATTATTTGCATGCAGCTGGATCCTATTATTTGTTTGCTATTGAAATATTTGCAGTTTACGCATAATTAGCTTTTTTTACTCAAGAGAGGAATACATACTGTTTCTGAATATTTCCGTCATAAGACAGTGAACACCGCAATATGATATCTAAAGTGACCAAATTTAACGAATCCATGATATCAACACTGTTGGGACTTTCTGACATTTGTTTAGCAAATTTGTCCTGTAATTCAAAGAAAGCAAATAAAAAAAACGTTTATCCGATTATTTCATGTCATATAACTAAGGTGTAAAATGGAGACTTTATTCCTGAATAAAGAACAATTACATAGGTGAACAATCTAGCAAAGATGATTAAAATAGGATTAAATTACCAGCAATGGAAAGTGATTTATTCTATTTTAGGCTTTGTATGAAGCAAAACATCTACAACATAATAAATTGTTATTCTTAAATAATATTGGTAAACATTCTTACCAATAAGGTTGTATTTCTAGCTTATGTTTACAAATTACATTCAATTGACACGTTCAATAACAGTTCATGTTCATTATCAAATACGATTTCTTTAATCTAATGTTTTATTCACTTTTCTTTAGCTAAAAATACACTTACCTTCTGTGCTTTTCTAGTGATTCGAATTTCTATTTTTATAATACATTGAAATATCAAATCCACGTACCACCAAAATATCAGCAGCTTCATTATATATATTAACATAAGGCCGCAATATATCAAAATGAAAAGCAGGTGTGAGTAACTTCCGGTTCCGTTCCCACTTTGATCCATTACTAGTAACCAAGCCATCACCTTAGGAAACAATTCGAAAAGATAATACCTTGAACGAGAATGTTCTCCAGAACATGATCATAGATAGTAATTACTGATTATTCTAACATCCTATTGGTCTGGAGTCGATAAATGTCAGAACCCCGACCCTATGAAAAGTGAGGGAAATATGTGACGCGCGCCTGGGTCGGCATTAAACAATAACTGTGGAAAGAAATTGTCCTTTTCAGATGTTTATCACAAACAGATATAACGGTCTGTCCATTATCTACGATATTTCAATTCATTTTTTTTCCGACAATCACATTTTCGGGTACATATTGGAAGTGGCTGCTAATCTTTACTTTTCGATGGGTTTATAACGACAAATTTAGCTAGATTTTTTGTAATAGCCAACATTACCAAAATGATCTGGTCGGATAAACGAGTTTATATACTTTGTTCATGAGTATTTCATGGTTTTGACGCTTATGTAGATTAGTAAAAAAAAGTGTTTGATTTTTTCATGGATGTAATTTCGTAGACATCTCGTTGTCAAAGACTACAGGCTACAAGACCTAAAACTCTTCACATATACAATAACCTATCTATACTGTTTAAAGTGAATTGTTGGGCTTCAAATAAATATTTGAATGAAAGATTTTTTTCTCAACAAGACACAATGAAAACCACAGATATTTTCCAATATGAAAAAGCAAAACATGTGAAAGTATGCGTTATCAGCGTTCTGGAGTTAGAATATAAATTCCAGGGTTTTTTTTAATCTTACCAAGAAATGCCGTAAATAGACTGTATGGGGAGCCTCTTCCCTTTGGTTTGGGTTCTGATGACTTAACTATAAGAGCGGCGGTGTCTGGATGTATTGCTTGTAAGTTAGGGACAACACTCATCCATTCAACCATAATCTTCTTTGTGTTATTCTCCATTAGGTCTGCCACTGATGTAATAACGGATTCCGTAAAGCTCAACTGAAAGAGTTAAAAAAGGTACATAAGTGTTTACACTGAGTCTAAACTTCAAGTTCTATAATCAAGTACACAAAAGCTTACTTCGCACCAGAACCACTATATATGTACTCACATTGAAGACATATTAGCTTCATGTCATTTCAACGTGATATTTCAATCATGGTTGCGCATCTCATAATCAAGTCTCGAGTCCGTGTGATTTTATGTGGAATAAGGAACTTTGACACTGTAGAACTAAAATACTAAGCACGCCTTTTTTTCTAAATATCGACATTGTCATTGATTCCACAATATCTTATAAGACAATTACTGACATTTTGAGACAGTAATATTGATTTCTGGGTCAGATTTTTGGGGTTTTTTTCTGAAACTGCCTTAAAAGCGTTTCTAAAAGCCAATGTGAAGATGCAGTGATAAGTATAATGTATATATGTATGTAAGTTGACACATCCATCTTTGAAAAAGTCTTTTAAACAATAGAACATAAAATACTACGAGAATGCTTACATCATAACGTGTGCAGCTTACCAAATATGGTCTAAACTACAAGGACGTGATACTCTATACCTCACATGAAATACGTGTGTCTGAACGTGGGTTGGAACTGGTGGGGGCAAAGTACCTTAGATCAGAAAAATATCATTGGCATGCGAAGTTGTTCGACGGATGGTTTGCAATATTTTTGGTTTGGTTAGAGAGATAATTTCTGGGTACCAAACTTAGTTTTATAACTAATTCATTTTACTCAAACCTAATGCATGAAGTAACCAATATATAGTATATGGTCTATAGTATATGATATATTCTAGTATTTAACAGCTGGGCGTTTTTTCTTGCCTCGGACACTTTGTGAGGTATCTAAGCTCTTTGAACAAATAATTTCAGCATCTTCATTAAAGCCAGTCCTTAAAACTTACGTGTATGAGGTGTCCTAAAAGCCAGTGCGATTTTCTTTTGGATTTAAACGGTTTGATCAGTTGACAGAACGTGTAAAACCTCCAGAGAGATGGAACTACAAACCATAGTCCGTAGCTGACCACTACCGCGACGATGATTTCAACCCAGCTTGCCATGATCTGGAAATAACAGGGAAAAATCAACGAAGCAACGGCATGCCCCCAAAGGTCCTGGAATGACAGGCCCATACTCGGCTTTAGATAGGTAAAAATAACTCACGGCCTATTGAAGCCACACCGCTTTTAAGTAACGATACTGAATATTCCTGGTTACAGCAGATATGCTACAAGTGACGGAGTTCACATATAATTGCTTTAGATTTCAAAGTGTTTTGTCCTGTTTGGTAAACAGTATATGAGGGAATCGTGGGGAAGCATCACCGAAGGGCGGGGGGTCAAAGTTTATTTATATCAAAGATATTTCAGCAAATAATTAAAAAGTTGCTAGAGACTGAATATTATGAAACATTCGTTTCCAGAAATAATTTGTAGGCATTCATTTTATTTCATTTTATTTATTTATTTCAATAAATTTTTCATTTGATTTCACCAGCTGAAAGTTTTATGGCAATCAAAGAATGTTTTCATTAATCCATGATAAGTGTGATTTGTGTAGGGGTTTTTTTTATCTACCAAATATCTTTAACTTAAGAGAAATAAATACCTTAGCAACTGGAAAGTGTTGAAATTTTTGAAACTATTAACCGAATCACGAACAACAGTCCACGACCCAAATTTCGTCAAAACATCATTAGATACATGAAATCAGCATTGGGAGTCTTGTACATGATAACTTAATATATCGACACAAGAATCTTACCTGAAACGATGTACGATGTAGTATTATGATGTAGATAATGGTGTCCCCTTGAAGTTCCCCTTTAGAATGATGAAGCTTTGTTGAAATGTAGGTCAAGCTACATGCTGTAACTGCGTTTGTTCGACTTGACCAGATCACGCTTCTGAAATGACAGCTCTTTAATATAGTCCATAATTTAAACCAAAACGTTTTAGATGTTCCAGATCATTTTAGTTATTTACGAAAATTGTAGGCCATACAACCGTACAGTATAAACAACAGTGCTGCATCTGTCAAACACGTACACACGACACAACGCTCTCTCATCTATTCCAGTTGCTAAAGATAGCGACACTAGTAGTGTCATATGATGGTATTGTGTACAGTTCGGAAAGCAAAAGTATACGTACCTATTATCATAGGTATGACTTCCGTATGCACCTTAACCTTATCCAGCTATACCGGATACTAAACTGTTTTGGCCTAATTTTTTTGACCCGCTGTGTGGACTTGCTAAAGTCCCTGGATTTACGGGGAAAAAAGCATTCCTGTCGAACGCATGATAGGAATCGAACCCGGGCCTCTTGCGTAATAATGTCTGACTTACCTGAGCCACACAAGCAAGACCAGGCTAAGTGACAGTGATAGTATTTAACACTATTCACACTTATCGTGTTGCAAATTCCTATAGTAGTATAGTAACAAACAAAAAAAGGGACATGACGACAGAGTGTATCAAAATTCAAAATTGATTTTTAAAAAAAAAAGATGGATTGCACTGAAATACTTAAAAAATAGCAAGGAAAATAAGATCAGGTGACCCGAAAAGTTGGCCTTCCTCAACTTAACAAATACTTACATGTCAACAAAATCTTAATTTTTACTTAAAATCCATAAACACAGACAGGATCTGAACACCAACACTATTTACAGAGTCTTCTACATAGGTATAAGGAAAATCAGACCATGTGCTCCAGAATTATCGGCGCCTTCTGCTTTATCGAAGACACCCGCCATGAAAATCTTGGTTAATCCAAGTAAGTTATGTCACGTCCTCAGATTGAGAGCAATGAAAGTTAACAACAATGAAATGACAAAGATTGTTAAGTAGCATTGGCCATCTATAACACAGCATATCACACCAGAATTTTTTTTCAATGATTGCGACGACCGTAAAAGTCTCTACATAGTCTTCATCAACCTACGTCTGGTGTTGGGAGTATGTTTACAGCCGTGGACATCCTGCACGAAACAAGTCCCTGAATGTCGCTGTAGAAACAAGTAATGCCTATGTTTACACATCTGACCTGAACCTCTGAAGTTTGAAACACTCTGGGTCACAGAAAAACGTGAGGAAGCAGACAATGACGAGACAATACTACTAAAGGATCACCAAAGACACACAGGTGAATGCCACCTATTAATACTTAGTTATAGTCAGATATGATACAGTAGAATGAAACAAGGGATTAAACACATGAATACAATTGCTTTGCCCTTTTCGAAATCATCTATGACCTGAAGGGTTGAAACCCAGAAGTTTAGTGGGAAAAAATGGTGGATATGAATTTCAAAAACCAGAATGTGATGTAAATACCCCAAAATTATATATGTTTATACTCCATTATGGCAAGCCCCGATGACTTCAAGTCCACAGGTAGTGTCTACCTCCTGCAATTTTGAAGATTGCACAAAAGACGTGTATATAGAATTAGATACAGTACAACCTAACAACGAAGTAATCAGCATCATAAGCTGTTTCGTCCTTCCAAGGCTCGTCGGTGATGCTAGGGGCCTAATGTATTGAAACCTATGAGGCGAATGTCAATAAGAAGGTGCAATAACTTTTAAGCTCATTAAATGTTATCATTTTCAGAAGTGTGAGAGTGGTTGGGCCAGACCCTACCAACATCTTGATAACCTTTCAATTACGTCAAATGTCATGAAAAATATGAATTATTTATGCCCAAAATCTTACCAACTGAAGGATGATGAACGGTACAAGCATCGTAATGATGCCCAACAGATGCAATAATAACAATTTTGGTTTATATTCAAAATAAAAAAATGTACAAAAATAGATAAAAAGTTTTAGATAACTGCCAAGCTTTCTCTTCATCAAAAGGAAAGATCATTTGTAGGGTATCTTTTTAAGTCTAGTAACTTCTAACCGGGTCCTTTCCATGTATTTGGACAATTCGATAGAACAACCATTCCAAACCAAAGATGTATATACGAATTGTTCTACTGAAGAATGTTTATATTTATAGATATATCAGACATCGTAAAACCATAAGAGATGTCTGATAAACAGAGAACGTAAAGTACTTGATTAAAATATAAGATGTCGTTTTCACTTACAGGAGATGATGATTCTTTTGCTCCCCCGATATTCTCTGTATATGTCTAGTCACTGCTTACCCCTACATGTCCGATTGCTGGTATCATTCGTGATCAAGTGGTTCCCGACTTCCATCAGATGTCGACCCAGTGGTGCCATATCCAGCACGTGTACCAAAGCTATTCGAATGAGCTGAACGGCCTCGGTTTGAACTAATCAAACACTCCATCCCTTAGCCCTGCAGTCAGTCATAAGGTATGCATATTTGAAATGTATATCTTACGATAAATGTAGATGTAGTCTCTGTGCACGAAAACAACATCACAGAAGTAAACAATCAATTAAAGAGGGATTCTCTGATACTTTGACCTGTTCAAATATTCTTCAGTGCATTTTTTCAGCTTACGATAAACAGTTATATACTTTTTTAACCCTGAAAATACTATAAGAGGTGAAAGCCCAAGGAACCTTCCTGTTTACTTGTTTATTTTTATAATGGTTTGTTAGATATTTTATAATATATTCTTAATATAGTTTAGTAAACAGTGAGATAGTCAATGCTCAATGAATAAATATAAACTTTCGCTTTGTTAATATTAAGTTAATTACAGGTATATTGTCTAGCTAGCTACGTATTTCAATTGTTTAAGCCTAGGTTCATTTGGTATATCCGTACATAAAATATATTTTGTATTGGTAAGGGTTATGTACAATCATTTTTATATCATATGGTATCAAACTGCTAGTAATTCAATATGTCTATTTTAAATTCATATAGATATAAGCACAACATTGGATGTGACCGTATTCATTGTCAACTAGAATGTAATTCTGGTGACAAAAGAAATAATAATGACCTTCATATGGACAATAAATGTAATATGACAATCATTCAATTACGATATGTTCGTTACAGAAAGGTATATATATATATATATATATATATATAGAAGTTATATATATCAAAAAGTTATATATATACAGAAAGTTATATATAGAAGTTATATATATCAGAAAGTTATATATATACAGAAAGTTATATATATATATAAATATATATATATAGAAGTTATATATATATATATATCAGAAAGTTATATATATAAGTGATATATATACAGAAAGTTATAAAGTCATCTGTGTGACATTTATATTGAGTTGGTTATTTAATTTATCGACAAAATTTGATTTCAGATAAATGTAATATATTTGTATTTATTTAAAACAACACTTTAATACATAGATAAATTAGTTTGGAATACGTTGGAAGTAAGTTTTGTGTAATAATATTGTTTATTGTATTCTTTATAGGATAAAGTGATATGAATTTAAATGTATTTAGTCTATGGTAACATATTCACGTGTATACACATACAGGAACATAATTTCTACTTTTGTGTAAACATATTTACATATTTCATAAACCAATAAAAATTGTCTTCTGTTTAAAATTTTTAAAATCAGGCTTTAGAGGTTCGTCGTGTAAACATTACTTAATTTTAAAATATTTATCATTATAAGTGTAGGATTCTTTTGTGAAGTTGGACTGTTGTAAATCACCGACAGTAAACATAGAGTTGTTTCCCTTTCGCTGTAGATGTATAACTCTGGTTCATACACTTAGATCTTAAACCGAATCAGCAAAGCCTCTTGTGAAGCATTTCCAAACATTTTCTCTTAAATATGTATTTCCCCGAAAAAAAAAGAGGCAAGGAAAAAATATGATATTTCAAAACAAATTCACAATATGATAATCAAGACGACAACACTGACCAGTCGTTGGAAACATAAATTGAATACAAGGGCCATTTAAATACATGTATCATAGCGTGTCATTGAAGATTATATCTACATGTTGATAATTTAATCTAGCTTATATCAGCATCTCGTATATATATATATATATACTAAGTAACGTATTATTAACATATAGCAAATATTGACAGATTACAAAAGAAATATCCATATCTTGGTTACTTTAACATGTCGATGAGGTTAAAGTATTTCGCCTCCAGAGTTTTCGCGGCCCAGTCTTTGTTGCTATGAAAGGCATGTAATGATCTTGTGGTTGATTGATGATAACAACGCATCCACTTATATCATATTATAGATTATAGACTTCAAACGAATTTCTGCCACCATCGATATGTATTTTTTAACTCCCAAGGTAACAATTAACCATAACAAGTCCTAAAAATTCATATTATTTATTTGATAAGTTTTGTAATATATTACAATTACAAAAGATATGATACAATATGTACAATGACTAACAAAAACACGTGGTTATTGTTTACGTTATTTCTTTCACTCTCGTTAGTTATTTTCTGAGTACTATATACAATAATCACCTGGCGTCGTGTGTGTAAGTGTGTGTGTGTGTGTGTGTGTGTGTGTGTGTGTGTGTGTGTGTGTGTGTGTGTGTGTGTGTGTGTGTGTGTGTGTGTGTGTGTGTGTGTGTGTGTGTGTGTGTGTGTGTGTGAGTGTGTGCGTGCGTGCGTGCGTGCGTGCGTGTTAGACAAAATTCAAGCGAGTACAACATCTGATTTTTAAAAAAAAATGGCACATTATAAGTGACAAGTACAAGCACGGCACATTAATGTACATGTGCAAATCTCTTGACAGATCACTATTGCAATCATGATGGCAACCATCTAACATGCTCATGATCTTCAAGAAGACCTTTTCTAATCTCTCGAAATCTGGTGTTGTAATTTTGGGTTTATAAATCATCGAGCTTAGTGGTACACCTTCTACGTTTTGCTATATTTGTTTCTGATCAGACTAGAGGAAATATTAAAATTGTAATTAATGCAAGTTATCGTGATAAAGAATCCAAATGGTTTCGTTATGTATATTGCATGGTAAGGTTCATACATTGTTTCACCCACCCCACCCCCATCCCCCTGTGGATACTGGTAAGATCCATACATTGTTTCATCCCCCTATGGATACTGGTGAGGTTCATACATTGCTTCATCCCCCTGTGGATACTGGTAAGGTTTATATATTGTTTCATCCCCCTGTGGATACTGGTAAGGTCCATACATTGTTTCATCCCCCTGTGGATACTGGTAAGGTTTACATATTGTTTCATCCCCCTGTGGATACTGGTAAGGTCCATACATTGTTTCATCCCCCTGTGGATACTGGTAAGGTTCATACATTGCTTCATCCCCCTGTGGATACTGGTAAGGTTTATATATTGTTTCATCCCCCTGTGGATACTGGTAAGGTCCATACATTGTTTCATCCCCCTGTGGATACTGGTAAGGTTTACATATTGTTTCATCCCCCTGTGGATACTGGTAAGGTTCATACATTGTTTCATCCCCCTGTAGATACTGGTTAGGTCCATACAGTGTTTCATCCCCCTGTGGATACTGGCAAGGTCCATACATTGTTTCATCCCCCTGTGGATACTGGTAAGGTCCATACATTGTTTCATCCCCCTGTGGATACTGGTAAGGTTTACATATTGTTTCATCCCCCTGTGGATACTGGTAAGGTCCATGCATTGTTTAATCCCCCTGTGGATACTGAGGTCCATACATTGTTTCATCCCCCTGTAGATACTGGTAAGGTCCATACAGTGTTTCATCCCCGTTTGGATGTTGATAAGGTCCAGACATTGTTTCATCCCCATGTGGATACTGGTAAGGTCTATACATTGTTTCATCCCCCTGTGGATACTGGTAAGGTCCATACATTGTTTCATCCCCCTGTAGATACTGGTTAGGTCCATACAGTGTTTCATCCCCCTGTGGATACTGGCAAGGTCCATACATTGATAAGGTTCTTAGTATGCAGTGTGCATCGTATCAAAAGTAGGTCACTCTAGCCTACATTTTGATCTTTGAACTACATCAGGAAAACTTGTCACTGGAACTGCATGCTTTGGGTATGGGTTTGCCTTGGTGAGGTGGTGTACTGTGTATCAAAAAGTAGGTCACTCTAGCCTACATTTTGACCTTTGTCCTACATCACCTACACTTGTACTCTTGGATTACATGTGCATGTATTACCATAATTGCTGAAACAGTGTGTCCTGTATCAAAAGTAGGTCCATTGACTTAGCCTACATATATTTTTATCTATTTATTTTTAATCTTACCTGGGGCATACATGGTTTCACATTCTTTGGGGGACTAAATAGAATGGTGCGTATCCTTTTAAGTACTATCCTTATCAGTATTAAAGTAGAAATAATTTGCTGCATTTTTCACCACAAAAACAATTTTTGTATCCATACCTCAACGTTACATATCTACAAATTTGATCTAAAAATTCTTTGATGTAGACCTACATGTACATTTGATTTTAAAATGATAGGACGAGAACTTGACATTCATCTGATTTTTGAAGTGTTCTTGGTTGACAAAATCATACTAATCATATTTGTCTTCCAAATATAAAATTTGATTTAATGTTATATTTTATGCCTTTTAATTCCTTCCCTAAACCAGAAATCAATCTCATAACTTTCTCTCCCCGTGAAGTGGTACACTTATGCCTTGTCAAAGCGTCCTGTGTTGCCTAGTTACGAAGTTGACCGAGTAATGGCGCTGTAAACAAGATGGCGGACACAGGCGGCAGGTACTTCGACTGGACGTGAAATATGGAACAAAGTGTGAAAAATAAACCTTAATTAAGGATATGGATCGGTCGGATTGAACGGTAACTATTACTAACTATGCACCGTACTACTTATAATTTTTGAAGCTTCAATAGACAGAAAACGTAATCAAAACAGGGAAACAGGTGTGTTATGGACACGCTCTGTCGTCTATGAATCATTGAACACAGACGTGTATTGGAGGGTCACCGTCTGTGACATGCCTCTTGATATGTTTGTGTTCTTTCCACGTAGCTAGGATCACTAGGCGAACTGAAATTTATGTAAACGACACCTTTGATATGACTACCATCTGTTTTAAGTGTCATTATTACTGCAAGAGATGAAAACGAAAGTTTGTAACTTTCTTTACAAAGTAGAAGTTTGTAACTTTCTTCATAAAGTAGAACAACATACTGTCATACGTTACAGTGAAGTATATTGAGATAAAGTAACGAAGACTTTCATAGTTATCGGAAACTATGGAACTACAGATACCCTCTCTGTTTAGTATTTGTATTTTGCTGTTTTTATTTTTTTTATTCTTATTTATTTTATTTTCTATTTTCATGATTTTTTAAAAAAAAAAATTATGGGGTTGGGGGGCACTCTCATTTCTCTAAGACATAAATTGTTGGATTTGACATGCTCCACATGCACTATTCTGATGCAGACAAAGAAATGTAGATTAACATATTCTCAAGTAAACATATATAGATTCAAGGCAGAACACATATATAATGTATGTTATAAGGGACTGAGGTACTGCCAGTATGACAAGTAGTGGTACCTGGTAGTGAATCACTTGACCAACTCCCAAAATGGTGACCAACAGATAGCCTCACCACTTCAATGTTATCATTGGTCACTATTAGATATTTTAAAGGAAACATCACATTTGATCACATGATTCCATACCATGAATGGTATCAACACTTAATTTCATAAATCAACACTGAAATTTATATTGTTTATGAACTCTATTATAAATATCTCCAGATTGTTTTGGCCCTTTAGTGCCAAAGTCTCAACACGTAAAATGAACAGTTTTATAAGCAAATTAAATGTATTTAAAAAGGTTTATGTACTCCTTGTAACACAGCCTTTAATTTTCAGGTTTGTCCCCATATTTTTTGGTTGGAGGAAATGCAATTGGCAACATGGCAGCAGATAGGAGCAAATTCTTTTTCTATGATCAGGCAGATCAGCAAGCCCCGGGGAGGCGTTACCGGAAGATGCCAGAGGATCTGCCGGAGAGCCTCAAATATGCACGTCTTAACCCTAAGGTGGCAGCGTATTTAGCAAGCAAGGAGAGAGAGGCCCAGAAACAGGCAGAACAAGATCCATTTGGTGATGGTTTGGGCAAAAAAAGTTTACTTCCCCATATAAACACTGCTGTGACAAACATCAAAAACAGACTTGACAGTGCTTTGTCTAATGATGAAGGATCTCAGAAATTCTTGTTTGAGGATACCAAAGCATCCTCAGGCAACATTCTACAACAATTATCTAGGTATTTATATTTTTATGATGATATATCTAGTCATATCCCAAGAGGTTTAGAATATCAGTTAATGGCACAATGGAAAGATTTGACCAATGATGTGATTTTTATACCACGTGAATGGCAGACTGCAGAAGGGAGGGAGCAGTATCTGGCATCTCTCAGAGAAGTCCAGAGTGATGAAGACAGTGTGGAACTAGGTGCAGATGTCCCAATAAAAGTAACAGGACGTAATAGTGTGGATAAACTGGATGGAAAGACAAAAAACAAACGATGTGCCACAAATAATAAAGTCATTATTCCGGAAATAGTAAAAGATGAAAGTGATGGTGGTGAAAAAATACAACCAGTCAAGCGGAGCGACAGTCGCATGTCAAACATGTCTGTCTCACAGAACAGAAATAGACTGGACTCCAAAACAGGACGTACATCTCGAGACCAGCTACGCTCAAGTAAGTCATCCACCCTATTTGCAGACATGCAAATGTACCTGTATCCAACATGTCTATTACACTTGTCACTTATGAATAATTCATGTATCTTTATGCATTTATAATCAACTGCATGTAACAGTTGTAGAACTAACACATCCTTTTTCTAATAGAAATTTTAATTTTCAGCTATATAACATCATAAAATACATGTATCTTATAATACATGTATCTAATAGTATCTAATAATACATGCATTTGATATTATTAATCTTTACAGTCCACTGATCGTGATTTTCTGTAAACCATCAAACCAAAATGCTTTATTAGATTCTTTACCGTATTTATCCTAACTCAGGATAACAACATAGTACTATTTACTCAGAGTCAGGGGTTCAGCCTAATAAATCATATTCCGTTTTAGGATATGACTAATTTCCTGTCTATGATATATAATAAATATGCATATCGTATTTTTTTCTAGATATTCAGATCAGATCTGCCTGGGATTTAAAATTTTGTAACTCTAATCTGTAATTTCGATTTACGATTAAAATAATTTTTAAGTGGTTTCATGTTGAGTAAACCCCTAATGATAAAACTCTCATCATCATTGATGTTAATGGCATTATGAAATACTATAGATAGCAGGTGCAGTCAAAATTTTCTACAAGTTCATAAAAACAAGTCCGGATGCTAGATATTGAAAATTTCCAGTTTAGGTGTCCAATTATTTTCTACAATAACTAAGTACATGTATTTGATATATAATATTCATAATGGTCACCTTTCTAATATAAAAAAATTATGGTTGAAATGATAAAATACATTGACTTACCTGTAATATATGGCAAGGTAAAACATGAGAAAACTTGGATTTTAAAATTTAACCCTGGTAGAAACTATAGATATGTAATATACTGATCAACCAGTGAAAACTTGTTTGGGCTCAATCAAATGTGTATACATGTAACACTAGTTATAAGCCAGAGGTCTCGGGTTCGACCCCAATCAGAGACGTTGAAATAAACAACGTACCATCACTGTAACAAAAGCTGAAATTGCATTTTTGTAATGTTATTGTTTCATATACACACATGTAATAATTTACATTGATATCAAACCCATTATTTCTTTTTCTTTTCTTTTTTCACTTTTTGGTTAAGTGAATTTAATCTTTAGCCAAAAGTTATACACAGGTATGTATATGTTTGACAGTTTGGAATTCTTATATCAAATATAAACTTTGAGAATATACTTTCTGTTCCGAAATGTTGCTAGAGGAGGTTGACACATAAAAACTTTACTTATTACTTCTTATCGTTTTCATGTTGAGGCTTAAAAAATGTTTGTTTATTTTGAAATCAATATCAGTAATTAACATCAAAGATAATATTTTGAATACTGAAACAGCTAAAATTGATTTCATACAAATATTGATTAATTTTCCAAACTATACATCATTGTGAAGCTATCATTCCAACTATGGTATATATCGCAAAACAAGTTTTGGTAATTATTACTGAAATAAAAACATATTTGCAAACAGTTAAAAATCTGAGCACCTGACTTCTCATCCATATATATATATATAATTTAATCAAGAGTCTAAATGGTTATTGCAGTGTCAGGTTAGCCATATTTACATCAAAGAGAAAAGCAATTATTGACAAATGACATGAGAATAAATAGAAATATTGATCATCCTGGTGAGAGAGACACACGTATAAATACAATTAGAGTTATTGGATAATCAATAAAAACCCTACAGGGAGGCCTTACAGAGAAATACCTTTCATCTCCTGCTTGTTTGTCTCAAAATTAAAATCGGGTTTATTGGAAATCAATTCACTCCTCGCTTTCAATGTATATACTGAGTATCTATATAACAATTATCATAGCACATTTATTCTGACACGCATTCAGACCTGTCAAACAAAAACACATGGTAGCATGCAATGTTAAAATCATTATTGAACGGAAAAGATGGAACTGCATGGGGAAGCTAGTGTATGATAGCAAACAGTTCCTTTCTGCCTAAGTCGTCACTGCCATATGATGTAATTTGAAGCAGAAATTCAAAATTTCAAAAAAAATTTTAAATGAAAAAAAACAAATTTATCACTGTTTTATAGTATTGTATCAAACTAGTATGTGATGATAGGACAGTGTTTCTATAGTGTCACTCATAAATATTAACACTACTTCAGTAAACTTAATTATTGTGTGCCATATTTGCTGGATGATATGGGAATTGTCTAAAGATACAAGAAACAGAGGTCATTAATTGCTAGGATACTGCAGCTGAGGATTTACAAGGGACTTCTGACTCGGTAGACTTACACATGTTACGCTCAACTGATCATTTTAGACAAAGGAAAAAAAAATAGCAGTAAAATTGCTGCTGGTAACAAGTGGGTTCTTACGTGGGCGTCAAAACTGAGATCAGTTTTGATTTCAATGTCTCCGCTAGGGATCTAACCCAGAACCTCAGATTTCTACAAATTATCTAGTATTTTCCAGGATTACTGTCTTTCTCTATAAATTTTAGTATTCCTCCTGGTATTATGAAATGAGAGGTACAGTTTACCCTTGAAAATGTATTATGAAATGAGAGGTACAGTTTACCCTTGAAAATGTATATATATAGGAAAACTGGGGGTCCATACCTTCAGTGTCGTCAGTGCTTATATATAATATATGGTCATTTGTTCAAACTTTACCTTACAATATTATGGTACATAGTATCTTATTTGTCTTGTTGAGAATTAAATTATTAAAAACATGTGAAATGTAATGAAGCATTTGATTAAAAAAAAAATAACGATGTCTTTAAAAAGCCATTAAAAATATCATTTATGTGATATACAACTTGATTATCAAACACAGACTGATATCATATTAAGAAATAATATTTACTGACAGATCTTAGAATGTACTGATTATTCGGATGACCTAAATTTACCTTAACGCCTTAAAATGGAGTTTTTATTCTATTGTCTGACTGATTTGGTTATTATAAAGTTATTTTTAGTAATTTGTTCAATTAACTTTAGGCTAAAGTTAATTACATAGTTCGTTGTACTTGGTGACCTTTCAGTAGAGAAGTGTAATGTTATTCTGTCCCTAGAACAAATCAGATGTCAAAACATCTTATTTTTAACACAAACTGACAACCCTATTCACTTTGTTAATATGAAATAATTTTGTGACTAGATTTTAAAGATTTAATAATGGCACAATACCCTGAGATAGATTAAATGTTTAAATATATTGGTGATAGTGATCAGGGCGTATTCAAATTCTGGCTGTGTACTAATGATAGCCATCGTTTCTGACGAAGAGGTGTATACATGTTAGAGACAGAATTGATCACTAACCAAGTCCTCAGCGAGTTGGTAGAACCTTCCTACAACTAAGTAGGGCTCTTTGCAATAATAATACAGGTACTTAGTAGGCACGTCAGTAAACAGATAAGGTTTACATTGAAATCTGAACGCAGTAGTTCGTGGGAATTAAATATATATAACATACACTCACCTATCATATTCAGCCCGTAAAAATGAGCACATATTTCTATTTATATGTCTGTAGCTGTAAATAATTGATATTTTATCGTAAAAGCTGAATTGTGTATAAAAGTTAGTACGTACACAATATAAATCTATTTCTATACAAAAGGACCCTAATCCTAAACCTATCATGTTGTATTGATCTGTTGGGGCAGGGCTTCATTGCTTCCTATTCACTTTCAATTTATTACCCCATTTTTGTTTGTCCTTTTTACAGAACCAATAAACTGTACACATCAGTGTACAAAAGGTTCCCTTTCATCGGGAAAGTTTTATTAAATTTGAGAAAATGTCTCCGGAACAAGAGAATGTTTTAATAATAGATCAGTAAAATTTTGATGTTAAACATTCTTTTTATAATGACTGAGGGTGATAATGTCAACAGTTCAAACATACTGAACATGAATAAAAGTTAGATATGAAAAATGTATTAATTATTGATTTATTTTCTTTTATATATAACTTGAAGTCCTGTCAGAAATTTGGTCTTGTTGAATTTTTTTCTTTTCTTTTTTTTTTTGTGATTTAATGGGTATAAATATGCCATTGTGAAAAGTAGTATAACCGGGAATACTACGATCAAAGATATTAACAATAACATAAATGTTTCTTCGATTTCGTGACACATTTCTAGACAGGTGCGTTGTACTGCATTCCAAACTGTTGGATTATGTCCAGACTCCAATACCTACATATATGAATACACATAAAGTTTTTTTACCTGTACAACTATAGAACTTTGTGTACAGATCATTGTAAAGTTCTACCGATATTTGATCTCTGCAGTATTAACACTGAACCTTTTGTTCAATATCTTGAAGTGTATCACTAAAGCGCGAACACATTTACACACCTTTGGCATAAGAAAACAGGTAGCTGACTTCCATGACTGAGTCAATACTGGCGTCATTGTAAGGACTGACCAACCACGCCTTGTTCTCCGGTTCTCTCACACTCTCAATTTTGTTCGACTCTCTGGAATAAAAATTTATGATGTTTAATCCCTTGATATGTAAATAACTGCCCGATTACAATACATGTTTGGAATGCCATCTAATATATCAGAAGTTTTGTCGCGACAGTAAAACAGGCTGAAGTACAATATTGTATCTATAACTGACCAAACTATTTGATACACAACTGGGACGTGTGCAGGGACTATAGATTTTCTAGCCAAGCGATATTTGATACAGCTGGCAATATCTGCCTTTTAATTAAATCTTTATTATGTACATGTACCAAACCATAATCTCATACATGTATAAGGTTTCCTGAACAAGGTATCCCTTCAATTCATTTACCTGTGTGTACATGTACAGGTATTTATTAAATCTGATTTTGAAGACTGATAATTTTTGTATCTAATAGAAATATTGAGACTTGGTATTAAACATAAAATTGACATCTGCATGCTAACTAGATATATTCTTATTAATGTTTAAATAATGTACAAGTATGCAATGCCATCCAGTGGTATCGCCATTAATATTTGACAGAGTAGCTAATCGGAGACCATATGTCATGCGAGACTTTCTGTCAATATATACACTTTCGCATATTCAGATGGCACCTCAAATTTCTTTAAGATTCCCAGATAAGACATACAACTTATTTCTATAGATTGAAGACTGTTGTTGTTAAGCAATCGTGCTTTGTCAATAAAACTTACTTTGTGACAGAATAATTACTACACAATAGATTTAAAACATGTAGGGTTTTCCTGTAAATAAACTGTTATACTTGTGGAGATGTTACTTGAAGTCTGGTTTTTGTTGTATATCAAATGTATAATTTACGTAGTCCATTCTAATCAACATGTGTGACAGAAACAGCACACTCTAATCATAATATATAGATAAATTGCTAAAAAGTTAATTGAAATGATTGCTGACGATGACTGACCTGGCATAAACTTTATGCTCCTGGAATACTCATGTCAGAACTTGCCTTAAATTCTAAATTATCAAAGAACCACATTTTTAACTGTAGCTAACATGTTCAAATTTAATCATGGGTATGTAGTAGTATTGGTGTTGGGTCTGGTTATAAAACGATGTATACGTCACTTTCATGCTTTCAATGGTTAACTTTCAACTCCAACTTTATGGTTTTCAGTAGGAAACCCGTAATAAGAATTTTATCCTTTAACAGAAATTAAAATATTTTGTCAATATTTGAAGATATGTCAGTATCAGGATCCAATATTCATTTTATATGTAAATGAGATTTTGTTATCAAACCAGAAACTTTGATTTTAAAAGGTTTTATCGCTATTTTGAAATTAGAAGTTAGAATTGTTTTCTGTATGAAATTCTATCAATTATAAAATATGAACACAGATTTAGTATGTAATGTATTGAATAGCTTGAAATAGGAAAGGGGTAACCATCCTTTGTTTATAACAGATAATTATGTAGAAGAGGTTACTGGTCTAATTTTGTTTTTTTCATTATAGGTTTTGATTAACTGTAGAGATTATAGATTGGCAAATTTGTAATCCACAGACCTTTTAACCATCAACATCTTTAGCACAAGTATTCTTCACTGTGACAGTCAGTCACATTTTCAATATTAATGCTAAAGCTACTATGAACTTTTGATATCAAGATTAATAGTGCTAAAGAAGAAGATGCTGTTGATCAGAGGTCATGAATTTCGATATGAAATAGAGCCTTTCTCATTCTGTAGTTTTACAATCAAACATTTTTGAATTATACATAAAATCACTTATTCTTAGATCTATATATATTATATCACTATAAAAGCATTATGGGATGCTAAAATTACAGAATAAATATGAATTGTGTCGATAATATTCATTGGGATTTAGGTTTTGACTGAGAAAGGTTCTATATATCTGTAGTAACCTTTTTTTTCTTTACACCATCATTAGTGACCTGCTTGTTTTTATCAAATCACGCACACTCACATTCACAGCCTCAAGGTTGCAATCTGCATCAAGCTCTCGGAAACATCCTGATCATGATGATATGTTTTTCAACATTGCAGAAACACCATCGGATCCCAGATGTAAGTTTTATTGTGTTATAAATTCCAATGGAATGTGTTATGATATATGTATATACATGTTAAATTCCCAATGTGGTTTGAACTAATGAATCACTGTATTCTGTTAAAAATAGCAATGGTTACACAATAAATAACCAATGTCGTCTGTCCTGTGTGAACACCTTGTATGTCAATTGCTATTGAAATGGTGGATTAGATGCTTGATGCTCTGGGTTTGATGATAAAATGTAGATAAAATGCTAGTATTTTTGATTGTGTGAAATAAAGAATGAAGTTTTAATAACTGTACATGTTTAAGTTATCTCCCTTCCCTAGTATTGTCATACCTGAAAAGGTGGAGCTCTTCAGCAAAAAGAGGTAATTGAACTAAAGATTATCCAAACTCTTCTCTCTTTTTTTAATTTTTTTTTTTTTTTTTAATTAAAAGGGTTAAATTCTACAATGTTTATCTTAAAAGGGCTTTACAATATTTCTGGTATTTTTTTATACAATGTGGTTTAATATTAATATTTGTATGATAAATAGAATTATCTGGAAAATTTTCTTTTTCTGTAGGGTATTTTTTATATTGCACTCCCTCTTAACATATATGGCCTTGTATCAGTTTTACCACACAGCACATCTTGCAATAAAAATTTGAAATCAAAATGTCTAAAAATAATTTCAACTGATTTTTATTTTTTAATGTAAGAATACATTGTGTCTACTTTTAAAAAGTGGTGCTATTTCTGATATATTGGAAATCATTTCTTTAATTCATGTATCCTAAATAGTACATTTTTCATGGCAAATAATGAACAGGACATCACAATAAGCTCAAATATATTCAGTTGTGTTCTTTAATTTTCTAATGATTACTGAACAATGTACTGCATGTATAATTCAAAGTAAAAAAATCCAGAGGTGAAAAATGTTCGAGACAATTAAGATGTTTGCTGTCAAAGAAAAATGGCAAGGTCATGTGATTTATGTTGAACTGTGGGTATAAAGGTGAAGGTTGTGGCACGATGATGTTGGTAAAAGGTGAAGGTCATTAATGACACTAACTATATATGTTTTATAGTTTTTTTAAACAAGGTTTTTAATACCAGTTCTGTGAAGTTGAGAATAAATCTAAATTCAAAAGATCTCAATGTTTCTATGTTTCCCAAATTCCTAAGCATGCAGGGAATTCATTGTCAAACAATGTGATATTCCAGTAAAGTAGAGATATGATTTATAATTTGACTTTGGGACATATATATTGGAGATACAATACAATTGATGATGTTCTATGGTAACCTGATTTATTCTCAGCCTATCAGATAAGGAAGGTTAGGGATGGGTTAACGTGATGTGTATTGGGTTATACTCAGTGAGTGTCTGGTTATACCTGGATGCCAGTGAGACGGGCCTCCTATGGTTTGTAGATGGTGTAACACTGGCGAGGTGGTTAGGGACTAATTGTTACACCTTTGGGACAATAAGGAATTGTTTACAGACAGCTGTAATTCTAGTAAATGGCACATTGTCCTGACAAGTCATTGGCTTCTATATTTCCTATTGTGAATAACTTTAATAATTGTGAGAATATTTATATTATTCTATATACCTTAAAACATGTACATTGATTTTTTTTTTCAAACAAAAATGATAAACTATAATTGCAAATCAAATTATTAATTTACTCATTGTTTAGTTGGAAATAATAGATATCAATTTTTTTTTAGTAGAAAAACATGATTACTCAGTGTTTTTGCTGTAAAATTTTCTAATCACACTTTACATATAAAATAAATGACTCAAAATTGTATTCATACTGTCATCATATTTTTATTAATTGATAGATGGAGTTTTATCTTTGAAATAATTGTCTAAATTACTATTTTGTTTGTGATTTCACAGCATCATTCTATCGTGTGCCAGGTCACGGTAAATGTATGTAGATTTTTGGTTTGGAGGAGGGGTTAAATTAACACAAGGATATTTCTAATTGTTGATGTTTTTTTCAGTGGATCTTGTATTTGGAAGCTTTAAAGTTATATTATGTAATATGTTGATGAAGTTATAACAGAAGCAAGAGGAACATATGTGGTCTATGTTGGCAAAACTTTGACGGAAACAGACTTAACATGACTAGATAACATGAACAATACTAAGACTGAAAAAATAAATGAATTTTTTTGACAAAACTACAATTGAAACCTTAGTGGATTCTGTTTACAAAACTGCAATTAAAACATTGTTTTGTTTGAAACATAAGTGAATTATGTAGACACTACTTTGACTGAAATATTTGCTTCAACTGAAACACAAGGTGATTATCTAGACACTGTTTTGTCTGAAACATTTGCTTTGACAGAAATATCAGTGGATTCATGGACATGGAAGACTGCATCTGAAACATTACGTGGATTCTGATGACTAAATTCTCTGACTGAAATTTTATTGGATATATGTATGCTATATGTTACAGTGGATCAGGAGGACAGTGATAGTGATGATGATGATGATAGTGACAGTGATAGTAAGGGCTTAAAAGAATATTTATATGTGACAGAGAATCACTTTTTTGGATCCAAATTTTTTTTTTTTTTTTTTCATATTTTCATGTAGATGTATTTTCTTTTGTTTTTACTTTATATGGAAAATAAGATGTCTTAAAACTTGTACAAGTTTTTTTTTTTTATTATTTTCAATGGTGGAAGTTTTTATTTTGGTCAGAAAAGTTTATGCTTGGGTAAAGGGACATATTTTTGCTTATCAAGGGAGATAAGTGAGCTGGAATAAAATACAAAGATAGATTATGTGGTGTATTATCCAGGTGTTGGTTGTCAGTGAGGAACTACAAAGTGTTAACAGGAATAAAGTACTCATATGTGTCAGACAGACAATGCCATGTACGTTTGAGAATGCCTCATTGAATTCAATATAAGAAAATGCACTTCAGACAATTGGCTACTTAAAGATTTAATTATGGTTGACCTTATAAAATGTATTTTGAAGCACAGAGTTAATTTAAGCAAAAAATTTATGGAACATTTTGACATGTTGTAGAATATATGTATTGATAATCCACCTGTTAATGACTTAGGACCTCGTTAGGGGTCAGAGAATTAGACACTGGTCCTTTATAATGTCCATTTACCAGGTCTGACCTCAACCTTATATGTCAGTATTTGACAGTAATTCTGGGATGTGTTTGTACATTCTTACAACAATTGTGTAGTACTGTGGGGCTACTTTATGAACTTTTGAAGTACATTTTTACAGCTTGATACATTGGGAATGTATAATTGCTAGGAATATAGACATGTCAGTGTTTCAATATATACATAATACAATTTGTATTTAATTTGATAAAATGAAAGGTTTTTTTTTGTGCATACACCTTGTATATATCAACCAGGAGTGGACTGTTCAGGTGGCTTATGTAGTTTGACAGTCTAAATATATGATAATTGCATACACAGCCTGGTATAACTAAATTGTGTACATTTAGATAACTGTTTCTTTTTGATCGGTGTTTGTTTAGTATTTTCAAAGAAAGAAAACTGCAATTATTCTTGAAACTGTTTAAAAGATTTAAGGATTAAAATGCCTCCTGGAGGCATGTAACAGATTATCGCTGTTAATGGATCATGATCACACAACATGGCCGACTTTATACACTAGCGAGGATTACAATCTAAAGTACTTTACAAATCGTTTGAAAAGGAAATCAATTGGTTCATGTTCCGTTTAAAAATATTTTTTTTAAATGGCACGTGTATATTATAAGTATGTATAGTTGGTGGTCGATGCTTGTCGTTGGGTAATTGGTTTCATTTTAAATGTACCCATGTCAATATAAAGAATTTTATGTTTACAATTAGCGGGTTTTGATCAATTCACCAATTAGGAGGTAAAGTTTACATACTCCAGATAACATAATCCAATTATAGACCGTAGGACATCAACTGATTCTCGTGAAATAGCCTCAGGGATTTAGCTATTAACGAGTTAATGTTTACTGTTTATTGTTATTAGCATTGCTTTGGCTAATTAAAAATATTCAGAAACCGTGAAGTAAAATAGATACATGTAGTATAATAGATCTAGTATTCAGATTGTTGTATTCAGGTATTAAAATCTTTGGATCAGACTGTCTTTTGTGAAAAAAAAATCATAAATGGTTTCTATTTAGAAGAAGACATAGCTTTATTCTTATTTTTCTGGTCAGATATTTGATGGCAAGCATGATTTCAGAAGCTTTCAGATCTGTCAGTTTAAGTGTTGGATTCAATTCGTATAGCTGATTAAGGTTACAGTTATATATAAATAGCTTTCTCCAGATCAATGTGGCAGTAAGACTAGAGACTGCTGTTAGTTAGGGATAGCTTTTAGAAAAATGTGACAGTAATGGAGACTGCAAGAAATAACTTTCTATCTTTGACAGTCCAGATCAATGATAAATGTGACAGTAAGACTGGAGACTGCTGTTGGTTAGGGTTAGAATTATACAGAAATAACTTTCTCCAAATCATTTTGACAGTCAGACTGGAGACTGCTGTTGGTTAGGGTTAGAATTATACCAAGATAACTTTCTCCAGATAAATGTGACAGTCAGACTGGAGACTGCTGTTGGTTAGGGTTAGAATTATACAGAAATAACTTTCTCCAGATCAATGTGACAGTCAGACTGGAGACTGCTGTTGGTTAGGGTTAGAATTATACCAAGATAACTTTCTCCAGATCATCGTGACAGTAAGACTGGAGACTGCATTTGGTTAGGGTTAGATTGTTAACGTGAAAAAATGCTGTGGTATGTTAGATGGTTTGAGGTTTTTTTGGTGAGTGAGAGAGATGGTGATGGGAGATGTAGGATTTAATGGAGACATATGGTTTAATGTAAGAAAAGGTGAAGGACAAACTATATTGGGTCCTACCAAAGTAATGGAATATTTTGGTAATTGTATATAATTCTATTTCATATTTTGTGATTAAATGAAATTAAAAATGACTGAAGATATGCGATGTTTCATAGTTAGCTCTGATGATTTTTAAATCCACAAATTCTAAAATATGATGTTATTCAGTTTATAGGAATGACATATTTTCACCAAAAAATCATAATGCAACTATTTGAAAACGTTGAATTATTGCAATCGTCACATCATGAAGAATTTGTCTTTATCTACTATTTTGACTCAAAGGGTTGTACATTTCAGCAGCCACAGGTACAAACCAGCCTGTTCCCTATGGTACCACCATTTCTGTGTCCATGGTGTCTTGTGAAACCAAAGGTAGGTAACTAGTTGTACATGTCGACTGTTCACACACAGACTGTTCACACAGACTTCTCACACACAGACTGTTCACACACAGACTGTTCACACACAGACTGTTCACACAGACTTCTCACACACAGACTGTTCACACACAGACTGTTCACACACAGACTGTTCACACACAGACTGTTCACATACTGACTGTTGACACACTGACTGTTCACATGCCGACTGTTCACACACTGACTGTTCACACACTGACTGTTCACACACAGACTAGTCACACACAGACTGTTCACACACTGACTGTTCACACACTAACTGTTCACACACAGAGACTGTTCACACACAGACTGTTCACACACTGACTGTTGACTGTTCACACACAGACTGTTTTCACTGACTGTTCACACACTGACTGTTCACACACAGACTTTTCACAAACTGACTGTTCACAAACTGACTGTTCACACACTGACTGTTAACACACAGACTGTTTACAAACTGACTGTTCACACACAGACTGTTCACAAACTGACTGTTCACAAACTGACTGTTCACACACAGACTGTTCACACACAGACTGTTCACACACTGACTGTTCACACACAGACTGTTCACACACTGACTGTTCACACAGACTTCTCACACACGGACTGTTCACACAGACTTCTCACACACAGACTGTTCACACAGACTTCTCACACACAGACTGTTCACACACTGACTGTTCACACAAACTCTTCACACATTGACTGTAGTGTTTTGTAAATATGAAGATATCCATGGCAATAACTATATAGGTGATAAGAATATTGATATTATATTAATCAGTTCTTAATTTCCTCTCTAACATTGACTCGATAAAATCATCTCAATCAATTTCTAAAGAAAACAATGAACCTACCAATATTTTTTTCTCTCTAAATTCAATTATTGTTTTCAGGTTGGATTGTTAATAAAGGACGCCAAGATGAGATAGATAAAAATACCATCCTTGAATATTGTATACAGATGCTACAGGAGAGTATGAGAGCTACGTAAGTACACTTATGTTCTATAGAATGCACTGGTGGAAACCAAGACAAAATTTTGACAAAAACAGCGCTCATTGGTCAATTCAGGCAACAAGTCCTTGGTTGGGTTTAAGTTGGAAATTTCCTCTTTGTTTACCACGGCAAAGTGTCATATGAAGCATCGACAATAATTAGCGAGTAATTCCATAGTCAAGTTATTGAAAGGCATATGAAATCTGTATGTTTTAAATTCAATAGTGAATTCCTTGTTTAAATAACTTTTCAAATAACTGGCCCAAGTTTAAATCATTGATGTGATGTTGAAAGTAACAGACATGTTTGGTGTCTGCTTGAAGCAATCACATTTGATTTAAACTGTAAATATCCATGAAACAGTAGGTGGAAATGATCCACCAACAAACCAGTATCGTCCTGTTACATGACTACATTGTTGTGATCGTTTAATACATAACGTACATGTGAGTTTTTCTAGAAAAAGTCCCAAAAATCACAATATTGGAAAAGAATGTCCAGTGCTAGATGTAAATATCAATCAATCAAAATGACATAAGTGATAGCCCTGCCCTGTCATATTTTTGAAGCAAGGTTTAGGGGAGGGTAGAATAACTATGATAGGCAATCCAGTCTATACATCTACTGGCTTTTCTATTTGGTCATTTAATACAATTGGCTATTGGTCTAAACTTATGAAAATGGTGTATTGATAAGTTGTGTAAAAATGCAACTATTCTTGAGTTTTCATAACTAATTCAATCTTACTACAGAAAGGAACAGCACCTCAAGGATATAGATAATGGTTATGATAGAGAAGTTCAGGTACGATACTACGGTGATGCGAAAAAAGAGGCTATGTTAAAGTACAGAAGGTCACCACTAAAAACTACTGTAAAACCAATCCACAAGGGAGGTAAGCCACGGATTCCCCCAGTATTTGATGAACGACATGAAGGGAAGGACCTATTGCAGGCGACACACCAGGATGGCTCTAGTGTTGTGTAGTATCCTTTTTACAGTGCCATATGACAAATACACAAAAGATTCCTTCCATTTTCCTTTTGATCTTTTCCCATTTACAGACAATGTTAGGATGAGCAGACATGATAATGAGTGACAAGATTTCAAAGAAAAAAGGTTGATATTTGAATGTAAACAGTTTGTTTTATTTTTGGAGATGTCTTGATATTTCTAATTATTTTTCATGTAGAGATGACTTTGAAAGATGTAATTTTTTTTGTAGACTTATATAATTTTTTATTGACAAATCCCTGTATAAATGACCTTGACCTTTGAAGCTACCCATCAGGTTATAAGGCTATAGTCTACACAGCTGCAGGCTTTGGACGACCAGGACATTACCTGCTGGCATACGATGATGGACCAGATTCGAAAATGCTGGCCTGCTTCACTCCAAGTGGCAAAGGAGTGTGTTATGGTGAAAATGGAGTAATTCGGTGAGTTGTAATGATGAGAAGATCTTTCTCGATAAAAAAAGATTAAAAAAACAGATTTCACATCAGTAAGTAAATACAAAAATGTACATGAAATTTCAAAAGCTCTTCTTTGTTAGAGTGTTTTCGGTATATCATTTTCATGTTTAATCACTTAAATTAATTTGCAGAATTTCATTTCTTATACAAATAACGATTCAAGATCATTTGTGTGAATATGATCCAACATATGTGGGCAGTGACCTGGTCAAAGTTATACAACAAATACAGGCACAGTTAACTTCTCTAAGCAGTTGATTTATAGCTATTAAGCAGTGAGTAGATCATGTTTATTTTTCAATGTTCTATAATTGTTACAGAGTGTTGGTAACTGAGAAAGGTGGTCATGAGGCCCTAGATGATGGGACCGTTATCAGGAAATGGAAATGGCCGACTACTACAATGAAAACGTTTGCTCCAGTCACATTCCAGGTACAGGTTTCATCAACTTCTGATAGCCTTTATCAGTAAACAGACTTTAATCAATTTTTTCTACACTTGTACGCAGCTGACGATTTCCGTGAATCTAGAATGTTGGAAGTTTTGAGAAATTGCTTTCAAACTTAAACAAGTAGTTAGAAGTTCATGAAGAATGATGAATCAGACTTTCTCCTTGTAATTTTTTTTTTAAATATTACATTCCATAATAAAAATATCACATTAATTTAAAAAAAAAAAATTATGTTTTGATGATGAACACGTCATTGATTATTGAAATGCTCGACTATGAACATATGTCATTAATTATTGAAATGATGTAACCAGATTATTTTTGTTGTTCACAGATGAACAGTTCCCTGTTGTTCAGGTGCTCTGGTCAACAGATAATGTCCATTGTATTTAATTGCAATAAGGAGGTGTCACGATTCTCCCTGTGTGCTACTCCTGGAGCTGTTGAATACAAACCAGGAGATGAAAATGTGAGAACTTTTTAATTTTTATACTTTCATCATTTTCACTATACATGAAAGTTACCTGTGCATACAAATCAATTTAAAAACTGATTTCATGTGATTTTGTTCTGCAGAAATCCTTATTTTGGTTAATTTATCTAATTAATTTATTTCACATCAGGAACAACTGCTGACTGCGTCTTTCCCCTTTTCATCTCGAGCTGCCAAAGATCTGATGAGGTTGTTTGCACCAAAACCCAGTAGGAAAAGTAAAAACCAAAAGAAGAAGGTAAGAGAGTAACCTTACAGTATAGTTTTAATGGTCATTGAAAATAGATTACATGTCATTTCATCCTTTTCCTCAGAATATATATACAGAGTTACCTCCCCTTCTATACATAAACTAGATACTGAGATGAAGTTTAATCTCTCATGCTAGAAGTTAGGTTTGTATTTGTAATGCCTTAAATTTGGCAGATTTTAGAGTTTATATAATAAAACATCTGACTATAAATTCTATTTAATAACAATTCCAGCTATTGTTACAATCAGTCATATTTTACTGTTGTCCAAATATATTTTGTTAATAATATAACATTGCCAAGATTTTTAGATTCATTAAAGTTTGATGGATTTAGTGTGAAAATCTTTGGCCTGTACCTTACCGTATTTCACCGCAAATAAGCCCCCTCCCGCAATTGTCTTAGGGTTATTTTTGATGACAGATAGGCCAAGTTATCATTCCGTATGACGAAAAATCCAAGATGGCAGACACACGTACATCTCGTGAACAGGGGGATTGCCTGCAAATAAGCCCCCTCCCCTCTTTTGACAAGCCTTTTTGAACTGGGTGGGGGGGCTTATTTGCGGTAAAATACGGTACATATTGTGTCCCTCATACTTATTGAGGAGCGAGACAACCATCCAGCACAGACCATAAAAATTTGACTTCTTTATTTATACAATAGATATCTATATGTATGTTCTTCTAACAAGTTACAATTGACAGATGTTATTTGGTCATGTCTCATAGCACCATGGTCGCAGTCATCACCCAGAAATCCAGAAACTCCTGGAATTTTCAATGCAATATGATGCTGAAAATGACAAGGATCTGGCCAAACTACAGCGAAAAGCCAAGTAAGTTTTAAATTCTTCACATTGTATTAATATACAGAATTTTATAGAAGATCTGTAAAGAAATTTGTCATTCATTTTAAAATGTAATTTATTGATTTAATACTGTTAGAAGGATTTAGTCCCAGAAGTAACAAGTAAAATATTTCTGATTGATAACAAGGGCAAGTATGTTGCTCCTATTGTCATGACTACTGAGTTCATATCTATAAGTGGTAGTATGACTTACCTGTAAACTCTATTTTTGCAGAGTTCTTGTGGAGGAATGGATGGAACACTATCGTTTGGCAGTGGGTCTTACTTCTCCGTACATCAGCGCCATGAGAGAATGCCCAGAATACAGTGTAAGAAATAGGGCAATCAAGTCTGCACAACTGTCTGAAAATGCACAGCTGTTGCGCCGAGCTGACATGGAAATGGTCAGTCCAAACCATGGTCGAGTACCTTCCGCTCCGCTTGGTTAGTATTGCTTTTATATGAACTATATATATATATATATATATATTATATAGATGTACTGGTAGACTACTTTCCTCAGAGTGTGACATGCATTTATTTTTGTTGCTATCGCATATAGGCTCAATGCCTAGAGTGCAAAATATAACGAGATTGATATAAAACATTTTTGAAGTTTTAATCACCACCTTCTATAAACTATAAAACATTTTTGGATGATTTTTTGTCCGTTATAAACGGCCTTTGGCAGTCATTGGCTGAAGAGATTATCGAGACACCTCCCTCTATTTAGATTTATAACTTTGTATTTTTTTTATGTTCTATGTATGTGATGTCATTTATGTAATATTTGTGTCTTGATAAAGGGGCAAGTTGCCTTGAAATTTTAACAATTGGCTTGTCCGTAATGTCACTATTACTTCATTGATATATTATATATTATACATATGATTATATATGGGTATGAAAATTTTCTTTTTATTTTATTGTAATTTATTTATCTATTCATTTATCTATTTATTTATCAATTTTTGACAGTGAAATCAAGAAGTAAATCAGCAAAGAGTCTAGATGAGGAATTTGAAGTTATTGAGAGTCGAAAGAAAAGCGCAGCACCATCCAATGTTAAGTTTGAGGATGATGCTACAGAGGCTGGGGGTGATGTTTCCCCAACAGCCATCGCCATGTTTGAAAGACTTGCACAGTATGTACAGTAACTTACTGTATGTCTATCCAGCTATATGTTTTCACTATTGATTAAATACCAACACTAAATGAGCTTCTTTGCAAGTCTAAAATAAACTGTTTCCTACAGAATAAACATACTAAATGAGGGACATTTTCAATCAAAGTTTTTCCATAGTCGCATAATTGGTCTTTACATCAAGATTTCATTATATATGCCAACATATCTATACTTCATGGGAGATTAACTAACAGATGTCCTGTAAATAACCCCACCCCTGATTTTAAGTTAGAGATAATGTGTTGAAACCCTAAAGTTTATTTTTCATTTTTTTTTTTTTTTTTGTAAATTAATTACAGTTTTATTGTAATGTTGAAAATGCGTTAAAATTTTTTAAATCAAATTCTTTTCTAATTTTCAGTTCTGCAGGCAAACGTTCATCGAGAGGCACAAGGACACCTATATCCAGTGCACCCTTGTCGCGACAATACACAATTGCGACTACCAACCCTAACAACGAGCTGATGTCCATGATGAAGAGTCCATGTCCTATAGCTATACGTCAGGCTATGCTCGGGCTGGAACGACCCATCTGTCGTTGTAGTCGTCACGCTGTTCCACAGATAATGGACCTTGAGTACGATACCTTCATCCAGACGGAGGTGCCAGATTCCCAGATCATAGTCATTGAAGTGATCTCCTCTATGTGAGTTTATTTTTGTCTATGAAATTCCAGCACATCCTTGTTATTTTTAGATTTTAAAATTTGAAATAAAGAATAGTTTTGTATACATCTCATAAGCAATGGAATAGTATTATTTTATCACATACACCTTCAATCAAGCAGATCATCCAACCAGAGCTAGGTCTGGCTGTTTGTAACGTCAGTTCCGAGATAGTGGAGCAATGTCTTGATTTCTCTCCTAGTGAAGTCACATATTCTATACAAGTATAACTTTACCGAAATATGTTTCAAATGGAATGATAAACGTAATGTACAGAACGAAATTGATTCAATTAAATCTATGTCCAAATATTCATGTCCCAAGCATAGTCAGTTTGAAGAAGTTCCACTGTACCTGTTGATGTGTTCCCATATTTTTGATAAATTGGTTCAAATCTCTGATATTTGTATTTGGTAATTTGTAGTCCTCCATATCTACCTAAATTGTACTAGATCAATATTAATCGTTTATATCGAGATTATGTCAGATGTATGTATTATTCTTCAGATTTCCCTACTCTACCGCGGGAGAGAAAATGGTGGAAGAGATCTACATGAGTTGTAATAGGAACCGTACCAAACCATGTGTTCAATGTCGAGGTGACTTATTCAGACTCCTACAGTACGACATCACAACTGCTGCCGAGGGATCTGACCATACTCAGCCTCTTCTTCTCACCAGACACAATGTTGTCCCTGGCATGTTTCTGGTAAGTAATGACCAGCCCCTCCTCCTCACCAGACACAATGTCATCCTTGCAGCATTATAATTAAGGGTCCTTTTTTTTCTCCTTTGACATTTTGAATTTTAATAGTTTTTTAAATAATCAAGACTTTTCTAGATCAATATTATTTCTGTTCTATCTGTTTTTGTGATTGTGTTTCATCCTCAACAGTAGTGAAAAAAAAAAGAATCTGCGGAAAATGAGAACTTGTACACTGAACTACATCAAACATTTTCATGGATGAGTCACACACTATTTGTAATGAGTCACTATTTCTGGTGAGTCAAACTATTTCTGGTGAGTCACACTATTTCTGATGAGTCACACTATTTCTGGTGAGTCACACTATTTCTGATGAGTAACACTATTTCTGGGAAGTCACATGACATGTTCTGTTTTACACTGCTGTAAGATTTTAAAACTTTTGTGTTACAGATGTACCTCAATGGGAAACTACTTTTCTGTGATCACATTTTCAATGGTTATGGAAATGCAAGAAAAGACTTCAGGAAACAGATTATGAAATCCCGTGTTCAGGCTATGCAAGGTTTTTCCCTGCCAAGGGATTTCAGATTCAGGTATATTAAAGTTTCAATATTTAAAAAATTACATTTTCAAATTTTGTGTGAAATCACATTCTGTGTTATTGCTTAAGGACTTTAGTCTCATTTTCTAAACATCATCATGATTTCCAGACTGAGCTTAGAATATCAGAAATACCATTTGACATTGATATAGATCAGCTTTGTTTTCCAATCATGACAGCCGTTACTTTTGGAAAATAAAGAAACCTCGTTTGTTATCATATAAGCTATATAGTTCACAGAGTCTTGTATAGTTGTTTAAAGTTAGACTTAATATCAGACAAAACAGAAAGGCATTGATCAAAGTATGTAACTATTATGTGCGTCAAAATTACCGAAGTGCAATGAAAAGGGAAGTAACTCTTATAGCCAGAAAACTGCCTGCTTATTGCACAAACTGAGTGAAACATGTATTCACACTTATAATTTATAGACGTTAGACATGAAATATTGTGTTTTGTTTGTATTAGGATATGTTAAGATAAACTTTCTCAAAAACTGAATATTGCAAAAATTGATTTTGAGCTTCACAAGTTCAGTTTTGTCAACTTTTTCCATTGATATAGGGTTTTAAATCTCAAGGTTTAGTATTATGGACTTATAATCTATTAATGGTCAGTTTGTCAATTAAGACCTGTTCAAATTACATACCTGGGTTAACAAGCTACATTTGTCTGTGCAGTATGTATACGTAACCTGCTTACATTTTCAGTCCAACTCGGGGTCGCAGTGGGATGCGTTCGGCGTGGGGTGGAGAAATCGGTGGAGCTGGTGTGGACAAGTTCGGTCACCCTGGAACAGGAACATCTCTGGACAGTGCTTTAGTGCCAATCAAACGGCCAGGCTCCTCTTCAGCAGATAGTGGCCAGGACATGTTAGACCAAGTCAAGTGAGTACATTCACAATTGTGACCTTGACCTGGAGTGGGCGGAGTCAGCAAGGAATAATTTTACAACTTCACAGGAAGTGTCCCATAGAGAGGAGGGGTGGCAAAACAGAATGTTTTGGTTTTTTATTCACACATTTTAATTTCTGATGAGTTAAGAAAGAGAACAGGATTAATCAGTTATGACATATCTGGGCTGAGGAAAGCGGGAGACTTCACAAACTTTTTGTTCTATCATGAAAAAAAAACAGGAGGTTTATAACACAACATTATCTGATGGGACAACATTATTGTTATAAAATTTGGGGTGTTGGAAAAGAGTGTGACACTTTGGAGGTTAGCATGGGGCTGACTTTTTACAGAACAAAACAATGACTTTTTTTTAGCATGGCAAATCATTTTTGAAGATTGAAAAATGACCCTAAAAGTTTCAGAATATATTAGGATGAAAAAAGCTATTGAGGATCGGTTATATTGATCAGCTGGTAGATCAGATAGAGTGGTGTACTTATTAGTCCCAACAGGTACTATAATGTACAGCAGGCAGTAGGCACATGGCCACTTTGATTATATGAGAACTCTGCCAAACATAATAAACTGTACTTATCCTGCAATAAGCCTAGGGAGCCAACACTGACTCATAGTATAATGATGCTCTTACTTCAGGATAATCATCAGACATATGTAATAAAATTCTGCATAATATGTTTTTGGCCTTATTTCTATGCATGGGCTTATTGCCAGATAAACATGATAATATAGTTAGTCCAGTATTTTACATGTGACACACCAATCTATCTATCCTTATCTTACTAACTAAGATGTTTGGTGACAAATTACCTGTAATAAGCCCATGGGGATTCGCGCATAAAAACTGGAAAATGAAAGTAAAAAACCTGTATAAATGAAAAACTTTTTGAAAAAAAAAAAATTTTTTTCAATAAACTAGTTGCAAGACTAAGACATAGGTCATTAAATTATATAATGCTCGACAAGAGATAGGCTTACTTGGTATATGATATTAAGCATGGGCTTATCACAGGTACAAAAGAGTTAAGGTGGTGTGTGAGGTGAGGGTTTGTGGAGGAGTGAAATGATTGGGGAGAGTTCTGTAACAGGTATTGGTAATGTTGTGTTTTCTAAATGTTAGAGATGGACCTGTACGGCATACAATGTTTAAATTCTTCAGAGAATCATTAAACTATACAAAAGTTGGTATGATGAATGAATCCAAGAATGTGCCAGAGTGACAGAATGAATGTAACAGGACCATGGTGAGCAAAGAATCATGTCGAGGAATAGGCTGTAGAAGAATATGTAACATATGGAGTGTAAATATCATGTTAAAGTGATACCAATGTTTAATTCGTCAATTTTCTATCAAAATTTTCTGTTCTCAATAAGAAAAAAGAAAAAAGACGGAAATAAGCAAGAAAGACATACTACATATCAGAAATCAAACACATTATTTGGCAACTTTTAATAAAAAATGAAAAAAAAATTTAATTCTCAGCTAATACTGGTTCTATATGTAGTATACAGGTCGACGTGATTACTTCATCATTCCTATACCCCTACACTGTGAGGGACTGCATGGTGCCCAGATATCATTCTCAACTAATCCTGAAAGCACATGACTTTTGAAGTCTATAGACACTTCCTTCATATGACACAATATAAAATGAATTATGCATTGCGTCGTAATTTAGTCACATATAAGAGGGAGTCTCTAATTCATTTATTGATTAAAAAACAAATGAAATATCAAAAAACACAATTATGCTGAATAATTTAAGTTCATTGTCAAAATTAGAATTTTTTTTTTAATTAATTTTACTGTATGTAAATATTGTTATTTAAACTTAAAGACATAAGGTGTATGCCATGAAATATGATAGTCCAAAATCATATTATGTGTGAGGTCAATGGAACTCAATTTTATTGGAGATAAAATATTTATCTAGTAAACACAATCCTTAGTTTCTACAATTAGAGAAAAATACCGTTCAAGTGTTGATTGATGGTTCAGAAACACGGAAAAATATTACCAAGATTTAACGATTTTTGTTGACAATGTATGTGGTTCTCACGACCATTAAGAAAGTCTCATGATTTAAATATATAGAACATTTGTTATTTGTTTCAACTTGAGGAAGACAAAAATGAAAATGTCACTTATATGGCTTTTGTTCACTGATGCGTGAAAGCCATATATTATATATTAACATAAGGGATATTGGATATCAAACGTCTTAGAAAGAAATAGAAAATCAATCTGGTCTACAAAATCTGAAAACCAGGATCCATTTGTCAACCAAATTAAGTTTTCTCTCAGAATTCAGTCCAATCTTATTAAGACCAGACTTTATCATCAGTCCAAATAAATGTTGATGTCTGCACTCTGATCAGTAAACATTACACAAGAAGCCAGCTGTTGGCTATTGATCTTTGTTTGTAAGGGTATAAGTCCTGTAGTATTGTTACATGTTACACATGTTACTTCTTACTCAAAGTCAGGGGGTGGGCTTATTACAAGACAATTAGATGACATTGATTTATATTACAATGTACTACTGAAACATGATATTTATGGGTGAGCTTATTACAGGACACTGAGATGGCATCGATTTATAATATTACCGAGACACAACATATGTGGGCTTATTACAGGACAATAAGATGGCATTGATTTATAATATAACTGAATTATGATATGTGATTTATATGGGTGGGCTTATTATCAGGCATGTGCTTGATGAATAGAGTGTGCCCCAATATCTGGTTATAAGCTGGAACAGGTCAGCACTGGCTCCTGTTGATTGTCCTGTCATCTCATGACTGCGAGCTCTGCTGTTTTCAAGATGAAGAAATCTTAAGTTAGTTTCAACGAACATTTAGCCTTGCTATATGAAAAGGTTGTATAAAGTTCTTGGATTGAAATTACAGAACTTTTAAAACTGAAACACTAGTACACCATTTGTTTTTATCAATATTGATAGTGTGTAGTTAGTCTCCTTCAGCTTATCCCTGCAGTCAGTGTCATCATTTTTTTATTCTATGGACTCCAATCACTATTTCCTGCTGTACCAACCCTGTTTAGTTCCCAGTGTAGTATTTGTGACAGCAAAACTCACATTCCTTCCCTCCTGCACTGCTATCCACAGAGGTATGATGCACAGGTATCAGACAGGATTTATTTTCTGATGAGTTTGTGCTCTATAGACCTATGATAATGTAGCTAACTCCAAATGAAATAAATTCTGACTGGAACCTGTGAAATTTCTGCAAAGTTCCTGCAATGATGTCACTTCCTCCTCAAACTTTCATCCAACATGTATTTTATTTAAGTATTGATTTCAACATCTTCAGAAATTTTATTTAAAAAAAATACATAATGACTGGACAAGATGTAAAATAAAATATGTAGTCCTGTACCGTGGTATATATGAACTGGAAAAAAGAATTCGTTAAATTGTTTTGGGACAGAAAATTAAGAAATCCTTTCACTAGTTAAACCTCTTTGCTACACTTCATAGACAAATGTAAGTATATTATTGACTTATCGAGAATAACTGCATTGTCATCATCCATTGTGTTCATGCCCAATCATGTAAACCTAATAGCTTACAGAAAGATATATATCTGATGTTTTGTACAGCATACACTTAAACTCAATTGCAAAACGTTTTAGTGAAACCTTGCATGCTACAGTGTCCTTTAATGTATAACTTCAAAAATTTAATATTATGGTGGCAGGATCAATTATTGTTATGTGTTTTGAGATTCCAGGTATTTTTTCCTTGGTTAAAGACAAAGTGTGTTACTTTATACCTAGCAGTAATAACATTCCTATTCTGTTTTTCCCAACCTAGGGAGATTTATGTTCGTCTTGGACCTTTGCTTAACATGCAACAGCAAACCACCAAGAAGAGGTAAACGGTGAAATCTCCCGTGTACACTTCACGTTCACGTTAGCTTGTGGTTGACATCACATAACCTCAACATTCTCTCGCATAACGTTTTTCTACTTCAAAATATATTTTTATTTCCTTCTTTTTACATTGTATATCAATTTTCAAATTTCACAAAAAGATTTTGAAATAACTCTTGGGTTTTGGCTTCACATTTTATCTTTCTTTTGAAACATTTTATGGAACGTTGAACGCATCTGCAGATATAGCTGCTTTTTTTTTGCTCTCTTTATTGGCAACTGATTACAGATCTCATCGTTATGTATCAAAAGAGCTCGACTTTGATTTGCATTGTGAGGTATTAAAGAGAAAGTAAAAAATAAAAAAAAATTAATTCATGTTAAATTGAAATTTCAGCAATGTTGGAAAATATCAAAGATGTGTTAATCAGAAGAAAAAAAGACCGTGGTATTACTGGTCAGAAACAATATACTCCTAATAGCAATGATAGTCACAGAATAAATGCATGCTTCACCAATATATTAAATTATATAACGAAAGGCAAAGGGCACATGTAGAGTATGGGAAGCCTGACAGCTTTTAATGGTGTATCTTAAATACCTGATAAGCCTATTAATTGATAAAAAAGATAATTAATATATTTAAAGATTTAAATATAAAAATCTAAGAATTTCTCAGAAATTGAAATAAAAATAACTTGTTAATAGTTGAATTCATTATCTACAAGCTTAAAAGAAGAACATGGATGTTGTGTACTGTGGGTGTGGTGTAGTTTAAGCAGGTGTGGCCCTGCTTGTTGTAGGGTATTGAGCAGCAGATGCATGACTGCACTCTCTAGCTTTAAGGTATACGTGTATAATATCCGTTGTTTGAGAATAGCATGACGTGTTTGATTTAACTCAATTCTAGACTGTAGAAGACTGACTTTAGTGTTCGTAAGATTTACTTTGTTGAATTCTTCTAAATGTTTTGATTTTTTTTTAGTAGATGTAATTTACTCATCTGTAATGTTTAAATTTGTTTTAATTTTGTCGTGTTCAAGAAGCAAACATGATATTAAAGAAGATCACACCTCATAAGCATCACTCGTGAAATTCTGTACATATATATACACGTTTACATATATGAATATATTTCTTGATTATCTGGTTACAGGCAAGTCCTTGCATAACACTCCTACAAAGACCTTATCTGTGTATTTTTTTAAATCTTTCATCCCTCACCAGTACCTATATCAGTATTGCATTCAATTTTGAACTAAATGTTATGTTGAGGAGTCCATTAAACTTCCATGATTTTCATTAAACTACATCCTGCACATCCTATGTACAATCGTCTGTAATTTTGACTTAATTTTGACTTGCCATATTCCCTTATCTCAACTTAATATTTTCTTCACTTTCACATGTTCGTTACCCCCCCCCCCCCCCCCATTCCTACTAATTATTAAAATCTACACATCCTTTTACATATTGTGACTTAAAACACATTTAAACAAGCCTTTTTTTGTATCTTTTTGGACCTGTCCCTCCCCATGTGTTTTTGTCTAGGCCTTGTGTGTCAATCTTGTATGTGTTCTATGTGGTTTGTTTGCTAGCAGTGTGATGGTTGACCGGAAGCTTTGCTTAGCAAGTTGACTTATCTTATCTGGCGGATATCCAGCAAGAATTTTTATTTCATATGTTAATACAATTTTGCTGTAAAATAATTTTGTTGCAACGTGGGTAGTATTTGTTAGAATTTTTAAAAAGTGGTTTGGTTTTCATTTCAATTTTCATTTGCATTTAACAACTAAAGTGCAATGAATGTATATTTTCTCCTTTTGTGTTCTTTGAAAAACTTTGCATGTTTGAAGATGAAAAAATCTTAGGAAATAAAAAAATATATAAAATTTTATATTCCTAGTTAAATCAATGAGAGATGTATTATTTTCATTTTGTAAGGAAAAAAGTAACATTTTTTTTACAGTGCACGTGTTATTCAATTTGTAGATTATAAACTTGTCTGCATTTTAACAACTAGAATGCATAGCATGATTAAAACCAATGCAAGCTATGTTGCTTTATTACTCTATGTAAATGCATGCGTTATTTGTGCGTAACCGTACAGGTGTTTCCATTTGAACAGATCTCGCTTGCACAGTCATCGGCCTTATGTTCCCAATTTTACGACACTCCAGGTAATTGGTGGTGATGTTGCTATTTATTGTTGTTCTCTCAAATTATATGGTTTAAAGTGCTGTATTATCTTAAATCAAATTCTTTCTGTGGGTTGTTGTCCATTAAAGCTCATATTGTTTATTTGTCATCTCCTCATCTTTATCTCCAAACTAAAACACATTTAAAATACTTAAAAATCTGAAAGGTTTTGAGGGGAGAAAGGCAGGTGAATTCTGTATGTATCAAGTTCAGTTCTTGGTTATGATATTGATTAACAGAGTTTAATATTTCCTCAGTAAGAATTAAGATTAACAGTCACATATTTCTTTTCCCTTATGGTTATATATTAACCCTTTCGGTGCCAAATATCTCTCACAATATACAGCTCAGTGCCAAATATCTCTCACAATGTACAGCTCAGCACCAAATATCTCTCACAATGTACAGCTCAGCGCCAGATATCTCTCACAATGTACAGCTCAGTGCCAAATATCTCTCACAATACAGGTCAGTGCCAAATATCTCTCACAATACAGGTCAGTGCCAAATATCTCTCACAATGTACAGCTCAGTGCCAAATATCTCTCACAATGTACAGCTCAGTGCCAAATATCTCTCACAATGTACAGCTCAGCACCAAATATCTCTCACAATGTACAGCTCAGCACCAAATATCTCTCACAATGTACAGCTCAGTGCCAAATATCTCTCACAATGTACAGCTCAGTGCCAAATATCTCTCACAATGTACAGCTCAGCACCAAATATCTCTCACAATGTACAGCTCAGCGCCAAATATCTCTCACAATGTACAGCTCAGTGCCAAATATCTCTCACAATGCGCCAAATATCTCTACAAAAAATATATATAATGTACAAGATATAAAAATTGCCAAATATCTCTCACAATGTACAGCTCAGCGCCAAATACCTCTCACAATGTACAGCTCAGCGCCAAATATCTCTCACAATGTACAGCTCAGTGCCAAATATCTCTCACAATACAGGTCAGTGCCAAATATCTCTCACAATTTACAGCTCAGCGCCAAATATCTCTTACAATGTACAGCTCAGCGCCAAATATCTCTCACAATGTACAGCTCAGCGCCAAATATCTCTCACAATGTACAGCTCAGCACCAAATATCTCTCACAATGTACAGCTCAGCGCCAAATATCTCTCACAATGTACAGCTCAGCGCCAAATATTATAAAAAATACATATAGTAAAGATATAAAAATTGTCAACCTAAGTCGCCTGCAGCGGCCTGTCTGCATGTCGACTTTGGTCGCCTACGGCAGCCTGTCTGCATGTTGACTTTGGTCACCAACGGCGGCCGGTCTGCATGTCGACTTTAGTCACCTAAGGCACCGAAAGGGTTAAACAATTTTTATTAAATTTTCTGGTGAACTGGTTTCACAATGTAAGCCTGGAGAAGAAAAAATCATTCATTATATTTCTGATGTCCATTATTTTGTGAAGATAAAATATTTTAATGCATATGAACTAATCTTTATTTCCTTATCTACAATTGCAATTTTGTTTTATAAAACTTTATGATAGAATCCGATAAGATTTCATATGATGATCAACATTATTGTGACATCAAATGGTTTTCAGAATTTTCTTTGAATCTTTGTTTGACAGTTTACAAGTAACCTATTTCTCAAGGTCTCCTTCTATGTACTCTTTGTCTGTCCTTTGTCTCTTCTGTCTTTCCTCAGTCATTTCTGCCTGTCATCTACCTTTATCTGACCTTCCTCATTCTTCAGTCTCTGTTGTGTTTATTCTTATTCCATATTTGGGCATGTGGTTCATAGTTTATACACCCGTATGAATTTGTTGTGTACTTGTAATGGTGATGTATTTGTTCGCATATCTACTGTTGTCTACTACAAATATCATGGTGTGGGCACTGTAATGGTATTTCTAACACCCATGAATGTACACTTTTAACAGTCAAACCTGCCATATAGGCCACCTGTACATAACGACCTGTAGGACAACTACATGCATATAAATACCTGTTTATAAAGACCACTGGTTTTGGGTTCATGTAGTTCTTGAAATTCTTTATACAGGTCCCCTGTGTATAAAGGCCACTTTCCCGTGTTCCCTTGAGTGACCTTTATAGACAGGTTTGACTGTATATTGTAACTATGAAGTCACCAGATTTTTCCTTCTTGGCTGGGTTTTATGTTTATATTTTGATGATGTATTTTTTTTCGTTGGGACGGTCTTTTAGTCTTATGTGCAATGAACAAATTAGAATATTCTGGCCTTTTCTGGTAAATATATGATTTTAGGTGAGGATTTTCTTTTTCCAGTTTTTTTACTGACTCTTTTTCTTATTAATCTTGCTCATATCTCTTTGTAGAACACTGGAGTCCACTAGGGTAATAACAATGAGTCTATCACCGGGAGGATTCCATCATCCCAACATCGACGTGCGTCGTCATCTGTCAGCTCCAGGCAGGAGGATGCAGGGAACTGTTACGTAACCATAGACTGTCACAACTCTGCTGGACACACCCAGCCGAACACACGGCATATAATGATGATGTCTCGTCCATTGAAATAGCTCTCAACTCACTTAACTGTGATAAACACATCCTACAATTAATTATAAATATCTACATATGGAAACACATTATTCTACTAGCTAGCGACAATTTCATGTCTGGTGATCATTAAAAACTAAACTATTCTGTACATGTATATTCATTAGTGCCAATAACATCAAAGACAGACAGACCTATTAGACTCTGTGACAAATTATTGCCTATTATTCTGAAAAAAAATTTTTTGTTGGCATGATTTCTGTGTGGTCTAAATTGACAGTGATTTATATCCGATAACATCTTCAGATGTGATGTATTGGTACTGATGTGTATACATTTATTTTCAAAACTGCAGAAAAAAAAAATCTCTACTTTTCTCTATTTTTCATGTTTCAAACCAGTGCAGATCTAAGATTTTTTTTATTGCTTTCCTTCTTGGCCCTTTGATGAATCAATAAAAAAAAATCTCCTAAAATTTGAATACAAGTTTGCAGTGTTAAACTGAGGATATCTGTAAAGTAAATGTCAGCATGCTTATACTTATATACACTCAGTAGATCAAATCTGGAGTAAATTTTTGGTTTTAATTCAGAATGATTGAAAACTGATATTGATGGTTATCGTGATGTTCAACTTTCTACAGAAGAGTCTAAAATGTCATATTTCAAGTTGTTTGAAACAATTTTTTTTTTTTTTTTTTTTTTTGAAATCTTCAACAATAAAGATCCATGTGAACATCAACAATCTATATTTTTACCTACAATATGTATAGGTAAGACTTATGGAAAGCGAACCTAATGATATAATTTTTTTATTTTTTTCGTCAGAAAAAACTGCCAATACATATTCACATATTTCTTTATTTGTCATGTACTGCAATAGATTTTAACTCTGTGAACCATGCATATTTAATTACATATGATCCCCGTTAACTTCGGAACTTTTTTTCTGCAAGAGCAGGATGGATAAGGTGTATGAATGTTTTAATAGTAACTTAATTGTTATGCTCATTTTTATTAAAGTATTATTTAATTTGTTTTCTCGTTTAATGATAATGATATCTGTTAGAAAGCTACTGTGATACAGCTTTGTATAATTGTAAAACTATAATTGATTGCAGATTTTTATTTGTCATATTCTTATTAGAATGACCTCTTCCTTTCACATTTTTTACAATTTTTCAAATGAATCAGTCATTGTTTTGTCTTGCGCATTTATTCAACCGAATACTATTTCACATTTTTTTTTTTTTTTTAAGTTTCAGTAAGTGCCTGATAGTGTTTATACTGGACAGATCAGTCAGTCAAAATTTCAAACAGATTCATAGGACTTATTCAAAGTCAAGTTTAAAATTAAGAATAAATTTGTCATTCAAAATACAAAGGTTTTCAATTACGAAGACGCCACTTTCATGAAAACTTTGAGAAATATCTTATTCACCATATCTGAGAATTGATGATAATATGCATTGGAAAAAATCTACTATCAATGAATGACCATTCTGTCAGCACTACATGTTGCCTGATAGAACGTCTATGGTTTCATCAGCTCACTGTAATCTTCACAAGTCAGAAAATGCCAAATAAATGTATGTTTTTCTATCTCTGTCTAAACAAAATGTATATCATTCTTGGAAACTGTCCATTATTTCATATATGTGTTGTCTTATTGTTTTCAAGGTTACTATGTCTGTTCCATATATATATATTTATATATATATGAACATTTCTGTTTTTGAGAGTGTTCTGTTATATTGTTTTTGCAGTGCTTTGTGGTGTATCTACAATGTTCCGTTGTTGACAAATTACGTATTTTACCGTTTTACACCAATTTTAGCCAAATACAGCATGTATGTGATATAAACGAAGCTTTACCTTGATGTCAGTTATTTGTTATGTGTGTTTATTACCAGGTGAAGAGTATTCAGCCATTTTTGTTTTTAAAAACCAATAATTGATTTTGCCTGATTCTTTACTTCACTGGTTATATGTGCATAAGAATGAAGCCTTAATGTTGAGTCATATTCCTCACAAGCCTGAAGGTTTCTGGATCTTTTAAATATTTACGATGCAGACTTACTGAAGAGAAGACGACTATAACACCGATTCAATCTGGAGTATATATTTTACATTTTAATTTTAATTTAAAGTATTCTTTTTTTTTTAAAGTTTAAAATAATATTAATAAATATTTTTAAGATGTTTAACTGCTGTGCCAAGTCACCATGGATTGTATTACAAGACCAGTGAATTAGGTTTCCTGTTCATTAGCACTAAAACCTGCAGTATTAGAGATCAGTTATGTTGACAGAGATGTTTATGCTTCCTAGTAAATTTTTTTTAAGCATCAAGTCTGTACAAGTAACTGTCATTCATTCATGAAAACAAGGTGATTCTTAGTTATCATTATTGTAAAGACAAAAAAATTTTAATTTTCGTTAAATATCTTTAAAAATGTTACCGAGTTTTTAACATTATGTGCTTTGGTTACTGTCTGTAACATTTCTGTTGTTATAAACATGGTGTCTAGTCCCCTAACTGATAAAAACAACACACAATAATGTTGATCACTAGTTAGAATGCTGGACATGTGGTTTTATGTAGATAAGTTACAATTTGGTTCGTGGTATCTGAAATTTTTGTTATTCCAGAATGCTTGGCATTCTTTTAAAAATGTGACTGTGCCTCTTGAATTTACAGTATGATTTTGTAAGCATTAACAGGGATCAGAAAAGATTCATGGAGATGAACATTCCCAAGACAATGACGCATGAAATATTAAGTAGTGCACAGGGACACTGAGTGTTGGGTTTGAGAATATGTATATGTGCAAGGACTGATGCAGTTTCTTAACTATGGTGAATGTTCGAATGCGGGAGCATGACAAAGTGATAACGTATGTTTTGGTCCTGAATACATACAAAGGCTTGTGTATGTGTGTGATTGTGCATGTGTTGTGTAAATGCAAGTGTATGAAAAGCAGATGTATACATGTGTAGTTAGCTCAAATAAACAAATGAAATCTTATATGAAATATACATACCTAACTGCAATGGTGAAAATGTCCTTTTTATTACCACGAAAGGGTTAGTCAGCTGATAACCTATTGATTATATATTTTCCACTCAGTGCCTTGTAAACAAATTTTGCACCATCATAAATAAATGATATTAACTAACCACTGCTTTCTTATTTTGTCACTGTATGAGGAAGATATTGAATCATGGAAACATTTGGAACAGTGAATATTTGAAATAGAGTAATAATTTTCAAACCTTGAAGGCCATATTATATCTTATTTGTTGAGAAAAACTGGGATATCTGTTATCACAATAATATCTTTTGGTAGAAGGTACCCTAACCTCACAGACGACATTTGTGGCCTGTATATGTCATCTTGTCCCAAACCCTTAATCTGGAAATGGTTTATATGGTTTCACAAGATATCTTGTGTACAAACTTTTTATTTCAAATATGGAAGAATAATCATCACCAATATCCGAGTTCAGAATTTGACTACATATATGTATATGATATGTTGTGAACATGCACCAAGTTTTTATTCTCAAGATATATACACAAACTTGTCATTCAATCACCTACCCAAAGGTTCAAAGTAACCTTTCACAATGTTTCAAACATACTAATGTTTAAAAATTTTACCTTTTTGTTAATCCATGATGGAATCTTGATGAAATTTGCCTGGAATGATCCTGAGATGGTTCTGACCAATTATCTTAACATTACAACCGTCTACAATTACCTTCTCGTTTCTAGAACTTCAATGTTCCTCTAGGGATGCATCATTTTAAGCTGTTTTAAACTCTTTGAAACTTGCCAACATTGTTCCTGCTGGATGATGATATTTTGGGACAGTCTGAAATCAAGATGGCCACCATCTTGAAAACACATTTTGAGATTATTTTCCATTGTTCAAGAAAAGATTTGTCTTTTGAAGTGGTCATGATTTTTATAGGATGACCATTTTGTGACAAGGTTGCACAATCAGTTTTTTTCAAAGAATTTAACAAGATGATTCTTACAGAATATTTTGGGTTAGACGAAGTGCAAGAGGGTGGCCATGATCAACGTCTTAAAATCAAGTTTATGCAATCATTTTTTTTCACAACAGCACACATAAATTTTTTAATTTTCAAACGTGGGATTTAGCTGAAACTTGTCAGGAAAGTTGCCAAGAGAGCATTGCTATTTTCATGGTTGATCAGAAATTCAACATGGTCACAATGGCCGTCATATTGCCATAAATAAAAAAGAAATGATAATCTTGAAACTGGTGTGATATGGCGGCTATGAAAACAGCATTGCTCCTTAGTTGTCCAAACAACCCGTTACCATGTATCTTGAACCTCGACTTTTAACTTTCAGAAATTTCTGTCAATAAATGTTATTTTTGTTGTTAACTTTATTACATTGATAACGAAAAAGAAATTTTTTTTATAAATTCCAATATTCAATATTATACACTTGATCCAACCATCACTTTTTCACCTTTATAGGCTGATGGCCAGTAAGGTCAATTTGCCTCTGACATTTTCATCTTGGACAATGACCACCAAAATCTTGGCGTAGAAATCTGTTTCACAGAATATCTTATACATATTCGAGGAGAGCAGGCCCTCGGGGAGACCAATCCTCCATTTATACAAAATTGAGATAATTTAATATCATACATGAATAATCTACACTGAAGTTTCATCAAAAGACCTTTATCATAACTGAAAAAAATGTTTTAATGGTTTATCTCTTATTCCCCACACAGAGCCCCATACCTCTGCATCCATTGGAATCGACAGATTGCCTGCTTTGATTCCACATCGAATCTCCCTTAGGCAAAGATGATTATTTTTGTTCCAAATTAGTCAAACTACCTTCGTTGGAATAGACTTTTGTTTAGGACTAGCTCAATTTCCCCTAGTCCACTTATGTCTTAGGAGCTCAAAACCTTATCCAGAGAGTACTGGAGGTACTTTTCAGATAATTTTGAAATCCTTGAGAGGTATATGTGCTACAGCAATAATTTCTACACAGCTTCAAGAAAATACATTTCATATATTTAAAAAAAAAATGTATTTGCAGAAAAACAGGAATGATTATTCCCATTCGAATGTTATCAATTTTCAGTGTGATCACAAGTCGAAATATCTTCCACACAATTTCGACACTTGCCGATGAAAAAAGTGTGGCAAATCATTTCCTGAAGTAACTAACCTAGTAAAAAGATTCATTTTTTTTTTTTTTTTGAAAAGAAAATTTCAAACCCAAAATATTGATGTGAATATCCTCCACATGATTCATTTATTTCCAATATGAATGACATAACAGATAATGGATCAGAGAAAAAGACCAAACTAACAAAGAACATATAAAGAGGATTAAAATATGGAATGTTGGAGTTAAGATGGATGGCATGATCTTGAACATGTCGTCCTGTGCTTATTTTCTCGATGTTTTAAATGGACTGTTGTGATGTTTAGGTGCTCCATTTTAATGTCTCGTTTTAATTGCCTCATTAAAGGTCACAGTAGATAAAAACAGAAAAACCTAAAATATCCCCTAGGAATTTTTTTCATATTGAATTATGTCCAACATCCGGCCACCTTGACGTCAGAGGGGTCAATTTCTTCCAGACTGCATCAGACTAGATCCTAGAACAATGTTTACTGATGCCACGTTTTAGGGAAATTTGTAAAATCCTTCAGATAAGTGCCGATATTAATTTTTGATGATAGGCCACACGTGATCAATACTTATTAACGACGCTAAGTCTCACCTGTAATTGTTTCAATATTGTGACGATTACAAGGATTTCTGGTGGATACTGACTTCGAGAAAGAATGTGTACATTTTAGGTATACAAATTGTGAAGCACAATCAACCTTTTTGCCAATGATGATTATCTGATGGTGTGGGATATGACGCGTGATTAAATTGCTCTTTAGATATCGTTTTGAATTGAAATAAAATTACTAACACATATACCTAGGAGGATTTTAAATTCGTGTTCCAACGCCCAGTGTCAGCAAGCTGTTTGTCTAATAACATATCTCTAGGTTGACCAATAATGATCAAACAGAAGTCGTTTGAGTGTATTATAACCCTGTTATCAGGCTTCATTCTGAAACTTCATTTCAGATTAACTGCACCTCAGTTTCCATCCCTCGGACCACATACAACCTTCTCAGGCAGGTATCCCTTTTTCCATCTCTTAGACCGCCGACATCCGTCTCCTGCTGGTATCCTTCCTCTGTCTGCATCTCTCGGAACACAGAAAACCTTTTCCTGCTGACATCCCTTTCTGTCTTCATCCTTTGGACCGTTGACAACCTTCTCCTCTAGGTATCCTCTCTCTATCCCTAATCTCTGTTCATAATTTTAAGCACAGACAACCTTCTCCGGTAGGTATTTCTTTCTGTTTCCATTTATTAGAGCATGGACAACCTTCCCCTCTTGGTATCCTTTCTTTGCCTCCATTCCTCGTAGCGTAGACAACATTCTATTGCTGGTATCCCTTTCTCTGTCTCCATTCCTCGTAGCGTAGATAACCTTGTCTTGCTGGTATCCCTTTCTCTGTCTCCATTCCTCGCAGCGTAGACAACCTTCTATTGCTGGTATCCCTTTCTCTGTCTCCATTCCTCGTAGCGTAGAGAACTTTGTGTTGCTGGTATCCCTTTCTCTGTCTCCATTCCTCGTAGCGTAGACAACCTTCTATGGCTGGTATCCCTTTCTCTGTCTCCATTCCTCGTAGCGTAGACAACCTTGTCTTGCTGGTATCACTTTCTCTGTCTCCATTCCTCGTAGCGTAGACAACATTCAATTGCTGGTATCCCTTTCTCTGTCTCCATTCCTCGTAGCGTAGACAACCTTGTCTTGCTGGTATCCCTTTCTCTGTCTCCATTCCTCGTAGCGTAGACAACCTTCTATTGCTGGTATCCCTTTCTCTGTCTCCATTCCTCGTAGCGTAGACAACATTCAATTGCTGGTATCCCTTTCTCTGTCTCCATTCCTCGTAGCGTAGACAACCTTCTATTGCTGGTATCCCTTTCTCTGTCTCCATTCCTCGTAGCGTAGACAACCTTGTCTTGCTGGTATCCCTTTCTCTGTCTCCATTCCTCGCAGCGTAGACAACCTTCTATTGCTGGTATCCCTTTCTCTGTCTCCATTCCTCGTAGCGTAGACAACATTCTATTGCTGGTATCCCTTTCTCTGTCTCCATTCCTCGTAGCGTAGACAACATTCTATTGCTGGTATCCCTTTCTCTGTCTCCATTCCTCGTAGCGTAGACAACCTTGTCTTGCTGGTATTTATTCTCTGTTTCCATCTCTTGGACCGCACACAACCTTCTTCTCCTTGTATCCCTTCCTTGCCTCCATCCCTCGGAACACAGACAGTTTTTCTCCTTTTAGTATCCGTTTCTTTGTCTCCATCTCTTGGAGCCAGACAACCTTCTCTTTGTATCCTTTCCCTATATCCAGCCCTCTCTTTACCATACAATTTTTACTAAAATTTAGAATTTTTCAACATGCAGATTACTTGTAAGTATTGGTCAGCTATACAATATGAGTGGGACTTATCTTCCTGAGATGGACAGCCATGGTGTGGTCAAATGTCCACTCCTCAGAAGATGATCTAAGGCTTTGACCTGTAAAACTTGAATCATTATCTCAAAGATGACAGAATCATTATCTCAATGATGACAATCCCCGTTTCCCTTTCACTTCATCCACTGATGCTTCCTGTCTTTTCCCTACCTTTTTTTTTTACATCAGTACCTTATCCTAGAT